CACTCCACCATCAATGGATGAGCCTTCAGCTATTCTGTCCACACTCTGAAACTCTGTCCTAGCCTTGCCCCTTCTCTACCCACCTTGACTTATCTCTTCAACTGTGCTTTTGACCACCCCCCTACCAGCCCCCCACCCATCTGCCTACCTACTTTCTCAGTACTACCTACAGGTATACAAGATTGTAATTGAAATTGGGAAAGTAAATTCAAATCAAATAGAACGAATGGCCTTCTGTGTGCAAACATCTCTTGTGTTATAAATCCAAATATCCTACTTTCACAAAAGGCAATTCTTCTGTAATGAATATTCCATTAGTGTAATGGTACGTATAATCCCAGTGCCTTGGGACGTCCTCCCAATGTGAATGGCGCTATACAAATGTAATTTTGTAGTGTATTGTATTGTAATTTCTGAAGAATAAAATGACAGCCATTAGTTAAATTGCAAGTTAGGAGGTAGCTCACAAAAACATTTTTTTTAAGGCTTTGACTTCATGCTTCTTTACTTCAATCAACCATTGCACTCTAGTGGTACCAGATAAAATTACTCCTCTTAAAACTTTTTTGCAATGTTTTCACAAATAAGGTAGCTTCGTCAGTATTACTTTAAGATATAGATTGCAGCTCCCCCATTGGTCTAGTGGGTAGATTACATCTAATACTAGGCCAGAGAGATCAGAAGGAACAGTTCAATTGAGTTTACGCTGAGTTGGCAGATAATAATCAATTTAATAATTCTTGCATTTAATACAGCACAATATTACATCGCCTACACATTACTTCACAGGAAGTACCACTTTACACACAGCGCCCTATAAATAACAATGAAGTGAATGACTAATTTTACCTGAGGGATTGTTAGCCAGGACACCAGGAGAAAATCCCTCCTCTTTTTGAATAGCTAGGGAAGCACTTCAGGCCTCTGTGTTGGGTAAAGTCAGCCAGTGTCCTGCTCCTAATTAGTTTCTAATGACTCCCATTTAGTCTATGCTGTTTGTTTGTTAATTTGGAAGGCATTGTTGCAGGTCAACTTCGGTCAAATCTCTTCTTCCTCGAGCCCCTGTAGTCTGGTTTCCGCCCAGCACACAGCACCGAGACAGCGCTTGTCAAAGTCAACAATGACATTCTCTCTATCTGTGATCAGGGCTCCCTCTGCCTCCTTGTCCTCCTGGATCTCTCTGCTGTGTTTGACACAGTCGACCACGCCATCCTCCTCCACTGCCTCTCCTTCCTCATCCTCCTTAGGGGGAGTGCACTTGCATGGTTCGAGACCTACTAAACCAACCGCCTCCATTTCACCTCGGCAAATGGTTTCTCCTCCCGGCCCCACCCAGTCACTTGTGGGGTACCCCAGGGTTCCATCCTTGACCCTCTTCTTTTCCTTATCTATATGGTCCCCTGGGCAATGCCATCCACAGACACGGGGTAAACTTCCACATGTATGCGGATGACACACAAAGCTGTTTTACCTCCTCCAGTACCAATTCCAGGTCCTCCGATGTTCTATCAGCTTGTCTGGCAGACATCAGGGCCTGGATGAGTGTAAACTTCCTGCAGCTGAATGTTTACAAGATGGAAGCCATACTCCTTGGCTCCCATCAACGTCTTCACTCCTGCAGATCTAAACTCCTCAACCTCCCTGGGCTCTCCCTCAGACTCACCGAACCAGTGCGCAATCTACGCGTCCGGTTTGACCTCCAGCTGTCCTTCCTCCCCACATCCGGTCCCTGACCAGGACCGCCTTCTTCCACCTGTCATATTGCCTGCCTCTGACTGTACTTTCCCCCAAATGCAGCTGAAACCCTCGTGCATGCGTTTGTCACCTCCCGCCTGGATTACTCACTAGTTGCACTATTCAAAAGATCCAGCTCATTCAGAACTCTGCCGCATACTGACCCGGACCAAACTCACCGCACAGAACGACTTCAAGATCCTCACACTCGTGTTTAAATCCCTTCACTCTCTGGCACCTCCCTACCTCTCCGACCTCCTCACTCCCCAATCCACCACCCGGCACCTCCGCGTGACTGTCACCAGCCTCCTGCTCATTCCTCGCATCCTCCGCCCCACCATCGGAGGTTGTTCTTTCAGCCACTACACCCCAAAACTCTGGAACACTCTCCCTCAATCCCACCGCCTTGCCCCTACTCTCCCCTTTTTCAAGTGCAGCCTGAAAACCTTCTTCGACCATGCTTACGGTCACCTCCCCCCTCCCACCAGCTCCGCCATTGTTAAGTGCTCTGAGATGCTGCCCTGTATGGAGGGCGCTATATACATGCAAGTTGTTGTGAAATGTTTTCAGTCTAAGGGAGAAAATTGGCAAGGAAAACGCCCTGAGATTTTCAAAAATACAGAACACATAATTAAAGTATCCCCCAAGGCCTTCAATGCAGTTGCTTTATGAATCGTCTCGGTTGCATCATGTTAGAGGAGCATAATTTATCAAGCTACAGAATTGCTTGGGGGTGAAAGTACCTGTCAAGACATTAAATGTGTACACTCACACCCTTTTTTGAAACCAAGATTAATCATCCTCCTCACTTCTGGCTCTGGCCTCCTCAACTTTCCTAGCCTCGCTCTCTAAAACTCACTAAGCTAGTGGACAACCTTGACAATCGATTCAATCCTCAATACTCACTGATGCTCAATGCACATCACCCACTTTACTTGCACCAACAATTGGTGGTTGAGCTTTCCAATTTTGTGCCCTTAACCTCTGGAACACTCTTCCTCTCTATCCGTCGTTATGTCCTGTCTTAAAATTTACCTCTTTGACTAGCCTTTTATGTACCCGCGTTCGCCCACAAATGTACAGTCAATTCACTTTACAGTGTGTTCTGTGAAGCGCTTTGGGACGTCCTCCCGATGTGAAAAGCGCTATATCAAATGCAAGGATTATTATTATTAGCCTGTGGTCACCTCACTCTTCACATCCCATCTATGCTCGGTGTCCATCCCTATCACTGTAAGGAGCTCCAAGACATTATCTATGAAGGGTGCTGTATAATTACAGGCTGTTATTGTAACAAAGACTGGACATGGTGACGAGAAAGAAATTTATTAAACAAAGCAATAAAACAAGATTCATTTACATTGACAAATGGATTTTACAATTCAAATTTACGAAAGAACAAATATCAGGACTGCACTCAGTATCTGGGGATTTGTCCTTATTTCATAGACAGATCAAGTGAAGACACCACCAGTTACTGAGTTTAAATTCAAAGCAAAATAAAAAATTCACAGTGCTTATTTTGTGCCACCAGAAACAAAATGATTCTGCCATTTTTGCTCAGCTGAAAACCCTTTTATGTACCACACGTGCACCCTTACATTCAGTAATTAATCTCTTAAAGCTGCCACTTTTTACTTTACAAGCCTTAGCCCCCCCACCTACACACACATTACATATTTTTCCAACATTCATTAACTATAACTATTCCATAACAGAGGATACGTCTCAATTTTAAAAGAAGTCTCCCCAAAAAGGCAATAACAGAATCACTAGATAAATGCCCAGTTGTGAAGTCTTAAAGATAGGTCATTAACTCAAGTAGATAAACAGAGATAGAGAAGATAGCAAGCAAAAATAGTGTCCACCATGGGTCAAAATCAAGGTAAATATATTGCACTGATGGTCATTTAACATTATTAGATACAACATACATTGGATAAAGAATTTACCAATAATCATTTGCAGGATATTTTTTCAAAATTTCATGAATGAAATCGCAATCATTGTGCAGCTGTCATCCTGCAACAAAAATATCCAACTGATTGATATAATGCCATCACAAAAACAGATCAAAATTATGATAAGTCCAATTATATCATGAGATTGTACACTTTTTTCAGCTCTGGGATGCAAGGTCACACACAGTCTAAACTAATGCCAAGAATGTCTTCTGCTGTAGTGCCTTACAATAATCAGTTTGTAGTTTTAATCAATGTCCCAGCAGGCATGGTTCACAGAAAAAGCTGTACACAATTCTGCACTAATTCTCAATAAAATCTAGACATCTCAAGGATTTATTAAGGAATGTTTTTTACAAGGTTATGATTTAGCCAGTGTCAGTGTGGCTCAATTGGTAGCATTCTTACCCACACTAAGATTTCAGTTTATAGGCTGACACTCCAGTGCCCCTAACCTCTAGTTTCCCCTTAGTTGCCCCATGTGTGAAAACAACAAATTACATTTATATAATGCCTTTCATGTCGGGAGGACGTCCCAAGGCACTGGACAGTCGAGGGTTTGTACCCGAAAAAAATGAAATCAGTCAGGGTTCCCAACTGCAATATAGTAACACTTATTTAAGTGTATATGTGTGACAGCATCAAGCTTGACTGAAGTACTATCGCCCTCAAATAATGATAGTGCTGATAATTACTGGGTAAAGACATGAAGAATAGCTAAGGGCTGCCAGTGCAAATGACACCATACCCAGTACGTCAGACCTTCCAGATGAAAAGTGGAGAAACAAGTTGGGAAAATATAACATTAAAAAAAAACTTGCAACATCTAATAGTTCGCCAAGAACCCTCCCAAACCGTTTAAATAGGATTCAATTTCTTCCATCCATACATACAAATTTAATGCAAAGAGAATTCAAGCACAAACAGAGAAGATTTCAGCACTATTTTTCAAAAAAAGTTTGTGAAATTCAGAGCAGTTGACTTAATGGACCAAATTTCATTGAATCACAGACATTTACAGCGCAGGAGGTCATTTGGCCCATTCAGTTTGCACTGTCTCTCAGAGCAACCTGTTGGCTACATAACAGCTATAACAATCAGTTATAGAACATAACATTCAATCCCACTGCCCCAACCTATCCCTAAACCCCTTCAAGCTTACTTCTTTCGAACATAGTCTCATTTTACTATAAACAAGACAATTAGTCTGATCTTTATTGTTCTGAGAATGAATAAAAATCTCAAACCAAAAAAACAAGAATTAGAACAATTAAATTGCTTGGGACCAGCAAAGCATAAGGCCACTCATAAGAAATGTAAACTGAATGTAATATTTTGACAATCTTTATAGTTCTATTTTATTGCAATATAAACCCTTAAGTTTACAAATTTACAGCAGAGCAAAGTTGAAGCATCTGACTGAAAAGCAATGTTAAATTAGCTTTCTATAACAGTAATTTATCCTCAGCACCCTTACTGTAAGTGGCCAAAAACATAACTAAGCATCGATTAGGTTTGCAGTTGTTGTAACAATTCATTTCGGAAAATGCAAAGTTAAGAACACATGGCAACATTCACACTTGCGGATTGCAATATTTTACTAGGTCCCAAAACATTTGGTTTCCCAGCAGATTTCAGGTGCTGTAGTCCAAACTGAAAAACAAAAAAGAAATAATTAAATCACACAAAACATAGCCATGAATTAGAAATGTTTAATTTATTCCCAGTTAAAAGTTTGATTCTTAGGTTCAGATTATGTATAACAGAGTGAATGATATCTATTCAAAACCATATCCTAATACTGTTTTAAATTACAAGTGTGTCAGCAAATATGCCTGTCTCGGAAGGTCTTTCAACCTAAAATGATGGGTTTTCTAAACATCCGTAGCAGTAAGTAGGAACCTGGTTGTTAGTCGATTGGCAGACCACTTTTCCGGGGTTAATAATTCTTTAAAAAAATTAATAAATTGGTCACTCCACCCATGACTGTTTGTGGGACCTTGCCTTGCACAATTAGCTACCGCATTTCGCCCACAAAATATAGTCAATTCACAGTATATTCTATGAAGCGCTTTGAGACGTCTTGAAGACTTGATAAGGCACAATATCAAATGCAAGGATTATTATTGTTATCTCAATCACATCTACTGGGCAGTGCATTCCACATTTTCACAACCCTTACCAAACATCACTATAAAAACATTTAAAACAAAGCAAATTTTTCACATTAGTAATTTTCAGAAATGTCTAAAATTTGGGAGCCAACTTATACCTAAAGACTATTTTAACATTATTTTAAAGTATCAATAATAATAATAATCCTTGCATTTGATATAGTGCTTTTCACGTCTTCTAGATGTCTCAAAGAGCTTCACAGAATATGCTCCAAAGTGAATTGACTGTCAAGATCACTATCAAGAAACCTGAGAATGACAATTTGGAATTATATGATTTTTAGAGGTGTACATGAACCAACCTACCCTGGAAGTCTCCGGGCTTGATAGTGGGGAAGTTTCAAAGGATGTATTCTCCTTATCAGAAGAATCGTTGATGAATTTATGTGCAAATTTACGTTTTAAAGCATCAGCAATAAGTGCTGCCGGATCACTAACTGATGCTTTTTTTGCAGGTTTCTTCCCTGCAACAGTGCCTCCAGGTGATCTTTGAAAAGAGAAAGATAATAAGTTGGTTAATAAAGCTGGATCTTCCAACAATTTAGAAGACCTTTGACACAGTAATCATTGTTTAGAAAAATGTAATTTAGGGAACAAACCTACCTCTCTACTACTCGTAGTTTAACATTGTGTATGTCTTTTAAGACATCCATTATGTTGGGAAGACCTGGAGTCTTTTCAATTAACCTTGTTTTCCCAGGTTTGGAGGCTCGTCGTTCTCTGACAAGATCCACAAGTGATGTAGTGCTATTCACACTGGTTGATGGTTTTGGTGGTGGTGGTGGTGGAGGAGGTGGCGGAGCAGTCATTGATCGAGCACTTGACTCTCCAATAGGTGTAGATGTTAATTTCGGAGGCGGCAGAAAGATTCTAGGCGTGTTTGGAACATGCAGGCCATTTGATCTCATTGGAGTTAAACCTAGGACTCCAAACAAATTTTTTTATAAAATAGATATAGGTTAAAAAAATATTCAAAGATCATCTGAAAATATAATTTATTGCTATGAATTCTTACCGTCAACTTGTTATTGAAACCAATGAAAGTTGTTGATACCAATAATAACATAAATCTTTGCATTTGAGCTCTACTGCTGGGACAATGGTTAACAAAATATGTATTTGGAAGGTGGTATACTGTAGAACATCTAAAACTACTAAAGGGGGAATAACTCTTCTTACAAAATGTTCCTTATCAGTTTTCTTTGTGAAAACTGAAGCAAAATCTTCATTATTTAATTTAAAGATTATTCAGAGAAATTAAGGATGGTCTGATGGACTTGTTCAGGAATTTAAACTCAAATATTTTTAAGTTTAAAAGTTTGTTAGAAATCAGCTTCAACAAAATCTGGGCTGGGGCGAAATCTTAAGCAAGTTTCCTTAAGCAAGTCCACACACCTAACATTAAACAGTCGTTAGTCGATTGGCGGATCGCTTTCTGGGGGTAATAATCCTTTCGAAAAAATGCGGTCACTCAATCCACGACTGTTTGCTGTGCACAATTGGCTGCCGCGTTTTGCCCCCAAAATACTCCACCTTACAGTGTATCCTGTGAAGCGCTTTGAAGCATCTCAATGACGTGATAAGGTGCTATATCAAATGCAAGGATTATTATTATAATACTGAAGCCATCGAGATAGATTGGATTCAACGGGTAAAGGATTGGTCTGGATTCTTCTTGCTGCTATAGATGGTTTTCTGAAAAAGAAACCTCTAATATGCCTCTAATACTGGATATTCTAGCCCAATTTTGTCAGATTCAATTCAGAAATTAAATCCATACTAAACATGCAATATAAAAAGTTCTGTTCAAATATACAATAAGAATTTATATACTACTTTTATAAATTATAAAAACCTACATGAAGGTGCAACCTATCTACCTGGTTTTACGTGTGCATAAAACTGAGTTGCAATTTACTTGAATATGCATATTTTAGTGTGCAGCAGTTTGAGTTCATTGTGAAGACATAAGGGGAGTTGTAACCCTCACACAATGCTAGACAAGATTATTAAGATCAAGCAAGAACATTTTGGGAGCCAGCAATAGTACTTACATCCAGTAACAGATCCTTGCTCCTGCATTGTGATAATTGTGGCAATCTGAGCCCTAAGACGAGACAACTCATCTTCAAGTTGTGAGATTTTCTTCAAGGCATTTTGATTTGATGCATCAGGGTTTTCAGTGCTCCTTTGGTATTTGAATTGATTGACGGAGGTTTTTTGGTTATCATATACTTGAACAGAACCAGCCATCCGTTCACCCTTGAAAGGTCTCACCATATTCCTTGGAAATAGTAAATAAATTCACTGTGAATGGCAGAAAATAAGTCAACTTTCTATATCTGACTACTTCTTTTACCATTTAACTCCATTGGCTCCCCATTACCCAACGGATCGATTTAAAGATCTTCACACTTGTTTTCAAATCTCTTCATGCCCTGGCACCTCCCTAACTCTCTGACCTGCTTATCCCCCAACCCAAAGCTTCCGCTCGACTGGCTCCGGGCTCCTTCGTGCCCTCCGTTCCACCATTGGCAGCCACACTTTCCGCCATTACGCCCCGAAAAACTGGAACACTCTTCCCCTACCCCGACGCCTTTCCCCTTCCTTCCCCATCTTCAGGTCGCACCTGAAGACCTTCCTCTTTGACCGTGCCTACGGTCATCCCCTCCCCCCTGGCTCAAGCACTCTGGGACACTACCCTGCGTGAAGGGCACAATATAAATGCAAGTTGTTGTTGTAACTTATAATAATAATAATCCTTGCATTTGATATAGCGCATTTCACGTCTTCTAGATGTCTCAAGACGCTTCACAGAATATGCGATAAAGTGAATTGACTGTAAACTTGTAGGCGAAACGCAGGAGACAATTGTGCACAGCAGCGTCCCACAAACAGTCGTGGATTGAAAATGACCAATTTATTATTGTTTTGTTTCGGAGGGATTATTATTAGGCGTGTGGAGTAAGGAAACTTGCCCAAGGTTTCGCCCTGCCTGGAATTGAACCCAGGTGTCTCGCTTGCCAGGTGAGTACTCTAACCACTGAGCTACATGACTCCATTTCTTGGAAGCCTGGATAACCTAGGCACAGCTCACATCAACACTTATTCGAATAGGCAGAAGATACAATTTAAAGTGCTGCACTTTGTTCCAAATTTGATCTTTCTTCTCCTGAGACAGAAGATTTTGACTTCATACGACACTAAAGTCAGATGCTTCTGTTTAGGAGAAAGCTAAAAATATTCACATGCCTAAAGCAAATTCGTTGAAAAGTCCTAAGATTTGGATGTGTGATCTTCTGATTATATCATATACTTCTCAAACTAGTTTAACTACTTGGCTTCCCTACATACTACATACTTCCCTACATAAATTCACTACAGGATTGTTTGACTGCATTTTCAAAAAGCATCAGGGTAGAATAATAATAATAATAATAATAATCCTTGCATTTGATATAGCGCTTTTCACGTCGGGAGGACGTCCCAAAGCGCTTCACAGAATATACTGTAAAGTGAGTTGACTGTATATTTTGTGGGCGAACGCGGCAGCCAATTGCGCACAGCAATGTCCCACAAACAGTCATAGATTGAAAATGACCAATTTAATTATTGTTTTTGTTTTTTGGAGGGATTATTATTATTAGGCGTGTGGAGTAAGGAAACTTGCCTAAGGTTTCGCCCTGACCTGGATTTGAACTCAGGTCTCTCGCTTGCAAAGTGAGTGCTCTAACCACTGAGCTACAGGACTCTACAAATAATAATAATAATAATAATAATAATCCTTGCATTTGATATAGCGCTTTTCACGTCGGGAGGACGTCCCAAAGCGCTTCACAGAACACACTGTAAAGTGAATTGACTGTATATTTGTGGGCGAACGCGGCAGCCAATTGCGCACAGCAATGTCCCACAAACAGTCGTAGATTGAAAATGACCAATTTTTATTATTGTTTTTGGAGGGATTATTATTAGGCTCTGTGTGGAGTAAGGAAACTTGCCCAAGGTTTCGCCCTCTGCCTGGATTTGAACTCAGGTCTCTCGCTTGCAAAGTGAGTGCTCTAACCACTGAGCTACAGGACTCTACAAATAAGTCTATGATCCATTTTCCAGGCGTTTGGTTTCAGGGATAATAGTTGTAATCATATATACAATATCCATAAATCTACTACCAGGAACAGTGAGTGATGTTTTCATACTACAATATTCAGCCAATAGATTCAGTGAACCAATAAACGTGTAATTATGCATATTTTGCAGCAACAACAAAAATATATTCCAAAACATTTACAAAAGAAAATAAATATGTTTTTAAACTAACCTGACAATATCTATCAGTTGCATATAGCCACTGCAATGTAGACTGACAACTAACCTCTCAGTGAAACTAGAAAAATGTACTTATACCAAATTTATACATACCTAAACCAAGTGAAAGTTTCCCCTTCATCATTAGCAATCCATAGTATATCAGCCAGTGAGGGAACCACAGAGTTATAGCCAGATTCACAAGAGTTAGACATACTTGGTTTTCCTATAAGCTAGAAAGCACAAAAGAGTTCAAAAGATCCAATCCTTCTAAATAACTGGTATGAAAATATTCACAAAGAAACAACTACAGATGGATTTGAGAAAGCAGCCAAAAACACATACACATTAAATGAGACAGTAGATTTGATGTAAATCAGTCTGTGAAATTAGGAATTTGTTCATGTTGCTGAACAATGTGGACATTTATTCCATAATTCAGACACAAAGGCCAATTATTTTTTCTAGTTTCATTTCCAGTTTTATAATTGGATTGTGTTACAAAATATTACCATAGTATGTCAGTCTGATTCAATGGTGGCACTCTAGCCTCCAAGTCTGAAAATTGTGGATTCAAGCCCCACATTGGGACTTGAACTCATAGTCTAAGATGACACTCCGATGCAGGGGTGTGTTCCATTGTTCGAAGTGCCGTCCTTTGGTTCCTTGGTGATAGGTTTCTGTATTCGTCAGACACACATAAGACATCCCCCAAAAAATCACAGGATATACATCCCAGTGCTGCGACCGCGTTTTGTGGTCAAAAGCAGCTGGTTTGCGTTTGCATAGATTTACATTGAATATGCTGCACTGAAACAGTTCAACCAATGCTTGCTGGTGTTTGAACAATACATGGGTTTCCAATCACTCCTCACTTCCTTATCTTGGTGCAGGCGGTAGCATTCTCACGCCTGAGTCATAAGATTACCTACCATAACCAGCATGAAACACACCACCTGCTCCCTTGATCCCATCCCCACTCCTCTCCTTACTTCCCAGCTCCACCTCCTCGCCACTTTCGCCTCTCTACTGTCCGACACTATCAATCTCTCTCTTTCATCTGGCTCTGTTCTCATCCCCCTACAAACAGCTATAATCACCTCCATCCTGAAAAAAACCTTTCCTGGACCTAGCCCTGCCTTTTAACTACTGGCCCAATCCCCAACCTTCATTTTCTTTCGAAGGTTCTTCAAAGAATCATTGCTTCCCAGCTTCGCTCATTCCTCTCCTACAACTCCCTTCACGATCTCCTCCAATCGGTTTCTATGCTGCTCACAGTACAGAAACTGCTCTGGTCAAGGTGACAAACAACATTTTGTCCACTTGTGGCCAGGGCTCCCTCTGCCTCCTCATCCTCTTTGACCTCTCTTTTGTCTTCGATACCATGGACCACTCCATCCTCCTCCACCACCTCTCCTCTCACCTCAACCTTCAAGGTTCTCTCCTTGAATGGTTCAGGTCTTATCTCTCACACTGTCTCCAATTTGACTCCGCCAATGGTTTCTCTACCAGCTCCCACACAGTCTTGTATGGTGTTTCTCAGGGCTCTGTCCTCGGTCCCCTCCTCTTCAACCTCTACATGCTCCCCCTTGGTGACATCATCCGCAGACATTGGGTCAACTTCAACATGTACGTGGATGACACCCAACTCTATCTCTCTGCCTCCACTCTCGATTCCAGGACAACTGACGTCCTGACAGACTGTCTGTCAGACATGAAGTCCTGGATGAGGGCCAACTTTCTACAGCTGAATGTCAGCAAGACTGAGGCCCTCCTGATTGGCTCACGCCAGAGCCTCCGCACCTCAGGCACTGGCAGCATCAGTATTTACGGTTGCACATGCCACCTCACCAAGCCAGTCAGGAACCTGGTCGTCTTGTTCAACACTCAACTGTCCTTTCTCTCCCATATGCGTGCCATGACCCGCTGCTCTGCCTTCCCTCATCTCCGCCACATTGCCAGATTCTGCAATTTTCTTATCCCTCTGGAAGCCAAAACCCTCATACACGCATCTGTCACCTCAAGGCTCGACTACAAAAACTCCCTACCTTTCGGCCTCCCCAACCTTCCCTCCACAAGCTGCAGATCATCCAGAACTTTGCAGCTCGTGTCCTCTCCCACACCAGGCTCCGTGACCCCATCACCCCCATCCTCGCCCGGCTCCACTGGCTCCCCATCCCTCAGAGGATAGAATTCAAAATCCTCGTCCTCACTTTTAAGGCCCTCCACGGCCTTGTCCCCGGCTACATCTCTAACCTGCTGACACCTTATCACCCCATCTGCTTCCTCCGCTCAGCAGGCTCAGCCTGTTCCAGGTCTCCGGACTGATCTGCCCTACCATCGGCGGCCGGGCTTTCTGCCTCTCTGCCCCCTCTTTGGAACTCCATCCCACAATCACCTTGTACCCTCTCTTGTCTCCTTCAAGGCATGACTCAAGATCCTCCTGTTTAACCATGCCTTCAGCCGCCCTCCTACCCCCCTCTGCCCTCCCTCATCCCAACCCTGTCCCCCATGCTCGGGTTATGATCCCTTCTGTTCAGCACCTTGGGATGTCCTCCCGACGTGAACGGTGCTTTACAATTGTAATTTTGTTGCTGCTGTTGTTGTGGGTTCAAGGCTCACACTGGGACTTGGAATCACATAGTCTAAGATGACACTCCACTGCAGTGCTAGGGGTGTGTTGCATTGTTTCAGGTGCCGTCCTTTGGTTCCTGTCTGCCTGTCGTTCAGGGGGCCTTGAAACGAAGTGGCACTATTCAAATCGGCTGCGTGTTTGCCCACAAATACACAGTCACTCCACTTCCCAGGAAATCATGTGAAATGCTTTGGGACATCCTCCCAATATGAAAGGTACTATATCAAATGCAAGTATTATTAAAATCCAATCAAAGGGTTAGTAATGTAACCAAAAATTGTTGAAAGCATTATTGAATTATCAATAAATTGTATATATTACACCAAAAGTTTCAATAATCCTCCTGTTGCATGAAATGAAATATTTGCGGATATGCGTTTAATCACTAAAATTGTCAGCAATTTCCTGTGAAGCATCAAATTTTTAGGCTCAATATTAATGTCAGGATTATATCAACAATAATATACATTCATTTAGCACCTTTCACAAAAAAAATTCTCCCTTGGTGCTTTATGAAAAGAGATATGAGAAATTAAATGAAGCACAGAGCTAAATCTCACTAGACCCAAAATAAGACTAAGACTTAGTTTGTAGTATTTTGATTTTCGGATGAAAAAAATAGTGGAGAAAAAAATCTCATTTTAAAATCTGTGAGACTAAGGGAGAATAGGTAAATACAGACCAGTCTCACCTAAAAACATGAACTTGCATTTTCTCTTACCTGAAAGCATACTCTGGCCCAATTATTTATTGGAAGAAATGATCCTATTCTTCGAACAATGCTACGAGTCTGTCCATGTGGTTTGTTTTGCCAATGTGGTATAAACTGTTTTAAAAAAAGAAATATTTTAAAAAGTACAACTGCAAAGAAATTCAAGAGCAATAGTCATCTCCAAACCCTCAATTAAGATATTCCTGATTTTAAAGATGGATTTATCATTTGGCTAGTGAAATAATTCAATTTGAACTTCAACTCATTTTATTTGCACTAATAGACCAATGTCCCTTTCTCCTGAATTTTACATTTAAACACAATTCAATGCATGAATCAGTTCTGCAAATGAAGTACTGTAATGTATTGTAAACAATAAAGGAAAATGGCAAATAAGGCAGGTTTCATTTCCAAGTTTTAAACCTGCAGAGTGCAAGAACTACAAGCACTTACCTGTTCAAATGGAATTCCAAAGTACTCCATCAGCTCATAAATAAAATTCAGTAGGCGAGACATGAGAAAATTTATAGGAGTCACTACAGAATAAGAACTTGTTGTTCACATTTCATCATGAAGAACAATTTGGGATATAATTCTATTGAGGGAAGAAAACAAAATTAATTGACACATAGTTAATTATTTTTCCCACAAAGATCTGAACTAAAACATTGTGCAATAATGAGGGATATAAAGGAAAAGGGAATAGAGGTTTATGGGAGAAGGGATAATAATAACAATAATAATAATAATCCTTGCATTTGATATAGCGCTTTTCACGTCGGGAGGACGTCCCAAAGCGCTTCACAGAACACACTGTAAAGTGAATTGACTGTATATTTGTGGGCGAACGCAGCAGCCAATTGCGCACAGCAATGTCCCACAAACAGTCATAGATTGAAAATGACCAATTTAATTATTGTTTTTGGTTTTGGAGGGATTATTATTAGGCTCTGTGTGGAGTAAGGAAACTTGCCCAAGGTTTCGCCCTCTGCCTGGAATTGAACTCAGGTCTCTCACTTGCAAAGCGAGTGCTCTAACCACTGAGCTACAGGACTCCACAAAGCTGAGCTACAGGATTTGGAGACTGGAGGCTCATGTAGAGTATAAACACTGGCAAAGACGAGTTTAGATGACCTATTGTTACTATTATCGTGCTGTAATGCTCTATGTAATAGGTGTAATATGACTCAGTCTGGGGAAACCAGTAGTTCTGCTAACACAGGTTCATACACATGTTCAAACAAAAGTCACTTGCAAAACGGGTAAATTAGAGGTTTAAGAAGAAGTCCCAATATCTCATCTGTGCATAACTGCAAATGAAAGTACTGAAATAGATCATTTTTCAGGCACGTTAATACATTATTTGTGCATAGTAATCACACTCCTTTCCTGCCACTTAACAGTACAAATGACTGCTGGCACGGAGATTAAATCAAAAGCCAACACTAAAATCTCTGTCACATCAGACTGTCACAGGGCAGCTGGGATGCACTTCTCAACTGTATTGATGTAACTTTGTTGTGGGGTTTATCGAAGAAAAAGCACAATGATACCACACATACAACAATGACTTGAAGTTACTTAGAATAACATTTTAGAGTGCTTTATAATGATGGGCATTGGACGACGAGCAGGGGTGTAATGTAACATTGTAAAACTCACATAGTCGTATTAGATGGAACCATAACATTTAATATGACATGCACAAAGTCCAAGTTGCAGGAAACCATATAAGTCGTATAAATTCTGATTTAATCAATAATCTACACTGTGCATACGGAATTCAATGTAGCTGGTAAGTGCGCAAGCTATAGTTCCTCACTGCACCTGGTAAACAGTCGTGGATTGAAATGACCAATATTTAAAAAAAAAGGAATTATTACCCCCGGAAAAGCAATCTGACAATTGACTAATAACCAGGTTCCTACTTGCTGCTAGGTAAACAGAGGTGTGTGGAGTAAGGAAACTTGCCCAACATTTTGCCCGACCCGGGAATTGAACCCAGGTCTCTCGCTTGCAAGACTAACCAATTCTGTTGCGCTAACCAACAACAACAACTCGCATTTATACAGCACCCTTTACGCGGGGTAGCATCCCGGAGCCCTTGACAGTGCTGTAGTCTGACTCCAAGCCAGGCGCAGAGGGAGGGTGGAGGTGACCGTAAGCATGGTCAGAAAGGAAGGTCTTTAGGTGGGATTTGAAAGTGGAGAGGGAGGCAGCAAGGCAGAGGGATTGAGGGTGGGAGTTCCAGAGCTTCTGGGCATAATGACTGAAAGCATGGCCACCGACGGTGGAGCGGAAGGGGCGAGGGACAAACAGGAAGCCGGAGCAGGCAGAGTGGAGGCAGCGGGTGGTGGAGTGGGGGGGTAAGCAAATTGGATAGGTAGGGAGTCGCGGGGGCATGAAGGAAACCACTGAGCTGCAGGACTCCACAATGTTCAACTTAGGCAATTATATGATTTATAAAGATAAGACTTATTTGAGTTTCACTGTAGAAATAAAACAGTCAAACATCTAAAACGAGTTTAACATTTCAGGAAAGACCTTTCATGGGTTATACCTGAACCATTAACCCACTTTCTCTTTCAGATACTGATTGACCTGCTGTGATCTTTCGATGTTTATTTCAGGATTTGACACAGGTAAGTCAGCGTTGATACAGAAACTACTTTAACTGTGTGTTATTTATTGCTGTACTGGCACACACTCACCCGAATCTCTCACTTACTCCCCATCCAATTACTCTCTATTGGTTTTACTACTTTTCACCTTCTCTCACATTCTTCTCCTTCCTTAACCACAATCACTTCCTCCATCTCTGACGCAAAGTCTCTCTCTCTCTCCCTCTCATACACACACATATATATTTCTCTCCATTTATATATAATTTCTCTCTATATTGTATATATAGACTGTAATACCCAAATTTCTCATTAATAAAATACATTAATATTAAAACTAAAATACATTAGTCAAATACACATTTCTCCGGATATTTCTCTCTACAATAATAATCCTTGCATTTGATATAGCGCGTTTCACGTCTTCTCGACGTCTCAAAGCCCCTCACAGAATACGCTGTAAAGTGAATTGACCGTATATTTGTGGGCGAAACGCAGCAGCTAATTGCGCACAGCAGCGGCCCACAAACAGGTGTGGATTGAAAATGACCAATTTATTATTGTTTTGTTTGGGAGGGATTATTATTAGGCTCTGTGTGGAGTAAGGAGACTGGCCCAAGGTCTGGCCCTGTCGGATTATCTTACACTCGATGTGGTGCAACGTCAAAACGTTTCAAAGCACATCTCAGCATTTACTGCAAATGCAGTCTTTGAATATCCAGAAGTATCTTCTCTTTGCTTCCTTCCTCTCTCTTTCTCTCTCTCTCTCTCCACATATATATATATATGGTGTGTGTGTGTATATGTAGAATATAATAATATACTGTATATACTGTAAATAAATGTTATATCTATTTCTCACTCTATTCCTTCCTCTCTCTCTCTCTCTATCTCTCTCCATTTCGCCTCTCTTCCTTTGCATCTCCTTCTCTTTTCTTTCTCCCTCTTCTGCTCTTTTCTGTCAAATGATGGCGGTGTGTGTGTGTGTGTGTGCATTTAGATATCGGTACGTGCAACAGATACGTGCGGGAGTGTACCTCTATAATTCCCTCTCCATTTGTGATTCTCTATCTATCTATATCTAAATAAATATATATACGCCTATATCTCTCTCTATATATGTATATATATATATGTGTGTGTGTGTAGATATATATGTGTGTGTGTGTTACTCACCTCACGAGCTCCCGGTACAAACTTTTAAATTTCCTCTTCCCCTAACGGACGATCCACCCACCAACAAGTGGCGCCCTGATTGGTCCGGGCCAGGCCGCCCCGCCCGCCCCGCCCCGCCCCGCCCCGCGAGTGGTGGGGTTGGGGGAGACTTCCAATCAGCGCGTGCGGCTGCCGTTCGGATGGTGGCGGTTGGTGAGCGTCGCGCGGCTTCGTGCTCCCCCCCCCCCCCCCCCCCCCCCGCTCAGCGCGTGAGTGTGTGTGTGTGTGAGAGAGAGAGAGAGAGGCGCCCGCACAGCGCGCGGCGAACCAACCGCCCGCCCCCCTGAGGGAGCTGTGTGTGTGTGTGTCCTCACGGTCCGGGTTAACGTGCTTTGATGTGGTGTGTTTATCATAATCCGTGCCATGTTGGTGCAGACCTTCCCACGCCGTCCCAAGACGCCTCGAAGCGCTTCACAGGACCCACCAGCCACCCGAGTGAGGGAGGGCTCAAACCGCACCACCTCGTGGGCTCTCCTCCCTGAGGGGGGGAGGCGAGCGCCGGGGTCTCCTCGGAGCTGAACCGGCTCCGCACCCCTCCCAGGCGCCGGCTGGTCACGGCACGGTCAGGACCGGGAAGGGCAGGACCAGGCACTGGGAGCAGGGAGTCACCCCACTCAGCTCCTGATAACCCTCCCTGCACGTCGAAGCCCTGGCGGGTCGGGTGGTCCGAGCTGGACGAGCAGCGGGAACGCTGGCCAGACGGCGCTCTCAATCAACGGCAAGCTGGGCCGTTTCGGCAGTACTCCCAACTCACAGTCCGGGGTCCCCAAGCCTTGGCTCTTGCCAACCTGCGCCTAATACTTTCTGGAATTAGATAAGCAGGATGCATCCCTCCAGGGAGAGAGTGCGCGTACCATTACAACAATCTGTTCTCTGGGATTGCCACGTGTCGGTGGGACGCATGGAAATTGGTTTGGGTACTTGCTGATGGGTTTCCGGATGTGTCAGACGCCCGGCTGATTTACTGGGCTGGATTTACTGGTTTGAGTTTGCATAGATTTGCATACAATGTGCTGCACTGGAACAGTCCAGCCAGTGCTTGCTGGTGTTTGTACAATACATGGGTTTCCAACCATTCCTCAGTTCCTCATCTTGGTGCAGGTGGTAGCACTCTTGCCTCTGAGTCAGAAAGTTGTGGGTTCAAGCCTCACGTCGGGACTTGGAATCACATAGTCTAAGGTAAGCTATACTCCAATGCTGGGGTAAGTTGCAGTGTTGGAGGTGCTGTCCTTTGGATGAGGAGTCCCATCTGCCTGTTTAGATGCCATGGCACTAGAGAAGGGACTTTCTCCCAATATCCTGGCCAACGTTCCCCCAGGTAAAAAAATTGGTTACTAGCTCCATGGCTGTTTGTGGAACATTGCTGTGTGCAAAACTGGCTCCTGCTTTTCACCCACAAAATACATAATCACTACACTTGACAGTATATTCTGTTAAGTGCTTTGAGGTGTCTCGGCGATATATAGTATTAAGCTATATCAAATGTAATGATTATTTATTCTGTTCTCTTCTCCTTCATGTATTTATCCAGCTTCCTATTAAATGCATCTTTATTCTGCTTCAGCCATCACTTAGGGCATGCGTGTTGTCTTTAAGCTATACAGCTTGAAGGAAGCTACATAAATGCAAGTTGTTATTATATAACAGTGGACAACCTCACAACTTGACTGAACTTTCAACAGTCAATTTAAAAATATGGCACATAGTATCAAATCAAATGCTCTATAATCTCTAAAGTGCACGTGTATAACCAGCCAAACTGTTTTGGAGTTTGTTTTATGTGTGGTGAGGGAATGGTATTTTAATTTGTCTGTTCTATATGTTTACTATTAGATTTATTTAAATATATTCAATCTGAATAATCAAACTTCTAGTACCGTATTCTAACTTCAAAAATTCTACCTAATTGGGATTGTCTGCGTTGATTTTTTTTCAGTATGTGCCTCACTCACAATATATTCGACATACTAATTATGATGTGTTTGTGCACAGTTACGTTGGATTACATCACGAGGTAATGGACGCTTTGTCTGTAGTTATTCAGTTGAGGGACTTGGCCTCAGAACCACAAAATAGAGAAGCCATTGTTAAAGACCAGGGATGTGTTCCTGGTCTGGTGCTATTCTTGACCCATCACAACCCACAAGTGTCCTTCTGTGCTCTTCAGGTATGAAACTGAGTTTTATTTGAACCACTTCTTAAATCTTATAGATAATAATCCATTACATTTGCTATAGCATCATTCAAGTCAGGAGGATGTCTCAAATCTCATCACGTTGTAAAGTGGAGTGCCTGAATTTTGAAGAAGCGATTTAAAGAAAAAATGTTCTCATTGAATGTTCGTATTTTTCCATTAATATACACTATGAATGCACAATAAAACTTGTACCTTCTGGATAATTTGTTATTTAGGTGGATATTTCCTGCACTATTGAATTCACGTGAATTTAAATCTAGGTGTAATTTAGTTATCGTAAGGACAGCAAACAAATAGAAATTGCTATTGACCACTAGTTGGACACAAATGGGTAAAGGGATAGAAAGCTTTACCAGCAAGGAGGTCTGGTGATTTGGAATTTCAAAAATATGCCAGGAATAAGTTGAGCAGGCCTTGGACAGCAAGAATAGAGGAAGAAAAGTACAAATAATTCCATAGAAGTAATAATAATAATATTTATTATTATTAAATAATTGGAGATAAAAGCAAAACTGGTGGAAACAGAACTAGAAGAAGGATCAGGGTATTGTTCACTCCCAAGATTTGACAAGTTCAGATTTGCCGCACGGGATAATAGTGAATTGTTTCAGCAGCTCCATGAAGGAGGTTAGAATCTCATTTATCATTGCTTTTGATGCCTTTTCGAAATGCAGATCTCGTAAATCTGTATCTAGCATCGGAGAGGAAAAGGTTACTTCTCCCCATTTTAATTTTATTAATTGGTCTTTGCATAGTGAGAAAAATGATAACTTAAACTGAATGAATATCTCTCCCTCTCCAAAATATATTTGAAGATTGTTTAATGACATTTTTTGCATTATGTTAACTGGCATTGCATTATTATCTTGGTGGTGTCAGGCACTACGATATCTGGCAGAATGTCCTTCTAACAGGGAAATCATGAAAAATGAGTTGGGAATGATGGTCTGTCTTGAGAATCTATGTGAAAGGTAACGATTCTATGAATAATACATATCTGCATTTTAGAAACATCTTAATTTCAAATATATGGTGAAATTGTGTTCTTAAGTAGCATTGTTACAATATTGTACTATACCATAGCAGTTAATAGACAATGCAATAATTGAAATTAATGGCTGTTTAAATGGATTGTTTATTCAGTCACATTTTAATTCTCAAGGTTGTAGTGACTTGTAACAACATTTTCAGTGGTATGATTGCTTCTTAGACAGATTTCTTAGGCAGTGTTTCTATTTTCAGGGATCACGTGTTGGAAGACGCTAGAATTTTAGCAGTTGAAATTTATGATCAGTTGAAAAAACCTCTGCGTATTGACAGTTTGAACATGAAAACCACAAAACAAATCCAGACTCAGTTTTTCATCAACAGCACAAACAAGAAGGCAAAAACAGTGACATTACAAATAGAGGGGTTGCATAACATGGTGAGGATTAAGTGAAATATCAATCTTTACAGAATTATACAATTCAAACAAAGGGATCAGATAAAATATGGAGGTAACACCCACATTTAATGCTAGCTGGACAAGCAGCAGGAAGTTTGCCAGACAGTGTTTTCAGTTGCAAGCTGTGCGATTTCAGCTAGTTAAATTCCAGGTGTACCACAGCGCACACTCTGGGGGTCCCCAAGCCTTGGCTCTTGCTAACCTGCGCCTCATATGCTCTGAAATTGAATAAGTAGGCTGCTTCCCTCTGGGGAAAGAGTGCATTCTATTCCAGGTACATGATTTTCCATGTCCAGGTGACATCCTTGAAAGTCTGCCTGGTTTGGATACACTTAAACATGGTAATGGTTTCCACATGTGTCAAATATCTGTCAATTCCCCCAAAAATCTTAATATGGAAACTTAGACTGCATCAGTTTGTTTTAAACTAGTGTCTGTTTTAGACATCACTCCAATACCTAATTGTCGTTAAGTTATTCCACTTTCTAACAATTCTGTGTAAAACAAATTATAACCTCTTTTTACATCTGGTGATGATCCTCAAATTAAGTGCTCTTGTTCTGCATCCCAAATGAATTATATTTATATTTCTCTTCAATACTTGGAGTCCTGTAGCTCAGTGGTTAGAGCACTCGCTTTGCAAGTGAGACCTGAGTTCAATTCCAGGCAGAGGGCGAAACCTTGGGCAAGTTTCCTTACTCCACACACCTAATAATAATCCCTCCAAAAAAAAACAGTAATAAATTGGTCATTTTCAATCCACGACTGTTTGTGGGACATTGCTGTGCGCAATTGGCTGCCGCATTCGCCCACAAATATTCAGTCAATTCACTTTACAGTATTTTCTGTGAAGCACTTTGGGGTGTCTAGAAGACGTGAAAAGCGCTATATAAAATGCAAGGATTATTATTATTTCTTATTTTTTCAGGACCACCGAAGTATCTGCGAAGAAGCTTTATTAAGAGTTAAAGGTGTTATCAGTTTTACATTTCAAATGACTCTTCAGAGATGTGTTATCCGTATCTGTTCTGATCTTAAAACCGAGGTAAGCATGTTCCACGAATTTTAGTATGTGTTATTGGAACTTGCGTGTTAGCATGACGGCACCTTGAACACAAGGAGAAAAGCAGAATTGGTTAGTCGCACCTTTCGTAGAGTACAATATACGTGATTGTGCAAACAGTTACACAGTATGTGACAATGTTTTCCAATTTTATTTGTAATAGTTTTGTAGAAACATGCATATTTCAGGCAGGCAGGTGGTCAGATCATGCGGCAGTCAATATTTGCCCAGAAAACACAGTCACTAATTTTACAATATATCTTGTGAAGCCTTTTGGTAAGTGCTCATCAAAGGAGCCACACCAAATCAAGATTTATTATTACATCTTTAAGAAGAGAGTCTTCACTCCAGTATTTTTTGTCTTTATGTACACATTGATTTATAATAAAACCCTTTGGGGGATTTGACCATGCCAGTGTAAGAGAGAAGAATTAACACAGGATATATCCACTTGCCTGCCAGAGATCTGCATGTTTGCTCACAACTATTCAAAATAAAACAATTAGAAAACAATGTTGCATAAATTGGAAATTCTTCCAATTTATTTGAAGAAGTGAAAATTGATCCCGAGATTCTATGCGATAGTATGATTGCAGTTCCATTAACTCATCCGTGCCTTACAATACATTTGTTACAGATAATAAATGTGGTAGATTTGACAGGATCTCGAGAAAAGTAAAACTAATTTACAGTGATAATTGAGCCAAATCAAGAAGGGGGGAGGATTGGATTACTGAGTTACTGGCTTCCCCCGCATTTGCCTCAGCTGATTTTAGTGGGTTACTTTTGAAGTTGTGTGGCTCAGTGGTTAGAGCACTCGCCTCACAAGTGAGAAACCTAGGTTTGATTCCCGACAGGACAAAATGTTGGGCAAGTTTCCTTCCTCCACAAGCCTCTGTTTACCTAGCAGTAAGTTGGAATTTGGTTGTTAGTCAATTGGCGGATCGCTTTTCCAGGGGTAATAATTCCTTCAAAAAAAATAATAATAATAAATTGGTCACTTCAATCCACGACTGTGGGACACTGCTGTGCACAATTGGCTGCCACGTTTCGCTCACAAAATATACAGTCAATTTACTTTGCAGTATATTCTGGGAAGTGCTTTGAGACATAAGGTGCTATATCAAATGCAAGGATTATTATTATTATTAATAAAGCATAAACTTGTGAAAGTATGGGTTAATTTAATAATGTAAGAAGTCAGTGATGTTTGCCACTTTTGCCACTTCGCCTCCAGTTAAGAACAATGCCTTTATTTAGTAAATTGCCCAATAAACATTTATCTTACGTTGCTGTCTCAGTCATGCCTTAGTTAATAGTATCCACATGTGCACAACTAAGATTTTTTTGACGACCTCGGACCTCAGCTTTCCTGCCACATTAGGGCCATGATGCAGAAACGTAGTGGATGTGCAGATAGTCATTGTTAGGATATGCAGCATTATGTACTTGTGAAAATATAAAATTTTAAATAGCATTTAAGCATAATGCTGGTTCATTTCTGAAATGTATTTCTTTTGAAATATTTTACTTAATTGCAGTGCCTTGCTTCAGCTATTGCAGCTACAAACGTATTACAAGCTCATCAAGTTATTAAAAATGAGAGTGGAGAAGAGGTAAGTTGATAATGGGTTTATTTAGTGCATCTTAACCTTTGCAAGTCAAAGATAGTTATTCAAACAATACTTAGTGGAAAGGGAAGAGGAGAACTACAAAGATAACTGTTGAGATTTTTTTTTGCTACCAACTCCCCTCTGACCTCCATCTGTCCCTCCTTGCACACTTTTGATCCCATCTCCATTATCTCCCAAATGAAGCCCAACACCTGCTCCCTTAACCCCATCCCTACCCCTCTCCTTATCTCCCAGTTACACCTCTTTTCCTCGATACTAACAGGCATCAACCTCTGTATCGCTACAGATAATAGATGTGGCATTGTTCGCCCCTCCTTAAAAACAGCTGACTTCACCCCCACCCTCCAAAAGCCTTTGCTTGACCCGCCTCTGTTCTCTAACAATCGTCCCATCTGCAACCTTCCTTTTCTATCCAAGGACCTGGAATGAGTTGTTGTTTCCCAGATTTGCTCTTTCCTCTCCTCTTCCAGCATTCGCCATCATGTGTGGCATTCCTTAGGCCTCTCTATCCTTGGTCCTCTCCTCTTTAACATTTACCCTTTTCACTCGATGATATCATTCGTAGCCACAAAGTTAACTTTCACATGTTTGCAGATGACATCCAATTCCATCTCTCTGCCTCCACCTTTGACTCCAGGACCACAACTGTCCTGAATGTCTGTCAGACATCAAGTTCTGGACGAGAGCAAACTTTCTTCTGTTTACTGTTGACAAAAGGGAGGCTCTCCTGCTATGCTTCCGTCAGTCCTCACCTCAGGAGTTGACAGCATCACTATTCATGGATGCGCTCTCCACCTCACCAAGCCAGTATGGAAGCTTGGCGTCTTGTTCGACCCTCAACTGTCCTTTAAGTCCCATATCCGTGCCATGACCCACTCTGCCTTCCCCCACCTTCACAACATTGCCTGTCTCCGCCATTACCTCTCCCCTCAGGCTGCCAAGACTATCATCCATGCTTTCATCACGTCTAGACTTGACTATGCTAACTCCCTGCTTGCCGGACTTCCCAACTCTTCCCTCCACAAACTGCAGATTATTTAGAAATCTGGAGCTCGTGTCCTCTCCCGCACCAAGCTCCATGATCCGATCACCTCGCATGGCTTGACTGGCTCCCCAAAGGATCGAATTTAAGATTCTTGTCCTCACTTTTAATGCCCTCCACTGTCTTGCCCCTCCCTATCTCTGCGACCTGCTAAAACCTTATCAACCTGCTCGCTTCCTCCGCTCGGGAGGCACCGGCCTGCTCCCTGTCTGCCAGGCGCCACCTCTCCACTCCAACATCTGCAGTCGAGCCTTCAGCCTTTGTGCTCCCACCCTCTGGAACTCCATCCTTTCACCTCACCCCCTTCCTTGCCTTCTTTAATGCCTCCTCAAGACATAACCTTGGGCTCTTTAAAATTAAGTGGAGTTAGTGGGTAAGATATATGATGCAGAAAAAAATTGTATCCTGAATAATTTTACCCCAGATGTAATGTTTTACACAAACTGCGTCCAGTTTAACCATATCCTTTATTTTGCAGATTGTGATATCTTTAAACTCACATAATGCAAAAGTTGAAGAAAAAAATGTAGATTTACCTGATTATCTTCCAGAAGATGAAAGCGTAAAAAATGATCATAAAGCTGTTTCAAGAGCTGGAACAAAGGGAAACACTGTTACTTGGCTAAATGCAGCAGCAAACTTTCTAACAAAAACGTTCTACTGGTGAGGCAGTATCAAAATATTTGTGGTTCAGATACATGTTGACCAATGGCATGATAATTGCAACAAATGTGTTCTGAAATGTAGCTATTTTCATTAATGCAGTGGCACTCTTCTATAAAGCAATAGATATATCACCAGGCTCCATGATCCTATTACCCCATCTTTGTCTGGCTCCTCATCCCCCAGAAGATAGAGTTCAAAATCATCATCCTGGCCTTTGAAGCCCTCCATGGCCTTGCTGCTCCCTACCTCTGTGACCTGCTAACCTGAAACCCTAGCTCAGGTCCAAATCCCTGACACTGACTGTCGAGCACCTTGGGACGTCCTCCCAACATGAAAGGCAATATACAAATGGAATTTGTTGTTTTAATTAGGGTCCATAAAATCCCAACCAAATGCAAAATGTGGGGTAAGTTAATGTCCAAACCAACAAAGTGGTTTTCACTGTTTATTGTATAAAGGGATTGCTTATGTTTACTGTTAAAATATATACTATAGATTTTAAAGAATGATAGTGTGCATTTCTACATTTTATCAAAATGAAATGGATACATTTCAATATTGCTCCTAAATAGTTATGAAAATTTTAATTATTTTCAGGTCTTACCATTATTTAACAAAAACATCCAAACGTATTAAAACTTCATTGTATTTCATCAAACTTCTATAAGTAAAAGCTATTGTTAAAAAGTCTAAGTCTCTCCTTGGTTGCTGAGTGGGAAAGAGGTGCAGAGTGGGAAGGAGGTGCAGATGAGAACTTGTTTTGATCTCCTTGTAAAGCAGAAGCAGAACCAGTGAAAGAGCTCAGTGCGGGAGCTTTTTCGGGGAGAGCCTTTCTCGTCGGGAGGATGTCCCAAGACGCTGGACAGTTGGGTCGGGACCCGAGCAGGGGGGAAATGGTGAGGGGAGGGAGCGAGGAGTGGGTAGAGTCGAGAGGGGAGCTGAAGGCACGGTTGAAGAGAAAGGTCTTGAGACCGGCCTTGAAGGAGGAAAGGGAGGAGGCGGCGAAGGCACTGGGGGATGGAGTTCCAGAGCCTCGGGGCTGAGAGGCTGAAGGCCCGACCACCGATGGTAGGGCGGTTGGGGCGGGGGATGTGGAGCAGACTGGAGCCAGAGGAACGGAGGGTACGGGCAGGTAAGTAGGGGATAGTAGGTCGGAGAGGTAGGAGGGAGCAAGGCCGTGAATGGCCTTGTAGGTGAGGATGAGGATCTTGAATTCGATCCTCTGGGGGATGGGGAGCCAGTGGAGGCGAGCGAGGGTAGGAGTGATGTGGTCCCGAAGCCTGGTGCGGGACAGTACACGAGCTGCAGAGTTCTGAATGACCTGCAGCTTGTGGAGGGAGGTGGCGGGAAGGCCGGCGAGGAGAGAGTTCCCATAGTCCAGCCTTGAGGTGATAAAGGTGTGGACCAGAGTTTCAGCAGCGTGAGGGGTGAGGTAGTGCCGTAGTCTGGCGATGTTCCGGAGGTGATGGAAGGCGGTGCCAGTTGTGGCGCGGATATGGGGGAGAAAGGACAGCTCAGGGGCGAACAGAACCCCGAGGTTCCTGACTGACTTTGAGAGGTGGAGAGTGCAGCCTTGGACGCTGATGCTGTCAGCGCCTGAGGTGCGGAGGCGCTGACGAGAGCCAATTAGGAGGGCCTCAGTTTTGCGCATGTTGAGCTGAAGAAAGTTGTCTCTCGTCCAGGACTCGATGTCAGACAGGCAGGAGTGTTAAGTGGAGTGGAAGCTTGAAAGGGATAATGGCAACACAGGTAGTGTGTCACAGCTGCAGTATGTGAGAATTTTGTGGACAGTAAGACTGTCCCTGATGGTCACATCTGTGAGAAGTGCACGTGTCTTGAGTCACTCCAGCTCACGGTTTTTGACCTTGAGTGCGCATTAGAGACACTCTGACTCATAAGGGAGGGGGAGGAATCATTGGACAGTACTTCAGAACATAGCCACATAGTGAGGGACAGGAAGAGGAGTGTGAGATTGATAGCCAGCAGAGTAGCATTTAACTTAGTAGAGGCAGAGAAGGAGCCACTGGGAGAAGTCTGTGGGGAAGGAGGCCTGAATACAAACCAAAGCACCATAGAGAAAGCAGTGCAAGCGGGGGAGGAGCAGAATAGAAACGTAGTTATAGGGGATGAAATAATTACGGGGATCGAGGGTATCCTCTGCAGTCAAGATCGAGAGTCCCGGAAGGTGTGTTGTCTTCCCGGTAAGGGATATTTCAAAGCAGTTGGAAAGGAACTTGGAAAGGGAGGGCAACGAACCAGCTGCTGTTATCCATGCGGGAACCAATGACAGGAAAGAGCAAGGAGGTCCTGCTAAGAGAGTATCAAGAAATAGGGGTTAAATTAAAAAACAGGACCTCGAAGGTGGTAATCTCTGGATTGCTACCTGAGCCACGTGCAAATTGTCATGGAGATAAACAGATCAGGGAAATGAATACGTGGCTGAAAGAGTGGTGTGAGAAGGAGCAGTCTGTTTCATGGGACACTGGCTCCAGCACTGGGAATGAGCTGTACTGCTGGGATGGGCTGCTACTGACCAGGGCTGGAACGAAGGTACTAGCGAAAAGGATAGATAGGATTGCAGAAAAAGCTTTAAACCGTAAGGAGTGGGGGAGGGTGGAAATCAAAACATAAGGTAAGGAGAGGATGAGAGCATTGGTCAGAATACAAATAAAGATAAAGATAACATAAATGCTACAGGAAAGAAAAAGGTAACAGGAAGTTATCACAGAAGGTGTAACACGTCAAAAAGTGTGAGAAGAACATCATCAGGATGTATAGGCATGTTGGGGATAGTTCCCAAATAAAAGTTAAGTATACAAATGCACGTAGCATAAGAAATAAAACAAGTGAGTTAGAAGCACAAATTCAGTTTAAAGGGTATTATATAGAGACCTGGTTACAAGCTGGTCAGGACTGGGAGCTAAATATTCCAGGCTATAAAATCTTTAGAAAAAACAGAGATATTGGGAAAGGAGGAGTTGCAATATTGATAAGAGATACCATTAAAGCAGTGGAAAGATTTCCGTAAGGCGATCAGGTAGTGGAAACACTGTGGGTAGAATTGAGAAACAACAAAGGAGGTAAGACTCTGCTAGTAGTCTACAGACCTCCAGAGAGTTGTGATGTAGTGTGAATTGTATAAATATGGAGATCGGGAAGCATGTAGCAAAAGCAATGTGGTTATAATGGGAGATTTTCATTTTCACATAGACTGGGAGAAGCAGGACACCAGGTAGTAAAGGCAACAAATTTCTAAAATGTATTCAGGATAGGTTTTTTGGAACAATATGTTTTAGAACCAACAAAGAAATAAGCCTTACTGGGTTTGGTAATGAGTAATGAACCAGAACTAATTAACAATCTGACAGTAAGGGAACATAACAACAACAACTTGGATTTATATTGCGCCCTCCATGCCAGGCGGCGTGTCAGAGCGCTTCACAGTAACGGATCCCGGGGCCGAGCCAGGGGGAGGGGGAGGAAGGTGACCAAAGGCGCAATCAAAAAAAAGATCTTCAGCCGAGACCTGAAAGTGGGAAGAGAGGGGCGAGGCGAAGGGAGTGAGGAAGGGAATTCCAGAGCCTCGGGGCATAGTGACTGAAGGCACGGCCGCCGATGGTGGAGCGGAGGATTCGGGGGACAAGGAGGAGGCCAGAACCGGTGGAGCGAAGGCAACGGGCACTGTTGTGAGGAGAGAGGTCAGAGAGGTAGGGGGGTGCAGAGGAGTGAAGGGATTTGAATACAAACGTGAGGATCTTGAAATCGATCCTCTCTGGGACAGGCAGCCAGTGCAGTCTGGCAAGGACTTGGGTGATCAGGGAGCGGAGTTTGCAAATAGTGATCATAATATGATTGAATTTGACACTGAATTTGAGCGGGAGAAGAAAGAGTCCCAAACCAAGGTTTGAAATTTAAGTGAGGCAAACTTCGATGGGTTGAGAAATATATTGACCACAGTAAACTGGGCTGAACTGTTAGTGGGTAAACCTGCAGATGAACAATGGGAAGTATTCAAAAACGTATTTGATACAATACAGAACAAGTACAAACTCCCTAAAATGCAAAAGCTCCAATCGTGTAGTTAAGCAACTGTGGCAGATAAAAGAGGTTAGAGACTGTATCAAGCTAAAAGGAAAGGTTTACTCAAATGCAAGAAAAAAGTGGGAATGCAGAGGACTGGGGGAGCTACAAAAGGCAACAAAAGGATACAAAGAAAGTAATAAAAGGAGCAAAAAGGAAGTATGAAAAAAAACTTGCAAGGGATATCAAAACCAATAGTAAAAGCTTTTATAAATATATTTTTTAAAAATGGTCAAGGGGAATGTGGGTCTGTTAAAGACAGATGTAAGTGAGACTATAACGGCAAATAAGGAAATGGCTGACTTGTTAAATACTTTGCTACTGTTTTTACAAGTAGAGGATGAGAACAAAATACCAGCTGTACAGTTGAGCATAAAAATAAGTCAAAGAAAAATGCTTAATAAAATTAATATAAATCAAAATATGGTAATGGAGAAAATAATGAGACTCAAGATAGACAAATCTCCAGGACTTGATAGTTTCCACCTCAGCGTGTTAAAGGAAATAGGAGAGAAAATTGCACAAGCATTCATCATAATTTTCCAAAGCTCACTAGATTTGGGAACTGTGCCCTTCGATTGGAAAATTGCAAATGTCACCCCTTTATTTAAGAAGGGAGGCAGGAAGAAACCAGGTAACTACAGACCTGTCAGCTTATCAGTTATAGGGAAAATACTGGAATCCATCATCAGGGACAGAGTTACTGAACACATGGACAGGTATGAGCTAGTCAGAGAGTCAGCATGGGTTTGTGAAGGGTAGGTCGTGTTTGACTAATCCAGTTGAATTTTTTGAGGTCACTAAACTGATGGATAAGAGAGTATGTATAGATGTCGTTTATGTGGACTTTCAGGAGGCATTTGATAAGGTTCCACACAGAAGGTTATTAGTGAAAATGGAAGCGCATGGAGTCGGAGGTAACCTTGGATGTGGTTTGGTAATTGGTTGGGAGGCAGGAAACAGAGTAGGGATAAATGAAACGTTCTCTGATTGGCTGGATGTGACAAGTGGTGTCCCCCAGGGGTCTGTACTGGGGCCCCAGCTATTCGCCATATGTTTTGACTTGGATGAAGGAATAGAAAGTTTTATATCCAAGTTTGGAGACAACGCTAAGCTAGGAGGCTCAGTAAATTGTGCAGATGGGAATAGGAAGTTACAAAGGGATTTAGACAGATTAAGTGAGTGGGCAAAGCTGTGACAGATGGAGTTCAATGTAGGGAAGTGTGAGGTCATCCACTATGGACTGAAAAAAGATAAAAGCAGAATATTTTCTTAATGGGGAGAGATTAAGAACTGGGAGGAGTGAAGAGATTTGGGTGTCCATATCCACAAATCACTAAAACTAGTTCCCAGGTGCAAAAAAGTACTCAAAAAGGCGAATGGAATTTTGGCCTTTATCTCAAGGGGCCTGGAATACGAAGAAGGTGAAAAGATGCTTCAGCTGTATAGAGCGTTAGTCAGACCCCACCTGGAGAACTACATTCAGTTTCAGGCACCACTGCCAATACTGGAGCGGCCAGGGAACGAGGAGCAGGCCAGAGTCTGTTGAGCAGTAGTGGACAGGTCGTTATGGAGAATATAAAGAAATGAAGAGATGACTTATGCGAATTTTAAGGTACATCAAATGCAAGCATTTTTAATTATTTTAATACAGACAATTTGGCAAACAATTTCACCTCGTGGACAATTCACTTCAACACTTAAGCAAATAGGGAATGAGACAATTATTTGCTAGAAAGAACTAGCAGGATGCTTGTGTTGTATCTAGCAATAAGTTGGTAGCGGTTTCAACACATTACAAATAGCATCCCTGTATCAAGGTGAGTATAGATCAACATATGTTGAAAGCTTGATTATAATCAACAATAATTTGGGCATTATTGATCTTTTGTATATTTATAAATTCCTATAGAAGAGCGATTAAAAATCACATAGCAAGCAGGATGTACTTGTGTGTAGAACCATATGATCGTACTTAGAGTGGATTCTTCTGAGGTATGATGGCTAATGCTAAGTGGGGTGATCTGATCAAGAATGTTCTATTCTAATTCACAATGTGTCCAGATGTTTTAATTAATCAGATCTCTTTAATTCAATTAATCGGCCATATCTACCATAAATGCGTGGAGTCTGTAGCTTAGTGGACTCGTCTTGCAAGCAAGAGGACCTGGGTTTGATTCCCGGGTAGGGCAAAACGTTGGGCAACTTTCCTAACTCCACACGCCTCTGTTTACCTCGCAGTAAGTAGGAATCCTGTTGTTAATCGATTGGCAGATCGCTTTTCCAGAGATTTTCCATTGGTAAGCAAGCATTCTCCTTCAAGACCCTCCTCTTCAACTGTGCCTTCGGTCACCCTCCTTCCCTCCCCTCCATCCTCCATCCACCCCTCCCCCGCCCTCCACCCTCCCCAATCCCCAGCTCGGGTCCAAAAAACTGATTGTCCATCGCCTTGGGAAGTTCTCCTGACCTGAAAGGCGCTATACAAATGTAATTTTTGCTGTTTGTCTGTTGTAAGTATCCCTTCAAAAAAATATGTAAATAATAACTGGGTCACTCAATACACGATTGTTTGTGGGACACTGCTGTGCGCAATTGGCTGCCGTGATTTACCCACAAAATATACAGTCAATTCACTTTACAGTATATTCTGTAAAGTCAAGTACTTTGAGACGTCTCGAAAATGTAATAATAAACTATATCAAATGCAAGGATTATTATTATTACTGCTAGCATCTTTCTTTCAAGGCTCCTTCACTTAAATTTTTTTAAAAAATCTATATTCTTGTCACTGCTTTGTCATTTAGAACCATGACAATTGATTGCAAAGCATACAATAATAATAATAAGCATACAATGGAATGAGAAACCTTTTTTAGTTGGATATTTCATGCAAAACAGATAATGCTATTAGCACATGAATGTGATGTATCTTCCCTCATGATTTTTAGCAGCACAGGTGAAAAGACACATTACAAGCTATTTGGGACTTGGAAAAATCATAACGTAGTTAGATTGTGACAAAGAATCCTTAGTCATGAAGCAGAACTCAACATATTTTAATATTTGATACAAGATGAAAACAATGAATAAGACTTCTATTAAGTGATTATTGTACCTTAGGTTTAAATTGTAGATCTAGTAACATTTAAATAAATCAAAATTGTATTCAAATATGTTTATTTTCTTTACCACCCAACAACCTTGGTGATAAAATTCTTGGCTGACACAAAGAATTAGTCACTAATTAAAAGACTTGTCACAAGTTATACAAGAAGTCCTCCCCTTCAGGTAGCCCGAAACAGTGCGCTATAATTAACATTTTTTGGGGGAAAAAAGGACAAGAAAAACACTTCATTAAACAATTATTTAAGAGAAGCAAAAAACAAAACACAAAATGCAGCCACCTACAACATTAAAAAATCCCCCAAATGACTTTTTTCAAATACAAGTAATACAAGGTGTTTATTTTCTGAAACTGTGCTTTTTTAATAGTAATATCTCATACACTTCAACAAGCCATGCAGTTATCAATAGCTAAAAAATACTGTCTATATATGTAATATAGATAGTTCACAGCCAACAATTAAATCACACGCTTGTGTACAAACAACGTTTTTTATTCAGGTTTACCAAGACCATCAATCAACATTAAAACTGAATTAAAAACCAATATCTGATTATAAATCAAAGATGATTAAAGAAACGTAGTAACTAATAATCCACTTGTATAATTCAGGGGAAGATGTTCATCTTATTTTCTGGCAACGGTGACTTAGTTTTAAATGTGATGTTCCTGCAAAGCAAAAAAAAGGGGGGGGAAGAAAGGAATTATAAAATGCATGCAAAAATCTTACACAAACAGGAAACAGCATCTCTAATTCCCCTTCAAAAGGAATAGTTCATCACTGTTCAGATAAAAGTTCAAAAAACAATATTTCAATCTGGAAATCAGTTTTAAATTCTCCCAAATATCATTAACTATTATCTTGTTGACAAAGGGGCATTCCATTAGGATAACAATACATACAGTAGCTACTGCTTTAAGTATTAGAAGAATCTGCACAATTAAAAAATGTTTGCCTTTACAGTTTTTTTAAAAAGGACTGCTGTAAAATAAACACTGCTTATTTATTAAATACTCTTAGGCTCAACTACGCCAACTCCCTCCTTGTTGGCCTTCCCAACTCTTCCTCTTCCTTCCACAAGCTGCAGATCATCCAGAGCTCTGCAGCTCGAGACCTCTGCACCAGCCCCTGAAACCCTATCACCCCCACTCTTGCCCGGCTTCACTGGCTCCCCAACCCCCAGCGGATAAGAGTTCAAAATCCTCGTCCTCGCCTTCAAGGCTCTCCATGGCCTTGCCCCTTCCTACCTCAGTGACCTGCTAACGGTTAGCAACTAACCCCATATCAACTTGTCCTCTCCCTCCACTCAGCAGGTTCCAATTTGCTCCACGTCTGCCGCCTGGCCCACCATTGACAGTCGGGCCTTCAGCTTCTCTGATCCCACGCTTTGGATTCCACCCCACAGTTCCTCCCCCTTGTTCCCTCCCTTGCCTCCTTCAAGATATGTCTCAAGATCCTCTTCTACCACCTTCCTACCATTACTCTTCCCTGCCCTCCACTCCTCCTGGTCCCAACCCCCTGCTTGGGTCCAAATCCCATATCCCTGACTGTCCAGCGTCTTGGGACATCCTTCCGGCGTGAAAGGCGCTATACAAATGTAATTTGTGCTGTTGCTTCAAAATAAGAATAAAAATGAATAGGAATGGAGGAGAAATGGTGAGAGTCATGTAGATCAAAGTGTGTCAGAACAAGAACCTTTCACAAATGAAGTAGGCCTGTTTTTGGAACACGTCTAGTTCATTTATTTTGAAAAATTAAAACAATTAAAGGTTATTAAATGAGAAAGATGAATTAAAAATCTTTTGGAAATGAAATGGATCAACTGCCTGCAATAGATGCGATCCTTTGAAATTTTAAATGTTTAAATTGATAGCCATTACAAATATTAGAGTAATATTATGAACTTAACTTAAAATTTTACGATAAGTATTACAAAGGTGGCAAAGTGTTCTCAAAACAAATTTTAAGCAAGCAAAAACTATTTTATATCATCATAAGCAAGGTTAGCAACTGTTGTGTACTTGAGGAGATTCAGAACTCACTTTAATAATGTTCATTATTGAAGCATGTATTTGTATTGTTGATTCTCAACAATAACCCGTAATATTCACCAGTGGATATTAGAATTATTGAAGCTACTGAATCTAGACATCCATCAAAATTTGAATGGTTAAATACAGTAGTTTAAGAATAAATACTTTAGCCAATATATACTTTAGTTATTAATTAGTACATATATCAGTGGGTGTTTTAGCAAAGGGTCATTAACTGATGCACAACACAACTGGAACAAAATTACATTGGTGTTCAAACAGATATTTATGTTGAATTAATCGCTCAATAAGCACCATGAATTAGATTTAATACAAAATAATTAGGACAGCTGTTAGTTATAGCCTGAACAAAGTATCCAAAATATATTTTCAAGAATGGTCAAAAGTCAGTCTTCCATTTAGTATGTCCATACCACTTAAAATTTTGCTGTACAATATTATTATAATAGGCAAAATAAATTCTTATTCTGATGACCTTATCTTAACAAACACAGATGACCAATGGTACAAGCTGTAGCATGGTGAGAATTCAATTCTGTAAGTATACCATGAATATGCTATGGTCTTAAGCATACATTCCTCACCAACTCCTCACAAATTGGTGCAAGAGAACCCTGTTTCTACTTCATTACAAATAAGTGAATTTTGCTTTGGTCACCGTGCTTAAGAGTATCCAAATAAGCTTAAAAGCGTTGTGATTCTAATAATCATTAGCACTACCATAAATCAAAATTCTTTTTACTTCCTTCAACACAACATAAGTGTCTTCTATTTTATGAAAAATTCCATATCCAGAGTAAAGGCTGGTGCTCAGCAGATCCTTCCCCTTTATTTGTTGTATTTTATGAATGGATGTAAAGGAAGGAGACGTTAAAAAAAATGTGCTCACTCAATCTACAACGGTTTGCGGGACACTGCTGGGCGCAATTGGCTGATGCAGTTCACCCACAAAATATGCAGTTAATTCACTTTACAGAAAATTCTGTGAAGCACTTTGAGACGTCTCGAAAACGTGATAAGGCGCTATATCAAATGTATGGATTATTATTATCATATAAGTCTATGTCATAGACATAAACATAGAATAAGTCATATATAACTCGCTACACTGAGTACATTATATCTTTAAAAATAAATACCTTGAACAAAAAAAGCTTCATTATTTGAGTTCAAGCTCATATAGAGAATAAACATTTAAGCGTACGAGAGTTCAACTGCACATTGAGTACTTTAGATTCAGCAAAATAAAATGGAAGGGATTACAAGAACCAAAAATATAACTTAAAAATTTGCAGGGAAATGTTTTACAAAATCTTTTCAAGTGATGAATCATGTAAACAAGAATATAAATAAGTGTGCTGAACACTGAAGCACTAGATTCACTACTGACATCTTAACATGCATTAATCACTGAACTTTTTGAAACATATATATATTGAGTAACATTATTGAATCAAGATTAAAAAGTGTATAAATTAAAAACAAAAGAGTACGCATCCCTTTGAATCCAATCTATGAATAAAAATACACTGCTAACATATCTATTTTTATACTAATAAAACAACAATATCTGTCTGCGCTTCAAGAAGGATCTCAATAACCAATTGATGTAGTGTCATGATTTATACCTCATTGGAAAGGTCTTTCAACTTTTATATATATATATATATATTATCAGTGTATTTTTATTCACCTGATCTCTAATCAGTAAAGAACAGTGGCACTCAATGTAACCAAAAATGCATTTGTTGCCACTAACATGAATAAATGCCCTATTATAAGCAATAATCTCAGCTGTATATGCAAACTCAAACTCTATATGTCACATAAGTGTGCTATGGACACTATGTGCTATGGAACCAAAATTATCTCAGATCCTTACATTCAAAGGAAAGCAATTGATAAACAGTCTGCTTAATGATTAAGTTTCTATGTGGATGCATAGCTTTGACCCTGTCAAAAAGTACCTCTACTCAGTCTACACAACACTCACATTTTTTAGTGTTCCATCTTCAACTAAACTTACACAGAACACATGTAGATTCTGAAGCTCACTCTGATGGAATTTTGTTTAGCTTTCCACTTTAACATTGTGTTGTTTTCCAGAAGCAGCCAGTATTCAGGTAGGCATGACCAATCATTCAAAGCAGCATATGGTGGGGTCTTATATCAGATCATTTAAATACTGAAGTTGATATTAAATACACACCTGATCTTTCTGAATCAGATCTTTTCATTTACATAATAATAATAACATACAGAACAGAGCAAAAGATTGATAAAGACCGAGTTAGTGAATTAGGCTACAGAAATTATTTTTGAATCCTGCTTTTCCCCATTTCAAGTAAATGATTAAGATCCTGAGTTTTTTTAAAAAAAGTAATGCAAACATTCACCTGAATCAAATACAACACTGACATTTTTCCAACCTTTTTGGTTCATAGCAGTTCTGCAGATAAATATGTATGTATAGTATAAACCTGTACTCAGTAGTTTATAATCTTGCCCTCACTAATTTAATGGAATCCAGCTAGTTTTGGAGTTATGCTGTTCTAGATTTTAAAATCAGACCAGTAGCAAGCAGCAGAGCGCTAGATTAATAATATGTAGTTTTGATTGTCACAGTTTCCTATCACTCAAATCCATTTGGCATAGTTGGGAAAAGTAGATTTGGTTCAATCCCAAGTAACTAGCTGAAGTGCTTTGTAGAACTGGAGTGTTCCCCTTGGGAAAGGAAATATCTCAAGACAACCTTCTGGTCAGTTGATCAAGAATGGCTACCAATGTCAAGTCCATGGTGTGGACCATTCCATCCCTCCCAGCAGCAGAAGTGTGGAGGGAAGGTTAAAAAAAACAGCAACAAAAAAGTACGCATATTTAAGTACAAACTTAGAAAAATCGTAACTTTAATCCAGTTCTCACCAAGTATACCTTTTCCTCTTTGTGTCTGTCCTTTCTCTCCTCTTCATCCTCTATTCCTCCATTTTCCTCCTCCTTTTCATCGCTTCCCTGATATTTGTCATGTGTCCACTTTGGACTGCTGCTCGATTTTTTGAAAATAAAACGCCCTCGTCCTCTTGGAAAAGTACCTCGCCCCCTTCCCCTTTTGGCCCAGTAATCCACCCCATCATCTCTGTCATCATGCTACCATGAAGAGAGAAAAGAACAGGAAATACTTCACCATTTTATCAGGTTAATGCCTTTTTCTGGAACTCCTCCACCAGATTATAGTTTGCTCATACAGCTACTAACAGGCACATGCAAACTGCCATTAAAATGCTGACTACGTAACAATCCAAACTATTTCTTTAAATATGGACCAGCTCCACACTACTTTATTTAAGACATCTGAATATCCACGTAGAACACTACAAACAAGCAATCTTAGTCATGAAAATCAAGTGTAAAATATAGACAATGAATATATTTTGAAGGATTCCTTGGAGCTGGTATGAACAGGATACAAAATTCTGCAGGGCAGAAGCCACTAACTACAGAGTAACCACTTTACTTTTATGTTGTGATTAAAGTTTATTTTCTTCCCTAGATTTTTCATAACAACTCTAGTTGAATGTAGTTGTATAAGATTACGGTTTGGTCGGAAAAGTATTAACACTGGTTAGCATTTTAGCCAACCTCAAAACATGACTTATTTTATGATCCATGCAGAACAGTAGCAATAATAGTGCTGTTAACCTAATTAAGTTTCTTTTTAAAGCAAACTTGCATTACATAATTTACATAAGTACCTCAAATTCAATAAGTGATTATTTTAAACTGACAATTACAAGCCTTATGCCGTGATAACAATGAGGGAGAGAGAAGGGAGCAGATTTACAATACTGACTTAGAATAAAAGTTAACAAAACTCCCGGTACATAGTTATGGTCAAATCCCATACCCCTCAAAAAAGAAAGGCTCAAGAGTACACCAATTACCAATACCCACCAGGAAGTATTTCTTGCTCTTTGGAGTATATTCAGGATCCCACTCCTCCTCCTTGGATCGCTTTTGAAAGTTTGGGTTTGTAGCACTGGTGGAAACAGCACTCAACCCAGAGAAAGTTCCTCTGGCTCTTCCTCTGCCACCTCTTATACGAAACTGCTAAATATTCAAAGCACAGAATTCTGTTAGATTCTTTCTAAACAGCATTCCCTCCAAATATTTTGGCAAATGAAAAATGAAGGGTAATGGGAGAGGGGGGGTTTGGAGGAGAAGAAAGCAAGAGGAAAAGACAGCTAAGGAGGATTTGATGTGGCAGGAGAAACACGCACCAGCATTCCTGCTGGTTATAGGAGTTAATATCTCTACTTCACTTTCTGAAATTAAGCAGATTAAAAATGTTTCCATGCTCTTACTTCCTTCACCTTTTCTACCATTAAATTTAAATTTTATTCTACCTGTATTGCTTTTTACAAAGGCGTCAAATAGATATGCTTAATAGATGTTCCGTATAGCAATCTATATGCTGAGAGTTGGAGAGTTGAGTTATTAAAAGGTAGCTTTGGGGTGAGAAATATACAATAACAATTTGCACTTATGTAGCGCCCACCACGCAGTGTAGCGTCTCAGAGCGCTTAACAGTGGTGGAGCCTGACTCCGAGCGGAGGAAGGAGGATGCGGCCGTAGGCACGGTCGAAGAGGAAAGTTTTCAGGCGGGACTTGAAAGTGGGGAGAGAGGTGGCAAGGGGGAGAGATTGAGGGAGAGCATTCAAGAGTTTTGGGTTGTAGTAGCTGAAAGCACGACCTCCGATGGTGAGGCAGAGGGTTCGAGGGATGAGCAGGAGGCTGGTGCCAGTCGAGCGGAGTCGCCGGGTGGTGGACTGGGGAGTTCGGAGTTCGGAGAGGTAGGGAGGTGCCGGGAGTGAATGGCTTTGAACACGAGTGTGAGGATCTTGAAGTTGATGCCCCATGCTTGGTGATGGGGCGCCAGTGGAGCCTGGCCAGAACTGGTGAGATGTGGGTACGGAGTTTAGTCTGGGTCAGTATGTGGGCAGCAGAGTTCTGAATGAGCTGGATCTTTTGAATATTGGAGCTGGGGAAGACTGGCAAGGAGTGCGTTGGGAGTAATCCAAGCAGGAGGTGACAAATGCATGGACAAGGGTTTCGGCTGCATTTGGGGTAAGGTACGGTCAGAGGAGGGCAATGTAGTGGAGGTGGAAGAAGGCGGTCCTGGTCAGGGACAGGATGTGGGCAGGAATGACAGCTGGGGGTTGAACTGGATGCCTAGGTTGTGCACTGTTTCGGTGAATCTGAAAGGGAGCCCAGGGAGGTTGAGTAGTTTATCCTCAACAAAAGTTGAATCAAGTTTTAAACGCATGTATTGGTTTGCATGCGATGATAAAATAGAAAGGGTTATAGTTTTAAACACAGATAATTTCAGGCTGGTCTAGCCCGATCGACTATATACATTGAACCTGGAAGATTTTTTTCTAGACAAATTTGGTAGGTGTGTACATCAAAGCTGATAACCTATGAGATTTTAATTTCTTCAGAGAACACAACAACAACAACAACAAAATTACATTTATAGAGCGCCTTTCATGTCAGGAGGATGTCTCAAAGCGCTGAACAGTCAGGTGTTGGGGCCTGAGCATGGCGGAGGGATGGTGTAGGGGTGAGGAAGGCAGAGAGGTGGGAGGGAGACCAAAGGCACGGTCGAAGAGAAGGATCTTGAGACCGGCCTTGAAGGAGGCAAGGGAGGAAGCGAGGCGAAGGGACCGTGGGATGGAGTTCCAGAGTGTGGGGGCAGAGAGGCTGAAAGCCCAGCCACTGGTGGTAGGGCGGGTCGGGCGGGAGACATGGAGTAGGCCGGAGCCCAATGAACGGAGGGAGTGGGCAGGTTGGTAGGGAGTCAGCAGGTCAGAGAGGTAGGAGGGTGCAAGGTCATGGATGGCCTTAATGGTGAGGACGAGGATCTTGAACTCAATCCTCTGGGGGATGGGGAGCCAGTGGAGTCGGGCGAGGGTGGGAATGATGGGGTCACAGAGCCTGGTGCGCGAGAGTACACGAGCTGCAGAGTTTTGGATGATCTGCAGCTTGCGAAGGGAAGAGTTGGGAAGGCCGATGAGGGAGTTCCCGTAATCAAGCCTTGAGGTGACGAATGTATGGGTGAGGGTTTCAGCAGCCTGAGGGGTGAGGCAGTGGCAGAGTCTGGCAATGTTGCGGACGTGGTGGTAGGCAGTGCCGGTCATGGCGCAGATGTGGGAGAGAAAGGACAGTTCAGGGTCAAACAAGATACCCAGGTTCCTGACTTTTTTTCTGTGGGGGAAACCACAGCTAAAATTGTGGCATATATCAGTGTATACTGGAATCCTAAATATGATATGAAACTTAAGACCTGAACACGCTTAAACATGGTACTAACCTATTCACTTTAATTGAATAAATGGCTTTACACTAGTCCTGTTTAATCATTAACCCCAGAAACTTAGATCATATTGTATCATACTAACTGTTGATCCCAATCCTTTTAATAAATTAGGTATTAAAGACTTGAATATGCAGTGGCTGTTCTCACAAAAGTATATGGGAAAGGGTAATGTGAAGTCTTTCAGCGTCAATATAGAGGTTATACTGTACAAAAGAGCATTTACTAATTAATTTCTAGTTGCAGAGGTAACACATATGACAAGTTTAAATTAACACACCAACATGGAAGATAGATTTTAAAAAGCACTACTAGTCAGGTGGGACATAGGAAAAAGTGAAAATCTTTGCAAGACGAAGTGGAGGCAAGATGGGAGGGGGTGACCAAAGGTGCAGTTGAAGAGATTTTTAGATGGGTTTTGAAACCAGATATGGCAACAGTGAGAGGTGGCAATTGGAGATTAGACATTTATCCAGTTAGGGAAAATGAATAAGAAAATATAACAATGTACTACAGACTGGTCTCATCCAAGTCCTAGCTGCTGACAAAAGAGCAACATTGGTAGAAACCTCAGAGAAGATCAGTCCCTCAGACAGTAATTCCAGAATGACTCAGGGAAACCTGTTGATGAAAACAAAATCTACCACTCATCTATTTTCTCCCCATTTCAAATCCCAAACAATTTATCCACTTCATTTTAAAATCAAGAGCTTTTTTGCATACTCACCATCATGAGCGAAACTAAATTATTTTCAGTTATATAAAGAAACAAGCACCAGGAGCTTGAGCAACCTTATAAACCTGTGTCTACAAAACCCGAGCTCCATTCAAATAAGGTGCATATTTATACCATTTTAAAAATATACTGGGGAAAGGTGAAACAACATACACTGGTGCCAGAAGTTAACAAGAGGAACAAAGGAAACCATTAATTAGGTCTGATATAACCTTTTTTAAAAAAAATGTTTAAATAGAGTGCATAGTTTTATGATAAAGGAATGCATTTCTACAAGAATATCAAGGATTCCAGCCTCAATTTTTAATGAATGTTGAACACGGGCCTTGAGCTATTCTTCATTTCAAAACATCCCAAACACTACAATAGTTCCACACAGATTAGAAATTGATAAAGCACCTATGATGTAGATCCAGAGTTTCAAAGTACGGTGTACTACAAAATGCTCCTGCACCAAGAGTACCAATTGATTTGGTAATGCAAAAAGACAATACAAATACAAATTTTGTGAACAAGACATTTGTTGTTTTTTATTCCCCAATTCTAGAAATAAATTATGCCTGAAAATGTGTTGCGTACATCTACAATATTATATAAATTTAAAAAATTCATTATATATGCACATCTGAAAACACTGTTTGCTAGTTAGAACATAAGAACATACAAATAGGAGGAGTAGGCCATTCGGCCCCTCGAGCCTGCCCCACCATATGTTCAATGACTGAGCATCCACAGCCTTCTGGGGTAGAGAATTCCATAAATTCACTAGCCTCTGAGGGAAGAAATGTTTTCTCAACTCAGTTCTAAAGGGCTGACCTTTAATCCTGAGACTATGACCCCTAGTTTTAGATTCTCCAACCAGAGGAAACAGTCTCACAATATCTACCCTGTCAAGACCCTTAAGAATCTTATAGGTTTCTATAAGATCACTTCTAATTCTTCTATATTCTAGAGCATATAGGCCTAGTCTACTCAACCTCTCCTCATAGGTCAACCCCCTCATGCCAGGAACCAACCCAGTGAACCTACTTTGTACCCCCTCTAAGGCGAGTATATCCTTTCGTAGATAAGGATAAGGAGACCAAACTGCACATAATGTTCCAGGTGGGGGCTCACCAAGACCCTACACAATTGCAGAAAGATTTCTTATTCTTGTACTCTAATCCCTTTGCAATAAACGCAAACACGCTATTAGCCTTCCTAGTTGCTTGCTGTACCTGCATACTAACTTTCTGTGATTGGTGTACAAGGACACCTAAATCCCTCTGAACACTAACAGTATCTCGTCTCTCCCCCTCGAGAAAATAATCTGCTTTTAATCTGAAGAAATTAAAATCTCATGGGTTATCAGCTTTGATGTACACACCTACCATATTTTTTCTAACTAGGTGAATAAATTCACACTTCCCTACATTATACTCCATCTGCCACCTTCTTGCCCACTCACTTAACCTGTCTGTATCCCTTTGCATCCTCGTGTCCTCCTCACAGGTTTGTACCTAGCTTCGTATTGTCCGCAAATTTAGATACATTAAGCATTAGTTGATTAATTAACACTTCATTTTCAGTTGGAGAAGAATAGGAAATACTGAACTATTGAAAAACCATAAACACATATGGTTTGCTTCACTTGATATTTCTTATATCAATTGTGTGTTTTGGGGAGCCATGTTATTTTTTTGGACCACAGCGTTTGAGAGTTATCAGAACTATTTTTCAAAGGAAAGAAAAGGAAATCTTTGTGTGCAAGCAGGAAGTGTTTAGACCAGGTTAATAAACCACTTGCTGTCCTAATAAGAAACAATATATTTAGGGCATATGATATTCCATTTGACATACCTAGATGCATTCTTTAAAGCCTTCAACCCAGATCGTTAGTTAACCCCAACATCCGGTTTATGTTCCAAACATACCATGAATGTTTTTAAATTGCTACTTTCCATACAAATGGAAGTCAATCATGCCCTTCTGAATGGTTGCCTCCAAAATAAAACCAGAGCTGAGAGAAACAGAAAAGGCACAGCATTGTACATTGTCTACCAGGTAAAAAAAATAAAATTACACCAATATCTAGTCCCTTTTCTATTAAAGAAATGTTTCTCTGGAATTAACAGTGATTGCAATTGAGGAATTATTTTCCAAACTTCACAGCACTTACAAAGTTCCCTCTAGGTCTTCCTCGTCCTTGAAAACCTGCACTCTCTGTGTGTCCTTGGAACGACTTAAAGCCACCTGATCCATCATCCCTTTCTTTTCTGCTTTCTCTATCCTCAGGAGATTCAGGGGAAGACGACGAAGATGAAGAACTGGAATGGTCCTGATCTTTATTTTTAAACTTGCTACAAGAAAAAAGTTTATGAAATAATCACTACTGCACATGAAAAAGCAGAGACAATTAATGTTTCAGGCAACCCACTCATTCATTGTTACGAATATTACAATCCCCGAGATATATTTTGCATAAATTTTCAAAAAAAAGTTCATAGACAATAGGTGCATTGAAAAAAAATCACCTCCCTTTTTCTATAAATAAAATGGAAGCTGGCAAGGGAATATGTGGAACTCTGACCTTATTAAAATGAAGTACTATACTGTATAAACCACTATCAGGTAATTAAGAAATTCAGGACAATCGTCTTTTCATACAATCCCTGTTAATGCTTCAGCTCTGACACTGATAATCCAGTCAGATTTGCCATTTTCATTGTTGACGTGCTATCCCACGACTGTTTATCCTGTATAAAATTGCTATTGAGAAAGAAATGTTCAAATTATTACTGTAAATCAACCCTATTACACACATTTAAAATGTATCTGCTGTAAATTAACAAAATTAAGATCTTAAAGAAGTCTCACCTTCCTTCCTTGTAAGATTTGTAATCTTTGTACTCTTTATGATCTTTTCCTGATTTTTCCAAGGAAAGTTTCTTGGAGGCACTAGAATCTCGTGACCCTTCACGTTCTTTACTTTTCTCTTTTCTACGCCGATCAATATCGTGGCGCAAGTCAGCTGGATCACACTTCAATTTTTTTTCTGCCTAATTTTCAAAAAATACAGTAAGCAATAACCAAAATCAACAATTTTCCACATGGCTCAAATTAATATTTCTTGCATTTGATATAGCGCCTTATCACGTCATTGAAAAACGTCTGAAAGCGCTTCACAGAATAAAGTGTAGTGACTAGAATTGTCTAGTTATTCAACCCTGATTTCTTGTATGTATGTATCCATGCTCCATACTAGATTACCTACAAAACAGAAGTCATCAGACACTTCTTAGGGTGTTATTCTGTGATTGCAAAATTGCCCCTTCCCCCCAAATAAAATGTAAGGAAATATGAATTGGAATATTTTATGTGCTAACATTTTTAATACATTTCAACTCACTCGAACCAATAATAAATCTTCCTGAAACAAAGCTGAATGGCAGTAAATATCATGGTTCACCTTTCGGCTGTCCTCCTTCGAGGTTATCTCTTCCTCTGTCATTCGAGTGTGCTTTCGCAGCAAGCTGGGGGAGATGTCAATTCTCCTAAAAGTCATCGACAACATGTTATATACCTTCGATCCTCTTACTCTCTTATGCCTTCCCCAAGCAACAATATCAAGACACCTTCCTTAGATAATTATCATTGTCCTAGCAAACTATCCAGCATTGCATCTCATTTATAAAAGGCTTCTCTTTGTCGATTAATTTACATTGGAAGCTGTGTACAAGTAACAAATAATATTCTTGAGGCTATAACAATGGTTTTATGATATTCTTTGAAGTTCAGCATTGCAAATGGCAAGGTGCAGGATTCAATACCTGTGGATCTCGGGACTTTTCTGCCTGGTTCCATGGTCTTCAGCAGTCTTCTGATACATAGTAAAGCGCTCATTTAGGGTCATCCCTGTTGACTTGAAATAGTGTTCTGTTGGTTTCAGAGGAGACAAAATACTGTCTCGTTAGTTTACTTTTACGTACTTTACATAGTCCATTCTTGTGAAGCAAATATGTTGGGTGAGAAAAATAGAGTACATTTAAGAAACCTGGCAGAAGAAAAAAGGCAGATGGAATCATGCAGTAAATGTAAAAAACTGCAGGAATATTTTCTGAGCTACACATGGTAGACTCATTGTGCTGAGCTGAACCATGTTCATACACCTTTGACAATTTCCATATAAACTCTGCAAAGTATCTGATAACAGCAAATTTATGTTACAACTCAAATAGTGGCAGTGCAGCATGTTGAACTCAAAGAACAGGTCGGATATTTATAATGAACGTTTTCCTCAGTTAATTTAAGTACTGTACAATATATAAGTACTGTGTAGATTAGTAATGCATAGCAATTTAATCACCAAAACATTGCGTTGAATATATCCCTGAGTTGGATGAACTAGTCATAAGCAGTAGCTTCTCACAGTGGCATTCAAACTACAAAGCACTACCCACCACCCATTACCATCTCTCGTGCTTTAAAAAACAAATCCTAGTAGACACCCAGAGCATTCAAACATCCCATGAAACAACTTTAAAGTTAGAAATGCTAAAGTAGCTCTCTCTCTGCTTGACCAATTCTATATCAATCTGATTAAGAAAATCTAGTATGTTTTATTCAATTGTCTCAAACTTGGCAATGGAAGAAACTGGTTAATAAAAAAATCACAAATACAATATCTATGGGAAAACTTACCGCCTGAAATCCAGAAACTGCCTCACAACCAACCATAAACACTTCAATGGGTCACTACAACAGTAGTGCCTCGATCATAATTCCATGAAACCCAACAAGGAGTGCAGAGGAATTTTGTTGTTAGCAATTCAGTTATAAGCCATTTTTCCAGGAAGATAGAAGCTTCAACTTTGCCTGTGTTTTTTGCATCTGTATCTTTCAACCGTTATTATATTTTTTAACATGGGACTTGGCATTTCAATACATGAACACTTCCCGGGATTGCCATGACCTATTTGCAACGAAAAAGAAAACATCACTGGGCTTTTTAGCTCAGCACAAAAATTGTAGCTGTAACAGCGTGTTGGTGTGCTAACACAATAAAGTATCTGACTTTCCCAACTGCTCCACCTCCCAACATTTCTAGAAATTGTCTTTCTAAAACAAATGATCAAGGTGACCAAATACTTGCTTAAAAATACTCCAAAAGATCAATTTTATATTTTATGGGTCATCAGTACTTGTACAGAAATTCTTAGACGCAACTCCTCTCCACATTTTTGTAGGTTCACAGTTTACAAACATTGTTCAAAAGACAACAAAATGATAAAAAGTGCAGTCTCATTCTATTACTTTATACATGCATGGTGATATAGTTTACTAACTATTGATGATACATGACTACATGATGTTTACACTTCTCAGCAAACCTGCACACATCAGTAAACAAAAAATATTTTTTCTAAATGAATTAGAACCTGAGCTTGCTTAAATACACGAATAAAATGAAAGGTTTCACATATGAAAAGAAAAGTTAATCAAAACAAAATCATTCATAAACGACCTAACAGGCAAATACATATATTACTATCACATAGCTGGTGAACAGAATCAAAAACAGAAGAAAATATGGAAGAATTCCTCCCGTTTGCTAAGTTAATAATATCTGTACTGAACAAGCTTTACCAGTAGATAATATATGCATTTGTCCAGTTGTGTTTAAATTGTGCCTTATTTTTGAATCCCTACACCATCAAGTACGCAATGCGGGTATTAATACATGTGCAAATTAACTCTAATCCACTTAAATAGCATTGTTACCTTTCTACCTCTCTTTCCCCCTCCACCCCATACTTCCCTGTGAGAAGACACAGCTATGGAGCGGAATTCTCTGAAGACCCTGCTCATGGTTGTTCTTAGTCAATCCACCAGGAAGCACATATTAGTCTTAATATAATATCACACCATGGGCATCATATTTTTGTTATAGTAATTTATATCTGATCAGTAAAACAGGCTTCCAGAAAGTAACTATTCTGGAATGAAAATTAGGTACATAATTTAATGCTGACTTTTTTTTAAGATGGCAGGATATTCGATACTCACTAAAACACTCTAGAGTACAAACTAGTCAACGCAGCAATTAAGTGTTGCTCCTTGTGTCATCTCTTTTCTATTAATTTCTCCTCCAAAAGATTCTCAGTTCAGCAGCTTCAAATCTAGATAATATTGATCATTTTTCAGATTTCTCTCACCACTGTAACCCAGAAGAGTGGTCACATACCTCCATAAATATGACTGGTAGAGTTTTGTTTCAAGTAAATCTATGAAGCATTCTCAGTATTTGATGAAACAAAATGTTAAGTCCACAACGCAGTCCAATAAAATTATAAACGGAGAATAGCATAATCTGATGATTGAGTAGAATATTAACTGCCAAACCTCAAATGATAGCACTGAGTATTTTAAGTGAGATGTGCATCAACATTCGCCAGTCACCAGTGCTAGAGAATTAAGAATATTGTAAATATGAAATCATATCAGTCTTGGTCAATTAGTGGTGAATTTTGCAAAGCAACTTTTATGATTAGACTGCTGTACAACTTCAGAACTTGCACAAGACCTTAAAAGCTAAATGGAGCTTTAATGCAACAATTAGTTGTCTTCAGATTACTCAGAAGTGAGCCAAATTCTATTCTGGAAAGTGAATCAAACTTTATATGGAAAGTTTCTCCCCCGTCACTGAATACTTCTTTCTATGGTATTCTTCCAGTAGTATCAATGTCTTCCAATTGGCATTGAGCCATGCGTATATGTTGGCAAATTATTTAATTGTGGAAGGCAACACAGAAAATTCCTGGTTCTGTTTTTCAAACGGCAGTCACTAGATACTGATAAGGGGGAGTGAACATTTTGGCTGATTTTTCACCTCTCCCTAACCAAGGGCATGAAAGCCAATTTTAGTGTCACAACTGTTACATTGGGCAAGATCAGCTTACTCGACAGACCTGGAATCTAAACCATGACCTTCCAGTTTGTATGACTGTGTGCTAAACTGAATATTGCCTTTACCATTAGGCTTTCGGTAGAGTCCAGAGGATATTACTTAAGGAAATATATATTTTCTTAACTTTTAAATGAGAATTAGCCAATAAGCAAGATTTCCCAAGGTCCGAGAATGGACAGAATTAATTGATCACCTGTACAATAAGAGAAGAAAAATCACACCAACATACACTAGAATGTTGTTTTTTTTCTAATCAATTATGAATCAATCACCTATTCCATAAAATTGGGAGTCTACGTTAAAGACTGTACTTCAGTTTGAATATCATAGATTAAGCATCCAACAAAACAACAGGAGTATTTTTTGTTGATACTGAATATCCAAAAGACGGAAGGAAATTAACCACTTGAAATATCAAAACTGTTAAAGATCAAGTTAATAGTTTATGACATCTGCCTTTGCTAACTACCCCCTGCCCTTCCCAAACCAGAGAAAGAGAATCTATGGTGCAAGTGTACATTATAGAAATCAGAATTAGAAGGAAACATGGCAAGGACATAGTTTCACCCTGATTTCCAAATATCAGGATATAAATTGTTTAATGTTTCGAGTTTTGATATTTTGCACTTTTAAATTTTCTTCTGTGTTTTGGACATAAGAATGATAACAATTTTTTTTTTGACAGTATGACACTCAATACCAACTGAAGCTCCCTATATTCACTCTTTACAAACTGCAATCAAGTCCCTCCTACTTCACTGGTGAACTTCTTAATAGGATTATTGTTTTGTTTTTCCAAGGTATCCATTCTTCATTTATTTATTTTACAATTTGTACAAAATGCAAAGACCTCTGAACTATGCATTTCCCTGTATGGATGGATACATTTAACAATCCTGATGTATTGACATGGTCAATTTCCTGGACAGAAGGAGGGAATGGAACACCATAACTCATGAAACCAGTTCTTGCCAGGCTCTACTAGCTCTCAATCACCAAAACAGATCAACTTCAAAATCCTCTCACTCGTTTTCAAATTACTTCATTCCCTTGCACATCCCTGCCTATCTGACTTGCTTCCCCCCCACTCCGCCACCTGCTGCCTCCGATCGGCTTACTCCGGTCTCCTGTTTGTCCCTTGTGCCCTCTGTTCCACCATCAGTGGCCGTGCCTTCAGCAATTGCGCCCCGAAACTCTGGAACTCTCTCCCTGCCCACCTTCAAATCCCTCCTAAAGACCTTCCTGTTTTGATTGTGCTTCCGGTCACATCCCCCTTCCTCTTCCCATGACTTGTTGTCAGACTCTGCCACTGTCAAATGCCGTGGGACGCTATCCCATGTGAGGGCACTGTATAAATGCAAGTTGTTATAGTTGCTGGTATAGAATTCAGCATTACATTGTTTCAAAGACTGCCCAAAAGCAACTATACAGATATAACAATTCCTTATTTACATGCAGACCTATTCTGTGAGAATAAACAAAAAAAATCATTATTCTCAGTTACTGCACTAATCTGACAAAAGGATCTTGTGAATTCTACCAAATAAAGTGTTTCCCTGCAGATAATGAATGTCTCTGTGGTTTCTTTCTGTTCTGAATGTATGTATTTCTTCTGATTTGAAACTGCTACTTTGCAGGTGTCATTATACTTTAACTAAATTCACTTAATTTCTAACCACTTGTAAAACGCTTTGAGAGGTTTATTTTTATGTGAAAGAAGCTACATATGAAAATTATTATTTTACTTGCACTCTTGGAGCTTTCTGCATATCGACTTTTCTGACTCCTGCTATTTTTTTAAGATCTATAAAATCCATAAATGCCCAAATTCTCACTTAAGTACTTGTAAAGATAGCTGCACGGTTACAACAACGGCTGTTGTTTTGTGAAAAAAACATTCTCCGACCCATAACAGGACATTGATGATGGTATGATTATTACTGACTGACAGAGGGATTATTTTCAAACTCTTGGAAATATGAGCAGAGCACGGTTTAAAAAAAGTTTTCAAATCATCCTATTCCATTTTAAAACTTATGAACCTTGAGCTTCACTAAATACAAAATTGTAAAGCTCTCTAATTCTATTTTTCTGTGAATAGTGTCAGCAAAATTTTACTACCTCAAACATGGCAACTATTTTAGAAAGTTAACTTTGAGAGACCTTTGAGAGTTCCATTCTCTAATAGACGGGTCTAATAGCAACAAAATTAATAAATCTTTTCACTGTATTCTGATAAAGGTCAATGAATTATAATGAAAATATTGTAAAGCACAGGACACCAAACTTCATTCCTATACCTCAACAACCCTTTTCAGGCATACAATGTATCAGAGCAACAATATGATCTTAATCCTGGAAATGTCACTTCCTCTACCTTTGCAAAAAGCAACCAGTTAAATGCATACTTTTCTTTCAGTGAACACTCACTGGAGATTAAAAGATGGCAGGTTTGTTGGTAGTAATCTAGGTAACATTTTTATATTTAATTTATCTCAGCATTAAGAAAACAAAGGTGTAATTCTGGACAAAATAAGAAGAAATCAAATGACAAACTATTCTAGAGAAGGTAACCAGGCACCAACGTACCTTTAACATGGTGAACCAGGGCCACAATATGCTGAATAAATGACTCTGAAGAACTTCTGTAAAACTGAGGCAACTTAAGGTGATCGAAGATAGAGCGGAACCCTTGCTCTTTCTTGCTGGAATGGACAAGAGCACTGGAAAGCAGTCTCTCAGTAGTCAAAGAACTTCCTGGTCTGCAAAAATACAAGGAGACAGGAAATACACATTATGTTCACTTTGCACATATTATAATAATCCTTGCATTTGATATAGCGCCTTATCATGTCATTGCGACATCTCAAAGCACGTCACAGAGTATAAAGTATCGTAAAGTGGATTGATTGTGTATTTTGTGGGCGAAATGCGGCAGCCAATTGCGCACAGCAGTGTCCCACAAACAGTCATAGATTCAGTGATTTAATTTATCCCCCTACTTACCTGCCCGTACCCTCTGTTCCTCTGGCTCCGGTCTGCTCCACATACCCCGCCCCAACCACCCTACCATCGGTGGCCGGGCCTTCAGCCTCTCAGCCCCCAGGCTCTGGAACTCTATCCCCCAGTGCCTTTGCCGCCCCTCCCTTTCCTCCTTCATGGCCGGTCTCAAGACCTTTCTCTTTGACCGTGCCTTCAGCTCCCCTCTCGACTCTACCCCCTCCTCGCTCCCTCCCTTCCCTCCCCTCACCCAGACCATTTCCCCCCCTGCTCGGGTCCTGACCCAACTGTACAGCGCCTCGGGACGTCCTCCCGACGTGAAAGGCGCTCTATAAATGGAATCTTGTTTTTGTTGTCATCTTCTGTGCATAGATATCTATTTAAGTAAGTTAACACTGAACCTTTAGACAATCTTCTTTTTATTCAAGTTTTGTTGGTCCAGTCTTTCATTTTGAATATGATAATTTGTCGTAAAAGATAAAACTTACTCCAGTTCAATTTTTCCAAGGGCTTGGGAAGGCAGATATTTGTAAGTGACAAATAAAATGCATGGATTATGATGTTGCCTGCCATATAAAGTGAAGAATACCATCTTCCATAGTGAGCTTCCTCAGTCATGCATCCAATAAGATGTTCCATTAGTGTAAAACTGATTGATGCACACTCCCCACTGGAATTTCTACTAATATTGCAAGTGAAAGGGAATAATCAGTGTTGGTCATCAAGACGTAGACACAGATGTTTTTCCTTTTCCTCCAAATGTCTTGTTCTCCCTCTGAATAAGTTGAATCCTGATGTATATAATGCCATTTAGGTATTATTATTATAATTATTATTATATTACCAGGTCAATCTTTATTACAAAAATAAGTCTAAGGTGCAAATTATCTCAATAGCAGCTCCTTGATCGATTGCCCAGGATGAGAAAACTAGAATACAAACAGCCACTAACTCTACAGCATCCTCAAGAGGTTTCATGGAAGTAATCAAGTTTCAAATGACTTGATAATAAAACACTCAACCTCTGTTCTCACATGAATTGACTGTTCACTTGAATCCACAGATCAAATTACTGTTTCGTAATCAATCCCAGGTATCTATAATTTATAGCAGATAATATTTCAATTGTAATAGCACATTTGACAGCGTCAGCAAAATAATAATCTGTACTTATGTAAAGATATTTCTGCAAAGTTCCTTCAATAAAAAATGTTCATATATTAATGTAATATATATTGTAGTATTGTGCATATATATAATACACACACAATCTCAAATCTCAAAAAATGAGGTAAAAATGTGGAGGTACACAGAAGTTTGAGGAGACCTGGCACAAGGTGTTTAAAATTATGAGGGCTTTTAATCTAGTTGATACACCTAGATTTCCACTGGTTGGTGAATCAGGGCATTAATTTAAGACAGGTAGCAAAGTGAGAGATTAGAAGGGTTTGTTAGAAACAGTGAACTAAATGGAGTTCTATGCTACAAATTTCTATGGTTCTATGAGTAAAGGACACTATTTTTACACACTCCTGCTGCAGTTTCCAGCAGAAACAGACACCGCTGTAAAGTAACAGAATGTAATCGTACAATATCGTACTGTATCAACTTACCTCACAGGGACTTCGAATTGGGAGGCAGTCATTTTCAATTTCACTTCAGGCTGACAGGAAGTACTGGGTACCGATTTCATTCTGGACGTACCCTCCTCTGCAAGGGAGATTTTATCCCTTTCTCGAATATCCATGTTCTTTTGTTGCAACAATGAACAGCATGGATCATAGAGCTCTTTGAACTTTTCACCCTTCAGTGACTCAGGTGAGGCAGTTTCTTTAACTAATGCTCTTTCCTCATATTTTTTCTCACTGAACTTGTCCTCTTCCTTAAATTTCTCTTTAACTGCACTAGATGAAAAACTAGCCACGTTAAATCTGTAAGACCTCTCGTCTTCATACCTCTCATGGTCCTTTGTTCCTTTGACTAAAATTTTTGTTTTGTATTTGCTTTCCTCAAAGCCAAAATTCCAATGCGATTCAGTTCCATAACTCTTTTCTTTCTCGGCTTGATTGGTCACACTATACTGATATTTAGGGTGATAATTATCCAATTCAGCCAATTCATCAGACAATCCATCCATAATGGATTGCCTGTGCCTTTCTGGGGATTCTGTTAAAAATGGCATTTTTTCTGCTTCCTTTCTATAGTACTCACCCTTGGAACTACTACTATAGTCTATTGCTGCTTTGTCTCCCCATTCTCTCCCCCTTTCCTTATCTTTTTCCAATCCCCTTTCCTTTTGAGATTCCTTCTCTCTTCCATCCCCTCTGTCGAGCACAAAGGTTCTACTCTCCTCATCCTCGGTGTACCTATATTTAGAAAAATGAAAACAATGTTTAATGAACTAAAATAATGTCTTACATTAATGTTGTCAAACTTTTCAGCACATTTTAAGAATTCTCACAGAAGTAGCACGAACCCATTGTTACAATTGTATCATTACTTTTTTAGCTTAGGTACAAATTAGCATCATGTCGCACACAAATACTGTACTGTGTTTTACAGATTTTTTTTACTATTAATCAGAATGCAACTCAGGGAAAGCCAGACACCAAATTTGGATCTTTAAAGGAATCGAAGAACTCATGAATATTCAATCTTTGTGCTTCCGAAAAGCTTGGTTATTGGTGAAACAGGAATTATTAAATTATATTATTAATATTAAATTATTCTATTATTATTAAATGATTGTATTATTCTCTGTGCTGTCTCTAGCCACCTCCATGCCTGCGGGCTGAAAATGTACCGCTGACTGCTCGCTACAGGTCCAGGTACGCGCATTCTGGCTGCCGCCCCTGACCCGGGCCAAACCCCCAGCCCCCAAAATGGCCCAAACTCTAATCCCCACACCGTGCTCTGCGATCCCCGTTCTCCTCTCCTCTCGTCCACTCGTCCATCCCCTCCCTCTGCTCTAGCCTGGGCATCCTCTGCTGTGCTCATCACGGCACGTGTCGTTGGTTGTCCCAGAGCAGCCATCTTGACTGCCCCATCACCCACTCATTACACAAGGCCCTCTGCCGCATTCACAAGGCAAACCCTTCCATCATCCACACCCTTTACAGCTCTCCTTTCCTTTCAAATCCTAGTCATTCTCTGCCCACAATCTGCAACCTCCCCAAACCCCTCCCTCCAGCATCCAATCCCATCAGTGCCCCCACCTGTATCGCCCTCCAAAACATCCGTTCCCTTTCAAAAACCCTTGCCATCCACGACCTCATCCTGGATAAGCATAATGACATCCTAGGGCTCACAGAAACCTGGCTATCCCCCAGTAACCCCGTGCCCCTCATCAAGGCCTTCCCCCACCCGGCTACACATTCCACCACACCCCCTGCCCCAACCGTCACAGCGATGGGGTGGCCCTCACCTCCCAAACTACTGTTACCCTATCCCCCTATTCCTCTGGTTGTTTCCCCTCTTTGGAGAACCTCAACCTCTATCATTCCTTTTCTCTCTCCTTCAAAATCCTCCTTGTGTACCGCCCCCCCAAAACCTCTGGCTCCTTCCTCACAGACATCTCCTCTCTCCTCTATTCCTGTCCCACAGCACTGAACACCTGCTCATCCTGGGCGACTTCAACCATCATCTCAATTCCTCATGCCCCACCTCCTCTGACTTCACTGCACTCCTCTCCACCCTAAATCTCATCCTCCATAAACTCCCCGACCCACAACCGTAGCCAACCCCTAGACCTCATTATCACAGACAGCTTAGATATCTCAGATAGCACGGCCCTCACAAATGCCCTCTCATTCTCAAACCTCCTCTCCTTCTGTTTTTCCACCTGCAGCATCCCTGATGCAGCCATAGCCACCACCTCCTCCATGTGCCCCCTCAAGCAACCTCAATCATTACATCAACCGCCAAGTGTGAAGAGGTCATGGACTTCCATACCTCTAAAATAAAAAACGCCTCCCTGGCAGCCGCATCCTCCTCCCTCTCCCTTCTCTTTCACCGCCCCTCCCCCAACCCAGCTCCTACCACGGCCCCCATTCTACATTCCTTTGCCCCCATCTCTCCTTCCTCCCTCTCATCCTCCATCACCCTAATGAAACCCACCACCAGCTGCCTTGACCCGCTCCCCACCCAGCTGTTGATCATCCAGCTCCCCCTCCTCTGCTCACTGCTGGCAGACACAACAACTTGGATTTATATAGCACCCTGCACACCATTAATCAGTCATTCACATCAGGATCAGTCCTACTACCCCTCAAAATCGCCGTCGTCGCCCCCCTCCTTAAAAAAACCTACCCTCCATTCTTTCAATCTTGGGCACGACCACCCTACCTCAAACTTGCCTTTCCTTACCAAAGCTTTGGAACGGGTTGTTGCTAACCAACTTTGCGCACACCTCTCCCTCCACTCCCTACTCGAAACCCTCCAGTCCAGTTTCCACCCTGCTCACAGTACAGAGACAGCGTTCGTGAAAGTTACAAATGATGTCCTCTCTATCTGTGACCAGGACTCCCTCTTCCACATGTATGCGGATTAACATTCAACTCTACTTCTCCTCCTCCAGCTGCGACCTCGTCCTATGATGTTCTGTCAGCTTGTCTGATAGACATCAAGGCTTGGATGAGTGCAACTTTCTTGCAGTTAAACGTCAACAAGGGGGAAGCCATACTCTTTGGTTCCCGTCGACATCTTCTGTTCTGCGGTTCCGACCTCCTCAACCTACCCGATCTGCCCTTAAAATGCTCTGAACCAATGCGCACCTGAAGACCTTTCTCTTCGACCGTGTCTATGGTTACCTTCCCCCTCCCGCTGGCTCGGGATCGGACTCCACCATTGTTAAGTGCTCTGGGACCCCGCCCGGCATGGCAGGTGCTATATAAATGCAAATTGTTGATAGAAAGTGCATTTACGTTTCCACACTATTTGTCACTTCCATAGAATGATTTATCCATTTTAAAAAGTTATGGAACTAATTTTTTTCTCAAGCAACTGGATCTGGTACAGGATTTCTCAGATTTACCCAGCTTCATGCTTTCCATTACTACTAGTTTCACATCAATTGCCAAACTCGTCATGTCATACCATCACGCCCACACTTCTTTACCACAATTCTCAAATTGCTCAAATTCTCCCACAATTTCTCGTTAATAAAAACATTCTGTTCTTGACTCAATTCTTTTCTAGTCAAGTTTATTTTTCCTTCCTCTCCTTCAATCTATTCCTCTCCTAAAGGTGAGAGTATGCTGGGTTACAGCACCACTGGCAGCAACTGCTCTCCAGTACCTCACCCAAATGGCTGATCTTAATGTGGAAACTCCAACTCATCAACTAAATGCTTAGCCAAAAGCATTATATCACAGCTGAGCTAGATACAGCAGTCTTCATCTGCATCCACATAAACTGGAGAAGCTAGGATTATTCCACAATGGCCATTCTTGTCCCATCATTTCTCATTAAAGAATGATCTTTGTCCTACACTTTGTAACAGCAATTCACTAACTCCTTTCATCAATTCCTATTCAGCAGGTCTGAGCTAATTGCTCAAGTGCATAATATTCTCATTAAAAGTGGTCACTCACAACTACAAACCACCACCAGCATATCAGATTTAGTAACAAATCAGTGGGTCTAGTGTTAAAAACACAATTAAGATTAGAGTGAGTAGCGAAATCTGGAAGAAACTGCATAAATCATAAATTAAATGGATTAACAATTACGTGAACTTTGAGTACTAAGTAAAAACAGATTGTAGATAAACACTTAAAAGTCTACTTTTTTGATAATTGTAGAAAACCAATCGTCTGCACTAATTGGGACCTGCCCCTTTGCAGATAAGCAGACCATATGGATAATTTAGATTCATGCAAAATATAAACTGGTGACAAAATCAACTAAAAAATGCTTCCATTGGAAGTTATACCATCATTATAGTACAACACTCTTCCAGCCACTCTCTTTTTTCTATTTTGCTTTGTCTTTCTCTCTCCCCCCAGGTCTCTCTTTATCTCGACAATACCTCCATCTAGAACTCTACAATGTATAATGTAAAAATATAACAAATTACTTTCTCTACGGAAAAAAAGACACACTGTTAGTGAGCATGTGCAAAGTTGAACACATGCACGCAAGGCTGTTAATGTCATGTAGTCAGTCAGAGCAACCTTGGAAATCTTGTGCATAACTTTGTACATGTGCACAACAGAATTGTGCACAGCCAGTACCACCCAGACCCTGTGTGCTGTGCACATTCCATATTAATAACCTATGTGGATAAGCAGACAAGTGGATAAATGCATCCAACTGCTCTACTTAACAATGAAGTGACAACAGAACTTTTTAGAAAGAGAAAATGAGCATCATGTATTCTTGTATTGCTTTTGGTAAGACCAGGTTTGGTGCTTTTTTCTTTAATCAGTATGTTCCAGAAATACAATAAATTAGCTGCTCTTAAGCCAATTCTTCTTGAAATCAGTTTTTAATACTTTGAAATGAAATGGAGATTTGGAAATAAGAGATGAGCATCAAACTAACCTCTTCAGGTACTTGTTTTTAGAAAGATCTTGATCCCCAGGATCACCAGGAAAAGTAGACTGTTTAAGTCGAGATTCTTCCTTTGCAAGACTGTGCTGAGCTGGAGCACCCTTTGTAGGACTTTTCTGTATTGGACTACATTGAGACGGACTGTACTGTGATGCACTATGGCCTGAGGAGCTATGTTGTCCAGGACTGTGGTGCATACTGGAGGACGGTGGGCTGGCCTGTGCTGAGCTCAGCCTTGGTGGTGCAGCGTGTGGCAAACTGTGATGCGAAGGAACAGAACGTGTAGGGCTAAGGCTAGGTGGGCTGGCAAGTGAGGATAGGCTGTGATGAGATCTTGGACTATTGTCATTGTAGGTTGCAAGTCCTGCCCAACTTTCACTACGTACAGCAGGAGCTTTATGAAACTCACTGCGTACCTTGGGAGGATCAGATTCGCATTTTGCCACATCAGTTGCTTTCTCGGTCTGCTTGTTTTTTCCAGACTCCTCTTCTGGGAGTGTTCCCTCAACTTTCTTTGCACGTTTGTCCAGAGATCTGTTCCTCTTGGACCGGGCAGGTGACCTGCTGTGATGGGATGAGGAACCGGAGGACGAGGAGCCACGTGATCTAGCAGAGGAGGATTTGTGTGACTGGCGGGAACTACTTCTGGAGCGCTGAGATATTGACCTACGTTTCGGGGATCTTGACTTGGAACGGCCTCTTCGAGGACTACGAGATTGTCTTCGATTCTGCCAATTAATCCGGTAGCCACCTCGATAATACCTTGGTCCTCCTTGATAATAACCTCTCCCCCTTCCACGGTGGCCATAGGGCCGTCTCATTCCTCGGTTGCCACGGTAATCCCGGTAATCTCTTGAGTAGTTGCGTTCCCTACTGCGAGAGCGAGAGTAGGATCTGGAACGAGATCTAGAACTGAAAGAACCAATAACAAAGCTATAATTTTAAATCACAATAAACCGTACTACTTAACTTTTATAAGTAACAAACATAAATAGTTCACTTTACTTAGTACTGCAAACCTTAATGTAAATATCTCCCAATACAATTTCAAGCTAACTTTCTAAGTTAAGGCCCCTTTTCATTCTTGAAAGGGTGATTGAAAAACTATTTATTGAAAAACTACAGGGAAACACCATTATACTGTGGTCGTTCAAGTCCATAAAAGTCAGATCCCTGCTGCACGCAAAAAGTGATGACGGCAACACTTCCTGTACATAGCTCAACTAATACGAATAATAACTGCATTTTGTAAAGGAATGTGGCAGTCTATCTGCACACAGTAATATTCCACAAGTAAATCAATTTTATCTGGGAAACTGGGAGGAGCTTCCTTCTCTTTTGAGCAGTGCTATGGGATCTTTAGACATCCACTTGAATAGGCAGATAGGACCTTAGTTTAATATCTCATTCAAAAGACAGCACCTCCAACGATGTCAGCACCTCCCAGCCCTGCATTGGAGTGTTAATAATAATCCTTGCATTTGATATAGTGCTTTTCATGTCTTCAAGATAATAATAATAATCCTTGCATTTGATATAGTGCTTTTCACGTCGGAGGGACGTCCCAAAGCGCTTCACAGAACACATTGTAAAGTGAATTGACTGTATATTTGTGGGCGAACGCAACAGCCAATTGCGCACAGCAATGTCCCACAAACAGTCGTGGATTGAAAACAACCAATTTATTTATTTTTTCGTTTTTTGGAGGGATTATTATTATTAGGCGCATGGAGTAAGGAAACTTGCCCAAGCCTAGACTATAAGAGTTAAAAGTCCTGACGTGGGGTTTGAATTTCCGACCATTGCCTTGCGATATGAATGGCACTACTTAAATGCAATTTATTGCTGTTGTAGAACCTATAACTTTTTGAATCAAAGTGAGAGAGTCAGGCTGACTGACACCTGAATTGTGCAGGAAGCAATGTCAGAGGCAACCTGATGACTCAGAAGGCAGCCATTGCTTAGCTCTGACTAGTTATAATAATTCTTACATTTGATATAGCGCCTATTGTGGCTTCGAGACATCGCAAAGCACTTCACAGAACATACTGTAAAGTGAATTGACTGTATATTTTGTGAGCAAAACGCAGCAGCCAATTGCACACAGCAGTGTCCCACAAACAGTCGTGGATCGAGTGACCAAATTATTATTTATTTTTTTGAAGGGATTATTACTCCCAGAAAAGCGATTTACCCACAACTAGGTTCCTACTTACCGCTAGGGTAAACAGAGGCATATTGAGTAAGGAAACTTGCCCAACATTTTCCCCCTGTGCGGGAATCAAACCCAGATCCTCTTAATTGAGAGGCGAGGGCGCTAATCACTAAGTTACAGGACTCCACGAGACAGCATATTAACTGCAACTCCATGAACAATAAGACTATTACCTGTATCTCTTTTTCCTGGAGCGTGACCTAGAATGAGACCTTGATCTAGAACTGGAACGAGAATGAGATCTTGATCTCGATGAATGTGATCTAGAGTTAGATCGAACCATTTTGATGCAAACGTAACGCTTTCAGAAAACAAGCTGAACCTACAAAAGAAAAATAATATTAAATGGTAGGAAGCAAAATGTAATTAGCCCTGAATTATGTCTCAATTAAATTAATTACACAGGCTATGACAGATTCCTTGAACAGTTATATAGCTTGCATTTTATAAGATATTTTGCATATTAAAAGAAGTCTTAAGGTATTCCAAATTATTAACAGTTCCATTAATTCAGACAATGGTGTTAAATATAATAGTATTATGTTATACATTCATCCACTTTTTAAAACTCAATCACATTGTGTAACAGATAAGCATCTTGTACAAATCTGCATCCAAGTCATACTACAAAATGATTATGTGATATTTCAGACCTAGCCACCTGTGGGGAGAGATGAGAACCAAGGTACTTTATATAATATGGGTTCCAGCGAATACCAGAAAGTGGGCACAGTGCATACAAATAGTGGAATCCTGTTAAGACGGACACATCAGGGATGGACATTTTGTCCGACTTAATACCATTCCCGCCCAGCAGAGGAGCGCCGCCAACACCGTATAATAATATGTAATAATGTTGTTTCACTCGAAGCAATGTTAACGAACCGGTTTAAATTAAAATACTCTCACAGAATTCAGTAAAATATATTTACCAAAATACAGTTCAGCATTTTCCCGCCCAGCTGCGGAGCAGTGGGAGCTGCGTTTCTTGCCTCCCATTGGGAAATGGACCGACTAGTGGCAGCTGAGGTGACTCGACAGCCTGCAGTCGCTTGTGAATGGATGGGCTCCACTCATTCTCAAGCGGTTGAGCTGTCAATCAATCCCGAATTCCCTCCCTTGTTCTTCCCCATTCTGCCACCTCCTCACTGATTGACAGCCCAACTCCTGCCGCGTGTGAATGGCTGAAGTCTGCTGTCAATCGTAATTTGACCCCTCCCATCTATATCCGGGAGCTCCTCGTGGCTGAATGGAGGAGCTCGGCACCACTGAAGACCTGAGTGAGCACATTCAGTTGTGACCAGTGCAACATCTTGCCCGGAGTAACCAGATTTTCATCTGAATCAGCAGATATATTTAAAACAGGTAAGAATACAAATTAATCGGGGTGGGCATTTTGTTCGATTTACCCAACGGTTAACCAACGTCTGGCAAAAGCGGATTCCACTGTATTTGTGTTCCCAAATTGGATTTTTTTTCTTTTCTCCACAAATATATTTTTCCTATAAAGGAAATTAAATACATATCCAGTGTGGAAAAAAATAGCCAGTGCCCCAGAATATTTATCATTGAACAAATCCAAATCTTCAGAAGTTGAATAAGAAAGACAAAAACTGAGCAATGCATTTTTAAATGTTAATTGGGGACCCTCCTTAAAAAACCCTCTCTCGACCCTCCTAACCTCACAACCAGCCCAATTCTAGTCTGCCCTTTGAATGCGTCAGCTTTGCTCACACCTCTATCTCCACTCCCTCCTCGAGCCTTTTCAGTCTGGTTTCCACTCTGCCCACAGGCACAGAGATGACGTTTGTCAAAGTCACAAACTAAGTTGTCTCTCTCTGTGACCAGGGCTCTCTCTGCCTCATCAACCTGTCCGTCGCGTTCGATACAGTCGACTATGCCCTCCTCCTCCACCGCCACTTCTCCTTCATCCACCTTATTGCAGACAGCACTCGACTCGTTCGAGTCCTACTGAACAAACCGCCTTTAGTTTGTTTCCCCACTTCTCATTTTAGTTTCATTGTGAAGTCACTTGAAATACAAACTACTTCACATTTCCTTTTGACTTTCTGAAACCAACACAATTTTACCTGTAGGGACAAGCTACATAACTTTAGTAAAGACAGTTTGGACACTGCGTAACATCTCAGTTAGTACAAACAATTGTGTTACTTTATCAAAAAAATTCTCTGTTTGCGTTTCATCTGAAAACTGAGGATGATCACTACATAAAGTCATAAGTAGCTCAATTGGTTGACAAAGTCACACAGATCTACAATAAATCCAAGACATTCTTGTTGGTTGAGTAGTCTGAGTCATCAAACTTGGGAGTCACTGGTACTGAAAATTCCTGGGTCAACTCTCAACCCATCCAAACACCTCATTCAACTCAACACAGTGGAGCCAGTCTAAGACATAATTTTCCCCACTGGCACTAAAGCAGCCTAATAATACAGGGCAAGGCAAGTGTCGACTATTATTTTACTGCAAGAATTCCACACTTGAGTAAAAGTGCTGAGTTAAAATGTCTCTTTGTATATTTAATGGGAGAATAAAAAATGCTCCATCTGGATTAATATACTTAAATTGCATGAAATAATAATCTAATAATCTTTACATTTGGCAAAGCCCCTTAAAACATCATCAAAATGTCTCAAAATGCTTCAAACGACATACTGTGAAGTAATCGACTGTATTTTGTGGACGAAATATTCTGACTATAAAGACAATAGTGTAGGTATAAGATCAGAGAAGAAACTACAGAAGCACTGGACAAATGAAGTTTACTTGGTAAATTTACAATGTTGAACTGGTTGCTATACCGAATTTAGCATCTAAACAGATTGGAGGAGGGGAAAATGGCTGCAGTTTCCCCACCTGTTCCTACATTACTACAGCTGGTTTGCACACAGATTTCATTCTCTTCATACTGGGTGCGATACAAGCATATTTTATCCATTTTTATTCTACCCATATTTCTTCAATCAGTCCCTGTGTGTTGACCAGACAGGCCTCTTAACTTTCCAAATGAATGCTGCATTCAGAAGCCAAATGAACACGTAATCTGTATCCGGTTCGTTACCATGAGCTACAAGACTGAGAAAACATGACAAATAAATCCTACCTTTTCATGGGTTTCCAAGTCAGCAGAAGACAATGTCTTACTTTGCTTTCCAACAGTATAAACTGCACTTGCAGCAAAACACAAGTTAGTAGCTGACAGAAAAAAACTGCCACCAAAAGCTATGACTACCTACCACTCTGGCTCTTTGCTCATATCACAATTTAATAAATGTTTTGGAGCACTTTCCAAGTCCATAGCTTTTCTAATAGTTTTAGACATGCACTTCCCAGGAATACAGTTCAGACCTGCCAAATATAAAACACTATCGCTTTCCCTCAAAACTCTGTACTGTTTAATTATATGATTAAAGCAGGGATCACTGGTTTTCATTTGTTAATGTAGCTATGTTGCTAATAATACTATTGTCACAGTGAAAGGTTAACGGACAGGGCAAATCAAGATAAAATATGAAAGAGGCACTAAATATAAATTGTAGAGATCTACTTCAAGACTTTAACCCACAAAGTTAATGATTACAGTGAATGAGATTGAAAAGAATAAATCAGAAAATATATAGCACTTCAGTGAAATAAAGCAGCACAATTGCATTAATCGGTTCATTGTCCTAGAATGTTTTGTGATTACTGTATATTAATTTGGTCACAATTTTTCAAATATATAGTTTGAATTGCCATCCACTTCAATAAAAATATCCTGAAGTGAATATTTAACTCACCTTTTAAGAGTTGTGTGGTAGGGCTACATTAAATGCTGCTTTCCACTTTGGAAACTGGGTGCTATCTGCCTTTTTGTGTCCTCCCAAAGTTTTAATTCTGCAGGTAAAGGATAAATTTCATCATTAAAATAATGGCTGCAATATACTACAATAATAAAAATCCAGACTTCAGTGCTACTAATCTAGTTAATTTAACTATTCTGTGAATCAGCTTCTATTTAACAAAATTATAATAAAATAATATTTAACGAAATTCTCCTGACAGTTGAATAATAGCAGATGGAGTATAACTTGGGGAAATGTGAAGTTATTGAGGAGGAGAGACTAGGTAGTGTTAGTGTTCAGAGGGAATTGGGTGTCCTTGTACACCAGTCACAAAAAGTTAGTATGCAGGTACAACAAGCAACGAGGAAGGCTAATGCCACGTTGGCATTCGTTGCAAAAGGGTTAGAGTACAAGAGTAGGGAAGTCTTGTTACAGTTGTATAAGGCCTTGGTGAGACCGCACCTAGAATATTGTGTGCAGTTTTGGTCTTCTTATTTAAGAAAGGATATACCCGCCTTAGAGGGGGTGCAACGTAGATTCACTAGATTGGTTCCTGGGATGAGGGGGTTGACCTATGAGGAGAGGTTGAGTAGACTAGGCCTATATTCTCTAGAATACAGAAGAATTAGAAGTGATCTTATAGAAACCTATAAGATTCTTAAGGGTCTTAACAGGGTAGATGCCGTGAGACTGTTTCCCCTGGTTGGAGAATCCAAAACTAGGGGTCATAGACTCAAGATTAAGGGTCAGCCTTTTCGAACCGAGTTGAGGAAACATTTTTTCACTTAGAGGGTAGTGAATTTGTGGAATTCTCTACCCTAGAAGGGTGAGGATGCTCAGTCCTTGAACATATTCAAGACTGAGGTTCATAGATTTCTAAAGGATAGAGGGATTAAGGGATATGGGGATAGGGCGGGTAAATTCAGGTGAATGTTGACAAGACAGAAGCCATACTCTTTGGCTTGCGTCAACATCTAAAATCTCACGTCTCTCACCTCCTCTATCTAGCCGACCTCCCCCTAAAACTCTCCGAACCCGTACACAACCTAGGCGTCAGGTTCGACCCCCAATTATCCTTCCCCCCCACATCCGGTCCCTCAATAGCACCGCTTTCTTCCACCTCCGACGCATCGCCCGTCTCTGCCAATACCTCTCCCCAAAAGCCGCTGAAACCCTGGTCCATGCCTTTGTCACCTCTCAGCTGGATTACTCTAACACCCTCCTCGCCGGCCTCCCCTCCACTACCATCCATAAAATCCAAATCATTCAAAACTCTGCCGCCCGCATTCTCATCTACATGAAACTCCGCTCCCCGATTACCCCAGTCCTTGCCAGACTGCACTGGCTGCCTATCCCAGAGAGGATCAATTTCAAGATCCTCACCCTTGTATTCAAATCCCTCAACTCCTCTGCACCCCCAACCCCCACCTCTCTGACCTCCTCTCTACTCAAAACAGTACCCGTTGCCTTCATTCCTCCGGGTCTGGCCTCCTCCTCATCCCCCGAGTCCTCCGCTCCACCCTTGGCGGCCGTGCCTTCGGCCACTATGCCCCGAGGCTCTGGAACTCCCTTCCTCACTCCCTTCACCTCACTCTCTCTCTCTTCCTATTTTCAGATTTCTGCTGAAGACCTTTCTTTTCGACCGCGCCTTTGGTCACCTTCCGCCCCCACCCCCCACCTGGCTCAGTCCTGGGATCTGTTACTGTGAAGCACTCTGAGACGCCGTCTGGCATGAAGGGCACTATATAAATCCAAGTTGTTGTTGTTCTAAATGAAATTAGCTTAGAAGATCAGCCATGATCTTATTAAATGGCGGGGCAGGCTCAAGGGGCCGAATGGCCTACTCCTGCTCCTATGTCTTATGGTCTTATAAAGATACAAGCTATAAGAAACAATACTTTTAATAATATGCAGTTCATTACCATGCCATTACTGCTGCATGACCCCCTTTCTCTCAAAAAGTACTACTATACTGCACAAGAAACCTCTCTCAAACCCTGCAAACACAGCCACTCAGTAAATCCCTACTACCACTCCCAATTGAACCTAACAAAAAAATATTCACAGCCTTCCTAAGTGCAATATCAATTTAATATAGAGAGCACTGCTAGATGCTCAATTATATATATATATATCCAGCGCCTTGGGACGTCCTCCCAACGTGAAAAGTGCTAGACAAATGTAATCTTGTTGTTGTTGTTGTATATGTACTACATAATCCATAACTTGATGTGTATTCTGTGTTAAAACCAAGATGTGAGAAAGCTTGAAAATTTTCATATTTTCAATTAAACATTGTAAAACTGCTCAATTTTATGCAATAAATTTGCAAATAAATTAGAGGCTACTTATTTTGGTCAATACCATTGATTCAAATTATAAAGTAGGAATAAAACAATGCTCATAAAACACTTTAAAATACAAAGGGTTTTGAAAAGGCATTAAATGCTACAACACAAGAATCCCATTAACTAACATTTTCTCTAACCAATTTTGAAAGGATTCAGAAGACGAGAGGAAATCCCTTTTCAAGTTATGTGCAAATCCGAACTTGAAATGTGTTTAGTTGAAATATCCCTTAAATGCAAACACGTAAGAGATGTCTATTTTGTCGTATTGATTGCTTGGGATTTCTTAAAAAGTCAGGCAATTGGGGATTCTTTCTGGTATCATGAAGTGCATAATTCCAAACTTTAAAGAATCCTGTCAGGAAAGACCTCATTGTGGACAGTATTAACCATACTATTTATTTTATCTGTTTTTAAAAATTCATGCCCCTTTCCTATGAATCACTTAAAAGAGCAGGAAAAGTAACTTGTTCCCAAATCTTTTAAAAACTACTTGAGAGCAGACTAGGTTTTGCTTGCTTTAATGTTTTCTCCCTCTTCGAGCCCAACAGAAGTTTCAGCTAAGGTAGAGTTCACCATCCTGGGAAAACACGGGACATATCCATGGCTTAACACAAATTTTTGAAAGCATGTGTGAGGGCAAGTTTAGTTAAAATCTGGTGAAATATATTTGTTTGGTTAGTTAGATGGGTCATGCGAAAAGAATCGACGACAAGCTAAGTGCTCTCAGCAGCTGGATCATACAGCCTTAATTAACATTTTATTAAGGCTGTATGATGCAGCTGCTGAGAGCACTTGAAACAACAACTTGCATTTTTATTACGCCCTTCACGCGGCATCCTGGAGCGCTTGACAGTGGTGGAGTCTGACAACAAACCAGGGGGAAAGGGAGAGGGGGTGGGTGGTGACCACAAGCACGATCAAAAAGGAAGGTCTTTAGGTGGGGTGGGAGGGGGGAAGGCAGAGAGATTGAGGGAGACTGGAATGCCTGAGTCTCGGGTCATAGTGGCTTAAGATGGCACGGCCACCGAAGGTGGAATGGAGGGCACAAGAGACAAATAGGAGGCCAGAGCCAGCCGAGTGGAGGCAGCGGGTGGTGGATTGAGGATAAGTAGGGAGGTGCGAGGGCTTGAAGGGATTTGTAAACGAGCGAGAGGATCTTGAAATCGATCCACTCAGTGATGGGAGCAACTGGAGCCTGGCAAGGACTAATGTGATGGGGGTACAGAATTTTGTGCGGGTGAGTATCCGGGAGGCGGGGTTTTTAATGAATTGGATTTTGTGTATGGTGGAGCTGGGGAGACCAGCAAGGAGGGCATTAGAATAGTCCAGCCAGGCAGTGATGAAGACGTGGACGAGGGTTTCAGCTGTATCAGTTGTGAGGTACGGATGGAGGCGGGCAATGTGACAGAGGTGCCCTGGTCAGGAAAAGGATGTAATAAATAATAATCCTTGCGTTTGATTTAGTGCTTTTCTAGACATCTCAAAGCGCTTCTCAGAATATACTGTAAAGTGAATTGACTATATATTTGTGGGTGAAACACGGCAGCCAATTGTGCACAGCAGTGTCCCACAAACAGTCATGGATTCAAGTGACCAATTTATTATTGTTTTTGGCAAGGAAGAGCCTTGGGGTACCCCTCAAGTGATTGGGCGGGGGAAAAAACATTGGCTGAGATGAAGTGCCGACAGTTGGTTAAATAGGACTCGAACCATGCGAGTGCGCCTCCCACTAAGGCGGATAAAGGAGAGGTGGTGGAGAAGGATTGGTGGGTAAAACCATGTCGAACACAGCAGGGAGGCCCAGGAGAAGGCAGAGGGAACCCTGGTCATAGAGAGAGAGGACGTCATTTGTTACTTTTGAGCGCTGTCTCTGTGCTGTGGGCTTGGCGGAAACCAGATTGGAAGGGTTTCTGTAGGGACTGGAGGGCGAGGTGTGAGCGAAGTTGGTTTGCAACAACGCATTCCAGGGCTTTGGCTAGGAAGGGCAGGCTTGAAATGGGATGAGTCTAGGTTTTTTAAGGAGAGGAGTGATGACAGCTGTTTTGAATGGGACTGAGCCTGAGGAGAGGGACTGATATCTAACAAGTAACCATAGAATACAGTGTAGACCCATGAAACACGATCACGAGTGTTCTTTGCAAGTTATGACCAATAAATTATACAGCCTGAAACAAGATGTAAATCTTTTATGATTCATTTACAACCAGTGACATTGTTGTAAATTATCCTCTCAGTTCTCAGTCACAGAATACTTTAGGTACTATGCAGCTTAATTAAATGGTACAAATAAAAATCTGAAGAGGGAGCAATAAGCTGAATTCAAAACTGCATGTCGCCCTTCCCATCATCATTCCATTCCTATCCTTGAGGATAGAATCAAACATGACATAATCCTTAGCCAATCATCATCCCATTTTTCACCTCTGCAGTTGTAACCCATTTCATATACCAAATCATTTTCAAATTTAAAAACTATACTAAGAGAATAACATTAATAACTTCAATTAATTTCACAGGAGTCCGCCTGGTGTTCCTCGCCTTTCAAGGTCATTCAGTACAAGGGGGCTCAAAATCCTACAAATTGTAATTGTATCTGTCGGCAAACAATTAACTCTTAAAAGTTCAGAATTACTCCAACATATATATCCCACAACCTAATATTTTAAATGAGTTTCTGTAACCCTAATTCTAATATAGAAATCGTAATTGAAGTGCTGTCTCACAGGAATCTATTTTAGTGAGAATAAGTTTGGCAAGAGCCAAGAGGATACACATATATGTTTCAACACAATTTGTTTATAAGCATTTCAAAATATATATTTTTAATTGCTATTATGATTAATTATTGTTTTACAATACCTATTTGTATGCTTTTGAAATTAAATGAGGATACACCCTTTTCAAGTGTGGGCCTATTGCTCAAAGTCAGGGGAAATTTTATAGGCTGTAATAATTCCCTTACCCCCGCCACCCCTCAGATTTATTCTGATCCTATAGCTTTTAGGAACAAATGTATCACAGGAGAGCAGAACTTTATTTTTGGGAAGTTAACTTTACCTTTAAAAAAACAAATCTACATAAATAATGATGGAAATAAGATGGTGGCATTCTTCACAACGAAATGTGTTAATATTTGACACAATCTGAATCAATCTGATCTAATTCTTTCTGATCCAATACGCATTATGAAGTTTCCATTCTTTAATGCTTATAAATGATTATTCTGTGGCCAAACAGTAGTGAACTATGAATAGAAATGTTTATATAAACAATGTCAGAAATGAATATTAAAAAACATATAGAGGAAATATGATGTCCATTATAATACTTATAACACTTAATTTCTTTCCATTTCAAAACATATTACAGTAAACAAAGAAACTATGAAGGGGAAAATAAGTATTTAATGTAAATGTTTTCTTTTTGCTGAGGCTTAGGTTTAAAAATTTAATATTTCATTTAATTACTCTACCAAAAACAACATGGTTACATTTGTATAGCGCCTTTCACGTCGGGAGGACGTCGGGCAGGTTGGTAGGGGGTTAGGAGGTCGCAGAGGTAGGGTGGGGCGAGGCCATGGAGGGCTTTGTAGATGAGGACCAGGATCTTGAACTGGATCCTCTGAGGTACACGGAGCCAATGGGAGTCGGGCGAGAATGGGGGAGACGGGGTCACAGAGTTTGGTGCGGGAGAGGACACGGGCTGCAGAGTTCTTGGGAGAATAAAACCCATCACTGCAACCAGTGAAAATTAAAGTCATGATCCTTCAAAATGATATAAATTATAGTCCTTACGTGTCACATTGTGCCATATCGAGTTATCAAGATGTCTCAATGCACTTCACAGGGCTTACTATCAAAAAGTATAGTGACTGTATTTGAAAGGGCAACGTGGCAGCGAACTTGCGCAGGACAATGTCCCCATAAACAGCCAGGAAGTGATTGTTTTAATCTGAGACCGTGTTTGGCCGGGACATGGGAGGAGAAACTCCTCGTCGGATATCTATCTGCACCAGTTCAGATTTACTGCAATCCGAAAACGTTGCGCCTCGCCTGCATTTTACACACAGAGGAGGGCAATCTCATTAAGTCTCCTGATGTTTAAGCGCACTGGGACGCCACCGGCGTGAAGGGTGCTGTACACGGGGCGCTTCGAGTTGTTGTTGTACCCTGCACAAGGGGCGCTACAACAACAACAACAACACAATTCCATTTATTGAGCGCCTTTCACGTCGGGAGGACGTCCCGAGGCGCTGGACAGTTGGGTCGGGACCCGAGGGGGGGGGGAATGGTGAGGGTGAGGGGAGGGAGGGAGCGAGGAGGGGGTAGAGGGGAGCTGAAGGCACGGTCAAAGAGAAATTATATATTATATATATAAATGCAAGTTGTGGATGTAGACCGCCCGCAGACAGCCTCTGACCCCCACCGCTGCAGCCGTGGAGGATTCGCTGCCCTAACCCTGTCCGGTGGGTGTGAAATGAAAGTGCTCTGAACCCCCCCCCCCCCCCGGGGCTCCAGCGCTGCCGGACACAGACTCCCACCCAAAGCTCCTCAGCCGCTGATGCGGTCACTGCTGAACAGACGTTGTGGCCTCAACAGCCAATCAACCGAACCCGCCAACAAAACACAGCCGCTTGGACTCTCTCTCCCTCCTCCTCCCCCCACACCCCACACACCACACACACCGCACCACACCCCCCACCCCCCCACACACACCGCACCACACCCACCAGCCCCCCACACCCCAACCTCCACACCCCCACCCCCCACCACACACCACACCCCCCACCACACACCCCCACCCCCACCACACCCCCACCACACCCCCCCCCCCCCCACCCCCCCCCACCCCCCCCCCCCACCCCACCCACCCGCACCACACCCCCCCACACCCCCCACCCCACCACACCCCCCCCACCCCACCCCCACCACCCACACCCCACACACCCCCCACACCCCCCACACACACCGCACCACACCCCCCCCACCCACCCGCACCACACACCCCCACCACACCCGCCACCCCCCACCGCACCACACCCGCCACCCCACACCCCGACTCTCAGCCACTATCCTCCCAACTCTCCCGCACCCCCCACTCCACACCCTCACACACAACTCCCCCCCCCCCCCGGCCTCTCCCCCCGGCCTCTCCCCCGGCCTCTCCCCCCCCCGGCCTCTCCCCCGGCTCTCCCCCCCCCCCCGCCTCTCCCCCCCCGGCCTCTCCCCCGCCTCTCCCCCCCCCGCCTCTCCCCCCCCGGGCCTCTCCCCGCCTCTCCCCCCCCCCGGCCTCTCCCCCCCCCGGGCCTCTCCCCGCCCCCACTCGGCGTCTCTCAAAACCTCGCACATCACACCCGCCGCCTCCTCCTTCAGTCGACGCGAAGCTGCTGTGTTAACCTTCTCTCTCTCTCTCTCTCACCTCCTCCTCTCAAAGCCGCCGCTCGAGCTCCGCCATCAGCCACATCACCGCCATCTTGTTTCCCGAGCGATGCGAGGTCACAGGGCGGCGGAGTCACCTCAGCCGCCCCACCACTGGGGGCGCTGTACCTCAGCCGCCCCACCACTGGGGGCGCTGTACCTCAGCCTCCCCACCACTGGGGGCGCTGTACCTCAGCCGCCCCACCACTGGGGGCGCTGTACCTCAGCCTCCCCACCACTGGGGGCGCTGTACCTCAGCCGCCCCACCACTGGGGGCGCTGTACCTCAGCCTCCCCACCACTGGGGGCGCTGCAGTGCGAGTTTTAAAGAAGGGATTTGTTTACAGAAAGTGACGTTGAAAAAAGCTGTTGGTGATGAAGGGCCGTCTTGGGCTGTGTATACTTTATTAGTATATTGTATTATATTGCAACCACTTAATTCTGGGCTCTGGAGGAGGTTTTTTTGCTGCTGTCGTCACCCCAAGACGGTCTTCATCACACTTTTTAAGTAACTATTAGTACTTAATAATAATAATAATCCTTGTGTTTGATATTGCACCTTCTCACATCATGGACTTGTCTCAAAGTGCTGCCGAGGATATGCCGCAAAGTGCATTGACTTTGCAGTTCGTAAACAAGCGCCACCAGAAAATGGCAACGTCCCACAAACAGTCGTGGAGTAAACGACTGTTTTTATTTGGGGGATGGTTGGCCAGGTCACGGGGAGAAACTCCCTTCTTTTTTCAAGTCGTGCGATTGTATTTTTAATTCCACTGAAACGGACAAGAGATGACTGCAATTTAATCTCTCATCTGCAGGACAGCAACTCTGACAGCAACTCCCCCAATCCAGCGTTCTCCCAGCACTGCACACGGGTGCCGAGCCCACACTGTGGGTTCAAAGTCCTGATGTGGGTTCAACCTTCTCACTCAGAGGTGAGAGTGCTACGAGCTGAGCCGGGCTGGCACACCAATGGATTTAACTTCTTAAAATGGTACAAACAAAAACCGGTTTGCTAACTTTTTCACAAAGATAGTGGTGCTTAAGGAGAGATGTGCAAATTGCAGGTAAGACTAAACAAAGGGCCAGTGTGTGCAGCAATGGTTTTTTTTTGGCTGTGTACCTCAGCACAGACTGACCTCTCCCCAGCATTCGAAAAATAAAGAAATTACCTACAATTTAGAAAAAGTCTTGTCCCCTATCTACAGCAGAATTATTGACTAAAATCCTTAAAATCACGCCTGTCAAGAAATTTTAAAATTAGTTCCCTTTTCCTTCAGATGAATCTAAACATTACAACAGTGACTCTTCATGGCATTATTTGATACTTTAATGTATGTCTTGCTTTATTTATCAAAAAAGAATAAAATCAGTGACGTGAATGAGGGAAAATATAACCTTTTTATAAAAAATGATAGAAAGGAAGGCTTGTTTGAAGAAATAATGTTTCAGCACTTCCTTGTACATAGCAACACACCTTATCTTTTTCCATGACTCATCTGGTTCTTTAATACAATTATAAGGAACGAGTGAATGAATTTGTATACTCAACTCTCCAACACCATCAATCTCTCCCTATCATCTGGCACCATTCCCATCCCCCTAAAAGTAGCTATAATCACCCCCAAAACTGAAAAAAACCTTCGCTGGACCCATCCTTGTTTTCTAATCAACCCATCTTCAACCTCCCTTTTCTTTCCAAGGTCCTTGAAAGAGTTGTTGCTTCCCAGCTTCGCTCCTTCCTCTTCTACCACTCCCTTCACGAGCCCCTCCAATCGGGTTTCTATGCTACTCACAGCATGGAAATTGCTCTGGTCAAGGTCACAAACAACATCCTGTCCATCTGTGACCAGGGCTCCTTCTGCCTCCTCGTCCTCCTTGACCTCTCTGCTGCTTTTGATACGTGGACCACTCCATCTTCCTCCACCACCTCTCCTTATCTCAACCTTCAAGGTTCTGTCCTTGAATGGTTCAGGTCTTATCTTGCACACCGTCTCCAATTTGACTCCGCCAATGGTTTCTCTACCAGCTCCCACACAGTCTTGTGTGGTGTTCCTCAGGGCTCTGTCCTCGTCCCCTCCTCTTCAACCTCTATATGCTCCCCTTTGGTGACATCATCCGCAGACTTTGGGTCAACTTCCACATGTACGCGGATGACACCCAACTCTATCTCTCTGCCTCCACTCTCGATTCCAGGACAATTGACGTCCTGACAGACTGTCTGTCAGACATGAAGTCCTGGATGAGAGCCAACTTTCTACAGCTGAATGTCAGCAAGACTGAGGCCCTCCTGATTGGCTCACACCAGAGCCTCCGCACCTCAGGCACTGGCAGCATCAGTATTCACGGATGCACACTCCACCTCACCAAGCCAGTCAGGAACCTGGGGATCTTGTTCGACCCTCAACTGTCCTTTCTTCCCCATATACGTGCCATGACCTGCTCTGCCTTCCCCCATCTCTGCAAAATTGCAGAATCCTCCGCCACTGCCTCACCCCTCACACTACCAAACCTGTTATACACGCATTTGCCACCTCAAGGCTTAACTACGGAAACTCCCTCCTTGCCGGCCTCCCCAACTCTTCCCTTCACAAACTGCAGATCATCCAGAACTCTGCAGCTCATGTCCTCTCCCACGTCAGGCTCCGTGACCCCATCACCCCTACTCTCACCCAGCTCCACATCCCTCGGAGAATAGAATTAAAAATCCTTGTCTCACTTTCAAGACCCTCCATGGCCTTGCCCCCACCTACCTCTCTGATCTGCTAATCTCCTATTAACTTGTCCGCTCCTCTGCTCAGCAGGTTCCGGCCTGCTCCATGTCTCCCGCCCAACCTGGCCTACCATCGGCGGCCAGACATTGCTTTCAGCCTCTCTACCCCCACCCTTTGGAACTCCATCCCATTTGACTTGCCCCTCCTTTGCATCCTTCAAGGCACAACTCAAGACTTTACTTTTCGACTGTGACTTTAGCCACTCTCCTACCTCTCTGCGCTCCCTCATCCCAACCCTGCCCCCCCACGCTCAGGTTCTGATCCCCAACTGTTCAGCACCTTGGGACGTCCTCCCAACATGAAAGGCGTTTTACAAATTTAATTTTGTTGTTGTATTTTAATACCATTTTATCACATCAAAAGATCTCAAAGTTCTTTACAGATAATTACTGTCAAGTTACATGATTGCTTGTGAATGTCAATAGGTGTGTCACCATACAACAAAATAACTTGTCAGAAAGGGTGGAGGAGAAAAGGGAAGAGTATTTGCAAAAATAGAAACCCAATAGCCTATAATAGTTTTGTTGTGCTTCTATAATGGAATTTTTTACTTATTCCAAAGTTATAATATGTTACAATAAAGTTACAATAGTTACAATATCCCAGTAAATGAGACATGAATGAAGATTACTTTTTAGGGTTTTCCCTGAAGTATTCCTCATATTTATCGCTTACTTATCCAGACCAAACTCCGTAACCACATCTCACCAGTTCTGGCCAGGCTCTACTGACTCCCCATCACCGAACGGATCAACTTCAAGATCCTCGCACTTCAAATCCCTTCACTCTCTGGTACCTACTTACCTCTCCAACCTCCTCACTCCCTCAATCCCTCCGCCTTGCCCCCCCCTCTCACCTTTTTCAAGTCTCGCCTGAAAACCTTCCTCTTCGACCGTGTTTAATAATAATAATCCTTGCATTTGATATAGCGCTTTTCACGTCTTCTAGACGTCTCAAAGAGCTTCACAGAACAACAACAAGATTACATTTGTATAGCGCCTTTCATGTCGGGAGGATGTCCCAAATCGCTGGACAGTGTACAGTGTACGGCAAGAGGAGGGTTTTGAGGCGAGACTTGAAGGAGGCTAAGGCGGGGGCGAGGTGGAGTGATTGGGGGATGGAATTCCAGAGGTTGGAATAATAATAATAATAATCCTTGCATTTGATATAGCGCTTTTCACGTCAGGAGGACATCCCAAAGCGTTTCACAGAACACACTGTAAAGTGAATTGACTGTATATTTGTGGGCGAACGCGGCAGCCAATTGCGCACAGCAGTGTCCCACAAACAGTTGTGGATTGAAGTGACCATTTTTTTTCTTGAGGGATTACTATCAGGCGTGTGGAGTAAGGAGACTTGCCCAAGGTTTCGCCCTGCCTGGAATTGCTCCATTAGGAATGAACAAACCATCAGTTACAGATTTAAAAGGGAACTTTCAAACAATACTGTACAATCATGAGAAGTTAAGATTACTTTCCTTTGGTATGGACTTCCTTATTCTTCAAACCTAGTTTCTCTTAAAAATATTCTTTGTTCTTTGAATGCTCTTTTCATATACTTATGAGTGAACTGAGATCACTTCTAGTGGTAAGGTCTGATTTATACTTCTCACATTCACCATGGACTGCCGAGTTTATTTTTTAATGTTGTTAATCAGCTGCCTCATCAATAATAATAACAATCCTTTAAGCACACAAATCTATTTGCACCAAGTGCATTTAGACTGCAGCAAGTCAAATAATTAAGAGGCTAGGATTATAAATCATAACCTCCAGATAATCTCAGTAGCAGGACATCATCTTATTCCTTTGTGAAAAGCACATTATAAACTGGATATAAGACTACTTTGCTTAGCAGCAACCAGGCAAGTTGTATAAATTTATACTTTAGTTTTCTGTTAAATGCTGCATAAAAAGTGATGGGGATTATGCCAGCTCATCTAAACCAACAGGCTGCATAAATCAGACACTGTATCCAAGTTGGAGACATTTGTAAAGTTTAGCCTTTCAATTTGATAACTGTGCAAACAGCTTACCTATTCATCTAATAACTGCTTGACAAGTTGCCTTCATGACCTTCCAACATTTAAGGCTTATACCTCAGGCACTGTGCCACTGTTGCTAGCCACACAGCAGAGTGTCAAGAACAACATTGGCAAAGGCCACCTCTCTCCCTCCCCCCGGCTCGGAGACAGTTAAGCTCCCTCCCTCCTTCTCTCCTTTCCTCCGCCTCTCACTCCCCCCCTCTCCCTCCCCTCCTCCTTCCCCACATCCTCCTCCCCTTCCCCCATATCCTCATCCCCTCCTCCCTACCTCCTTCTTTCCCTCCCCTCATTCCCTCCCCACCCTTCTCTCCTCTCCCTCTCTCTCTCCTCCCCCCTCCCAAATACACATTGTTTATTATTGGGGGATTATATTTATAGTTAAATTGATTGTTGATGTATGACAGTTGTACTTCACAGGCATGTTTGACTAGGGTATAATCTCTATTGACATTACTTTTACCTACATTCTTTGGTTATATTTTCCTTGTAAGCGCCATCTACAAGTCCAGAGTACGTTGGTGTTTGTCAAACATTTATTTAGCAAGTCAAGAATAAATCAACATATTCTAAATATGTAAAACTAATTTTGGTAAACCTCCAGATTTATGGAACTTCTCCAGGTTTATGGAGGTTTAGGATTAACATAATTCAGCACTTCATCATCGAATCATAGAATTATACAGCATGGAAGGAGGCCATTTGGCCCATTGTGTCTATGCCGGCTCTTTGAAAAGAGCTACCCAAATCAATCCCACTCTCTCCCCTTAGCCCTGCAAACTTGTCCTCCCCAAATAATTATTTAATAACGTTCAAGAGACAAGAGAGGAAAATGGCAGTAATGAACTTGAGTTTTTTTTGCAGTGGTTTGAAATAAGCCCGAATTCAGCAACACTTATTGTGCTGTATCGGGAAACACTTAAGTCACAGTTGTCCTAATTTGCCTTTAAGAAGCCACTCTTAACCACTTTACTGCTACTGGTGATCCTTAAAAAAAGTGGGAGGATATACAATGATGCATTCATTACAGGTGTTATCCGTCACTTATGTTTGTTTAAGTTAACTGCTTTCTCTCCTTTATCAACGTTTTTACTTCAAAAGTTACTATGAACTAGAATGCTCAAACTGGATATGTTTCTTCTTGGTACAAAAATAACATCTGTTTTTATTCTGCATGATTAATTTTAGCTTCTACCTTTCTAAACACAGGGCACAGTGCAGTATTTGTCAATCCATCCCTAAATTATCAGCACATCCATTTGACAGTCAAATCAAATCCCAGAATTTACCCACAGGCTCTTTGGAGGACAGGTTTTGAGACTGGATTATCTTGCTGATTTCAACTTTTTGAAGCCAAAGGTGTCCTGACAGCTTTCTGTTCAATTTTAATTAAAAATAATAATAATTCCATTTGATTCAGCACTTTCACGTTGGGAGGACATGTCAAGGCAAGAGTGCTACCAACTGAGCCAGACAGACCATGTAAACCAATTAACTCAATTTTAGGTTTAAGATGTTTTTCAATTCATTAAGCATATAAGGATAAATTATGTTAAATTATTACTCAAAGTTTTTTTTAAACGAACAGAGTAACATACAGAGCCAGAAAGTCCATCTGACAAATCCCCAAAATAAAGACCTGGAATGGCTAGAAAACTAATAAAAAATGATACCTGTTCCCACATCAATATCATGTTTATTATCCTTTTATTGGTGACACAGTCACTCCACTGTGCTCAACATGTCCACCGGAAACAGTACAAAAAGTAATTGTTGAATATTTCAAAATATTTGACTCCATAATATAAATAATAACAATTGCTTGGCAATAACGTCTGCTTCCAACATACAAATTAATGAGACATCACAACCTATGAGAATCATGGACATTTACAGTGCAGAAGAAAGCCATTTGGCCAATCTGGTCTGTGCTGGCTCTGTTAAGAGCAATCCTGTCAAGTCTCATTTACCTGCCCTTTCCTTATTTTGCATGTTATTGAAGTCATTTTGCAATTGAGCATAAAACTCTCCCCTTCAAAAACTGCAGTGTTTTGCCTTATAACATTTGCAAAGTTTTGTTCGGTGTACAAGAAGCACAATATCATGGCTGTGGCTCTAGCTGTCTGGTGTTTGGCCACAATAGTTATTTATTCTCAGGTGTAGGCTGGATTTGTTAACAAATTGGTACCTCCCCCATGACGTCAGTTCACATACAGAGCTCCACTGTTAGAAGCTGAGTTGCCCTTTGTTTGCAGTTCAGATGTTGGTATGAACATGGTTAGTGTGTTAGCAGTAAACCAAAAAGAAACCCATTCAATATCACCTTCTCAAGCTGCACATTACCACCTGAACAAGTCCTGCTTATAAACTGACAATTTTTCCTCACTCGGCCTCTGAGGTAATGTAAACTCATTAATCATGTTGAAAGTATTTTAGCCTTGGGGAAGAGTACAGCTCAAGACCACTATGTCCTTATTGTCTGCAGATCGTCGAGGCTGATGTGCCAGTGACATTTGAGAATCAAATTCCAGTCGTGCAGGTGAAAAGGCAAAATAAATGGAGACATTCTGTGACTCATGCAGGCAGCATCTGCAAAACTTTGTGGATCTGATGCGGAGAGCCACGGAAAACCTCTTGCAGAAAATAAAAGATTTTGTCCAAGCGATAAAAGGTTGCTGCTGCCTGAAACGGAATAAAACAGGGTTAGGGAGGCTCTACAAACCAGTTTTGCAACAGCACGAGAAAGAAGCTGCACAGGAGCTTCTGCAGCACATAGAGAAAGGTAAGCTCCTACTGTTGTTACTCAAAAACATTCCTTCAAAACTGCCTCCTGTGTTATGGTTTGTTGTGCATGTCTTTCTACCTTAGGACCATGGTGTGATTTCTGATAGGTGCTTCTTTGTACCTGTCACACAATGTTGAATTGCAGAAGTGTTCCGGGGTCGCTTGTCATTTTTCCGACTTTTACACCATTTGTCCTATGTGATCACTTTGCAGGGATCCAGATGTTTGTTGAATCCTTTCTTGTAATTTTGTATATCAGTATAATCTCCAAATGGTTTTCCACAAGATTACATCTCCAGGAAGAAATTATGAACTTATAGCTATTTGAGCTAATGGAAAGATCTGTGAGTACAAAAAACACAAAGGCAGCATTATTAATTTGCTGGTGAAGCATCCAACTTCATTTGCGAAAGCATGTTTTAAGAAAAGTGTCACTAGTCAATTTATAATCTGACACTATTCGGAAAAAGAAGGGAGTTTCTACCAGCGTCCTGGCTAACAATCCTTCAGATAAAATTCGTCATTCACTTCTTCGCTGTCGTTTGGGACATTTCTATGCACAAATTAGCTGCTATGTTCACCTACAAGTGCTTAAAAAGTAATTGCTGTGAAATAGTTAAAGATGGCTCATTGTTTTAGGAGCTACTGTATATAAAGTCCTATGATTATTATTAAGGAGTTTTTTATTTTGTATAAAGTAAATGGTGTCTCTGGAATTGCACCCAGCAATGCCACAACCAATGGCCATAATGACTAGTTATCAAGCATTTTATTCGATGTACGCTGATTGTTACCAGAAAACTGGATTAACTGATATCACACCACTCTTGCAATTAAATGCCCAAACAAATTACCCAACACGATTCTAATCCTCTCATGTATCCATGAAGACAAACAAAATAACTTAGTCTTGTACATTTTGCTTAAAATGTTCAACACCTAATATTTTGCTAGTGCTCAATTATATTATACACAATGTAATCATTGAGGATATAGACCAACAGCTCTGTGGTTAGAAAGTAATAACTGTCTAAAATGCCTTAAAAAGAAAGTGGATTTTAAAACTGTGAATGGAGGGATCAAAATTGTGTTGTGCAACATGTTTATTAACAGTGATGGTGGCACTCAACACATGCATTAAAAAGTGACCCGATTATAACAACAACTTGCAATTGACTGTTGCCTGAAGGTGCTGGAAGTTGTCCCTCTTCACCTACAAACTGTTTCCAAGGGTTGAATGGTCAGAAACCATCGGGGTACAAGCACATGTTAGATTCTCAGCCTGCCAATTGTGAAATTGGACTGCTGGTTAGTAGGATACAGGCCAAAGTAAACAAAAAATCTGAAATAAACCAGTGATGACTATACACAATGCACTGAACTGTTTACCATATAAAGCATTGTTCGTTACAATACCCGCTTACCAAGTGAGGGCTTCAGGCAGTAAACGTGTGTATCTAACAAGTGTACACGGCTCGTTGTTGATCCTGAAAGGATTACTACTAAAATGCAAGGTGATAACCAGAGGCAGTTCATAAAAGATAAGGAATTGCTTATATGAATTGCACATGTGTCTTAATCCAGGGAAAGTTCTGAAAGATCTTTTGAATTGTAACAACCTGATGATTATAGTTGTATAGTGCCTTTCATGTTGGGAGGACCTCCCAACATGAAAGGCGTTATACAAATGTAATCTTGTTGTTGTTGATTGAATGGCCTTCCAGTGCTCACTGTTAAGGTTCAGCAAAGATTGAGAGCGATGGAGCAGTACTCCAGCATAAATCAGTAGTTTTAGGCACAAAGAAGAGGTAGTTCAATTTTTTTTAAATAGTATGATTTATTAAGGTAATAATCTTTCTTTCATTCTCATGAAGAGTCCAGAATTCTTGGAATGATAGAGTTGTGAAGGAGGGATACTGAGAAATATGTTAAAAGGTAAATATTCACGTTGAGAATAAATGATCTTTCTCGTTTTTTGCAGCCTCAGAAAAGAAAGTGATTGATAGAGAATGCTTGGAGGTCTTGGAGACACTTACTGGTTCTGAAAACCCTGGTCTGCAGCAATCAGCTGCTCTTTACTACTTACACATCAGTGAACAGTGTGAGTACATGACTTTCATATGTTTTTCATGGAGTCCTGGATAACTCTTCAGATGAATGTCAACAAGGCTCTCCTGCTTGGCTCCCGTCAGTGCCCTCTCATCTCAGGCACTGACCACATTGACCTACCTCACAGAGCCAGTAGGAAACCTCAGTGGCTTGTTTGATTCCCAGATGTCTTTCCCTATCTTGCATTGGATCAACTTTTAGGTTCTCATCCTTATCTTCAAATGTATCCAATGCCTTGCCCCATCTGACCTATGTGGTCTGCTGTGATCTTACTCCCCTCCTAGTCTCTCTAATTCTTGGTGGATTGCTTCATGCCCTCTGTTGGCAGATGAGCCCTCAGCCAGTTTACCCTCTCCCTCTAGACCTCCCTTCTGAAATCAACACACCTTGACTGCACTTTCCGCCACCTCCCTCCTACCCCTCAGAGCTCAGGCTTTCCCTCAGTACCTTCGAGATATTCTCCCTATATGAAAGGTGATATAACTACAGAATAAATTCTTGTTGTTTTGGCCCACACTTGGTTGAGTTACTAGAGGGCTGCTAATCACTTAACCACACCATAGCAGGAGTCATGCCTACAGAAAAAAAGTGGCAAAAACCTGTTGATAAAGGAAAGTTGAGCAATTATATTAGCAATTTGCTGATAGTGCACAAATATTCAGCCGAACCAGTGGGAGGAGGACACAATGTTCAACCTGACATTTCACACAATTACTGATCTAAACCACAGCAAAATGAAGCAGCAAGATGATGAGGAAATTGCCCTGCCTGCACAGTACCATGAATCTCCCAGCAGCCAGCCAAAGTGCACATTCAATTGGGAACAAATCATCCCTTCGGCAGCAAGCTGATACCACCAGAGTGGTCACCTGACCTCATCCACCCTCAGAAAGGTTGGCGAGCGATGCAAAAAGATTCCAACTAAAGGATAGGGGAGCAACAGAAAATAAGCTAATAAAGTATATTTTCACAAAAAAAATTCTCATCAGTTTTCTCCCCTTTTTTCTCACCTGAGAATAAAATTGAGCATTCATGTCATGGCTATTTAATAATCCATGCATTTGTAGGACATTGCTGTGTGCAATTTAGCTGCTACATTTGCCTACAAATACACAGTTACTACACTTTACAGTAAATTCTGTGAAGCGCTTTGAGACACTTTAACAAATTGATAAGCACTGTATCAAATGGAATAATTATTACCCTCATCAGGCTCCACTGTCTCCCAGCAGAAGGACTTCAGGATCCTCACTCTCAGGTGTAAATCCCTTTGTGCTTTTGCACCTCTCCAGCTCTTTGATATGCTTCATCCTCATTCTTCTGCTCAGCCCCTTCTGCTTGGCCAGCTTCAGGCAGCCATGGGTCACCCGCCGCCTCTGCCTGTAATCCACAGTCAAGACTTCAGCCACTATGCCCCCAACCAATGGAAATCCCTCCCTCTGCCTTTCTGTCCCTCTGTGTGTCTTAGTACAATAATCTTTGCATTTGATATATCACTTGATGTCATCTCAAGGTGCTTCACAGGATTTATTGTGATTGTATTTTGTAGTCTTCAAAAGCAAAAAACCTTTTCAACCATGGCAACAGTCACTCCCCCTCCTCCCCTAAGCTCATTGTCTAGCACCATCTATTAAGACATTAATGTACGTGAGGGTAACTTTATGAATGAAATTTATTGCTGAGTACAGCAGAATATTGAACTTGATGGGAGGAGCCATCACAGCTGAATTCTGTCCTCACCTAATATCCATACCTGTGTGTCTCCAACAGGGTCACTGGGAGAACAATAAAGTGAGGAACCCTGGTTAATTCATTCCTTTCTTAACCTTGATCCCGAGGGCAGTTGTGGTACCCCAGGCCTCCGTGACTGAAATTAGTGAAAAGGGATCAAACCTGAGATCTTTCAGGATCTGCAAAGTTCAGCTTCTCAGGGGAGTCTTGAATGTTAAATTATTGTAGACAGAACTTCCTCCAGGCTGTGGAGGAAGAGAATGAGTCACGGATGCTGCTGATCTATAATTGGAGACTTTCCTCTCCTTCACTGGAAGACTGAAATTCAAACTGCCTCAAACAGCCATTCCCATTTCTGCACTAACTGGGATAAAGTTTGTGATGTTGTTTAAGTAATGTCAGTGAAACCTAATGCTACCTGGTGGCAGCAAATAACTGTTTTTTGCCTTTTTGGTCTGGATGTCCACCAATTTTAAGGTGGGCGTTTTTGCTTTATAAATGTTGTGCCATAGGGTCATGGCATAAAGTTATGTCTTTTTGCTGATGATTTATTTTCTAGTTCTGTCTGTAAAGGGGTGAAAGGCATGAAAAATGAAAAAGTGAAAAATGAAATCTGGGCCAGTCCACTGTTCCTATGGTTTAGCTGAGTAAGAACAACAACAACTTGCACCTTTCACGCAAGATTAAGATGTCTGAACTAGGACTCAGTTTAATTTCAAGAATATTTGGGATTGATCACTCTTTGCGTGTATTCAGGTATGATTCAATCTGATTTCAATTAATTACAATATTATTTGTTTTAGTGAATAATGAATTACCTGAAGAGTATCTGGAGCCTCTTTATGCCTTGTTGCAGTCCAATGATTTGGAGGTGCAGAGGAAGGCTTCCCTATCACTGGTCAATCTTTTAGACAAGGGCAATGGTGAGTATGTCAATGCCACTCAATACTTTTCCTTTGTGATTTTGGTTTAAAGTCTCACCTGAAGGACAGCATCTCCAACAATGCAGCACAACTCCAGCACTGCATTAGAGTGTCAGCTTAAATTATACAAATTCCAAATCCCAATATAGGATTTGAACGCACAACCTTGTGATTCTGAGGTGAGAGTGCTACCAACTGAGCCAGGCTGACACAAATCTCAGGCTCCACACCCAAATTAAACTATAAGCGTACCCCCATCATACCAAAGTGGATTAAAATGGGGCTCCACTTAATGTGGAGCTCTCAGTCTGGTTTGGATACTCTTAAAGCATGATGAAAGGTTTTCATATGTGTTAGACACCTGGCTGACCAAAAAAAAACATATTTCCTGTCTTTGCTATCCCCATAAACTACCAATTGTGGAAAATGTTATGCTTCTACTCCCTGCAAGCTTTCCTTATCTACTATTTATACAGTAAACAAAGAGGCTGTGGTGAAACTCGGGCTGCTGGAGCCTATCCTGGAGCTGCTTGGTTCTGGAGACTCCACTGTGCAGTGCAATTCTTGTGCATGTATAGCAACCTTGGCCACTTCAGGTAATTGTACAAACAGTTGGTGAGGTTATATATATATATATATATATATAGTCTATAGCTAATTTATAATTTCATTATGTACATTTGGGAGAGAAATGCACTATGTGATATTGTTACATAGACCAACAATGCAGTCAAAAATACTCAATAGCTATAACTCATTGATCTTAAAGATTTAACAACCACCCCTGCCAGTAAAAGCTACTGTAGTGACTATTTTTGGTCTATGAAGTGATAATATGACATGCCACATTTTATTCCTTATTTATACAGTATCTTAACATTCTGAAAGAAGAAATTTAATAATAATATTAACACTTTCATTTGATTCAGGACCTTTCACGTCAGGAGGATGTCTCAAAGGATTTCACGGGATTTGATGTGAAATGTGGTGACTATATCGCCCACAAAATATACAGTCAATTCGCTTTACAATATATTCGGTGAAGCGTTTTGAGACGTCTCGAAGAAGTGATAAGGCACTATATCAGATGCAAGGATTATTATTATGTATTTTGTGTGTGAATATAAAAAAATGTGTTACCAATACCAGAAGAAAAGTCCTTAGTGCAATATTAAAGCTGAAGGTTTTGACATCCATTCCACAAATTTGAGACCACTAAATACTCCAGACAATGGATTTAAAGTTATCAATACAATGTCCACATCCATATCAATCTGTCTGTTCCATATCAACTTGTCGACTTCCCCCCCTCAGCAGGCAGGCCTGCTCCATGTCCCCCGCCAGGCTCACCCCACCATCGACGATCAGACCTTCAGCCTCTCTGCCCCCACCTTCAGCGCCTTGGGACGTCCTCCTGACGTGAAAGGCGCTTTATAAATGTAATCTTGTTGTTGTTGTTGTTTTGGAACTCTATCCCACAGTCCTTTCGCCTTGTTCTGTACCTTGCCTCCTTCGAGGTACATCTCAAGACCCTCCTCTTCGACTGCACCTTTGGCACCCTCCTACCCCTTACTCTCCCTGTCCTCCACCCCTCCTGATCCCAACCTCCTGCTCAGGTCCAAATCCCTGACTATCCAGCACCTTCGGAAGCCCTCCCAACATGAAAAGCTCTATACAAATGTAATTTCTTGTTGTTGCACAGCACTGACAAGTAATGTAGAGAACTGCACTTAATTTTTGCACCCAGTTAATGTGGGCCTCAAAGGAAACAGTAAATAAGAACGTATTGTAGAGATGCAAGTTGAGGTTAACTGCTCAGAAGTAAAATGATATCTCGGTAATTAAATGTATCACGTGATATTGAGCCACAAGGAGCACAAAGGGCTCAGGTTCAACACCTGTGTAGCCTTCAACATGAAGTTATTGGGTGTGACTTGTTTTTATTTAAAGCTAAACGAGTCAAGGTCACTCCAAAAGTGGGAGATTCAGCGGGTCTGCTTTTATGAATTGATGAAGGTTTATAAGGTTCCTGGTAATGAAAAACAGGTAGTTTTAATATGTAAAACATGTCAGAATGTTTATTTTACATGCCGTATATAAATTCAAGTTATTATTAGTGGCAAAAAGGCTGGAGCACTCTCATTGAAAGTGTTGCAGTTAGTCAGACATGGTACAGCCAAACATCCTTTTCTGTTTGTAATACAGTTGAATGACTGAGCCTGTAAACCTAACATATGAAATTCCTCAGTATTTGTTTAGTACTTTTGCCAGTGATAGCCTCATTCCCTTGACTGACAAACAATAAAGTCTTTGTCATGTACATTATCACCCTCAAATTAATATTTCATTTAGGGATTTAGGAATCTTTGCTGCTTTGTTTTCTGTGCAGTTCAATTGTTCATTATTTTTCTTCCTTTTTATCAGCTTTAAACCGAGATGCCATAGTCTCCGCAGGTGCAGTCAGACCTCTGCTGCTTCTTGCCAAGTCATATGATCCAAGAGTGCAGCAAAATGCGGTGGGCGCCATTCTGAACCTCACCAGATCAGGTAAATACAGTTAGAAGTCTCTCTGCTCTTATATGGGCAAGACCTGCATTCTAATGCCCTCCATAATAAGCCAAACCAATATAGCCAAAGTCTGAGACCATGACACATTTAGTTTTTACAACACATGCATATATATAGCAGCCCTTCGCACGGGATAGCATCTCGGAGCGCTTAACAGTGGCGGAGTCTGACATTGATCATATGGGGAGGGGGAGGTGACCTTGCTCGGTCAAAGAGGAAGGTCTTCAGATGTGATCTAAAAATGGGGAAAGGGGGGGGGCAAGGCACAAAAATTGAGGGAGAAAGTGCCATTTTTAATATATAATATGTATTAATATACCGTCCGTCACATGATATAACATTTCAGAATGTTTCACAATGCTGAGGTCAGACATTGAGTAAGGGAGAAAATGACCTGAAAGTTGAGGGGGTAGGTTTTAAGATAGGATATAAAAACAGAGGGGTAGAGGGAGGGAGTTTCAGAAGTTAGGTCGTAGAAACTGAAGCCTCAGCCATCGATGGTGGTGTGGAGGTCGGAGGGGACATGCAGCAGGACCCGAGTAGAGGGGGTGAACAATGGAGTGGGGTAGGAAAGAATCAGGGAGATGATGACACTTGAAAGGAAGTATAGATGATGGTGAAGACCCTGAAGTTGGTCCATTGGGAACTAGGAAACCAGGCGAGGACTGAGTGATAGACATGTGGAGTTTTGGATTAGCTGGAGACTTCAATACCTTAATGTACTGGGATCAAAATGACAATCTTTTGGATATGTCTTTATACTGAGCAAAAGTGATCTTTAGGGATCCGCATAAAATAAACTCACGTTAATAACAGGCTTTTGATTTGGAATTGCAGACCTGAAATTATAAAAACATGTCATCCTTGGTAACTGTTGTGTTTCTTTTGCTAAACACATTTTACATTTTTTAAAAAAATTTATTTCAGAAAATAACCAGCTTTCACTGTGCAATGAGGGAGCTCTGCCTATCCTCATCCTTCTCTTACAATCTCCTGACTCAGAGGTCCAGGTAAACTGATCCCTATTGAAATGTCGAGGTAACAGAGAGAGCGCTCTTGTCTCAATATTTATTCTGCTGTGCAATTTCACATGGATGCATGGTGTCTTTTTAACTAGATTTGTTGGTATGTGTACAATTGCTACATACATAGGTATATCTATGCAGATGGTTACCTCAATATGGTTAAATGGTTTTTAAATAGTTGTGAATTCTTCAGTAGTAGAAGAATAGCAATCGTTCATTTTTGTGCACAAATTGGCTGCCACATTCCCTACAAAATATACAGTGCCTACATTGTACAGTGAATTCTCCTGATGTGAAAGTTTTTTTTCATAGAATGTTACGGCACAGAAGGAGGCCATTCGGCCCATCGAGTCTGTGCCGGCTCTTTGACACAGCAAGTCACTTTCACTAACCCCAATCACCAGCTTTCTCCCCATAACCCTGCAAACCCGTCTTCCCCAGATACCTATCCAGTTCTCTCTTAAAATCTGTTATCAAATCAGACTTCACTACCCTTTCAGGCAGATCATTCCAAATTTGAACAACTCACTGAGTGAAAAAATTTCTTCTAACCTCCCCTCTGCTTCTTTTGGTAGATATCTTAAGACTGTGACCACGGGTCACAGACACACGTACCAGCGGAAACAGCTTTTCCTTATCTCGCCTGTCGAAACCTTTCATGATCTTGAAGACCTCTATCAGGTTCCCGCATAACCTTCTTGGCTCTAATGGGAAAAGTCCTAACTTCTCCAGCCTGTCCTCATAGCTAAGGTTCCCCATTCCTGGTATCATTCTCGTGAATCTCCTCTGCACCCTTTCCAGTGCCTTAATGTCCTTCCTGAAGTAAGGTGCCCAGAACTGGACGCAGTACTCCAGCTGAGGCCTAACCAGTGTTTTGTATAGATTAACCATGACCTCCCTGCTCTTATACTCTATGCTCCTACTAATAAAGCTCAGTACACCAAATGCCTTTTTGACTGCCTTATCCACCTGCCCCGCTACCTTTAACGATTCGCTTACTTGAACACCCAGATCTCTCTGTACGTTCACCCCCCTTAAGATTGAGCTACCAAGTCTATATTGCCTCCTATCATTTTTCCTACCTAAGTGTGTCACCTCACACTTATCCACATTGAAATCCATCTGCCACATGTCAGCCCATTCCACCATTCTGTGTATGTCTGCTTGCAGTTGGTTACAGTCCTCCTCGCTATTTACTACCCTACCTAACTTTGTATCATCTGCAAACTTGGAAATAGTGCTCTCTGTGCCCACGTCCAGATCATTAATATATATTAGAAAGAGCAGTGGTCCCAATACCGATCCCTGGGGGACACCACTGCACACCTCCTTCCATTTCGAGAAACACCCATTAACCACCACCCTCTGCTTTCTGTCACTCAGCCAGTTCTTAATCCAAACTGCCACTGTCCCCTTAATACTGTGGGCCTCTAATTTTTTTATTAATCTCTTATGCGGTACTGTGTCAAAAACCTTTTTGAAATCCATGTAAATAACATCCACCGCATTTCCCTCATCAACCCTCGCAGTCACCTCTTCAAAAAATTCTATTAGATTTGTTAGGCAAGATTTGCCTTAAAGGTGCTATATCAAATGCAAGGCTTATTATTATTTATTTAACAACAACCACAACATGCATTTATATAGCGCCTTCACATGGAGAAGTGTTTTTGAGTGTTTGATAAGAAAAGGAAGGTGGGATGGAAGAGGGGAAGATTGTTCTAGGGAGTTCATGAGGAGGGGCTGATTCAGATTTATAACTGTGATTTTCATTCCACAGAGTGAAGATTCCTTTCACTAAGAGCAGTGACGTGATTGCTTACTGTTAAAGTAGCTACAATTAGCTGTAAGAGGAATGTTAACCCCTCCCACTTGTTTTGAAAACAGCAGATTATTAACTCAGTGAAGGATTTTTTAGAAAAATATTTAGTTACAAAATTAGTGTTGTGGTTAGAATTTGAGGCATAAAATAGGAGCCCACCATGATCAGCAGCGATCTATTCTTTGTGTTTCTATGGGAAAAACCCATTAGAAACATGGAACAAAAGATTTTGTTTTCAGCTATCAGCAAATGAAAGATCCCATAAATAAAGAGCGTAGCTCTCGAACAATGTTTTATTCATGAGTTTGAAGTAGGATTTTTGGCAATGAGTGTACACAGGCAGCAAATCATTAACTGTTAGCTGACAGAAGGAAAGATGTAGTAACTACCCGAACAACATATCAAACGGTAGAAAAATGACCACTTTTTCTTGTTGCTAGTAATAATGTATTAGACCATGACGTAGGAAGAGGAGTAGGTCATTCAGCCCCTCGAGCCTGCCCCGCCATTTAATAAGATCATGGCTGATCTTCTAACCTAATTTCATTTACCCGCCCTATCCCCATATCCCTTAATCCCTCCTTTCACATCCTCTTCTGATACTAGCTTACACTAGCTTTGTTATTCGATAGAATTTAATTTTATCTGCTTTCAAGAAAAGGTACCAAGTCCTACTAACTTACATCAATTGACTAATTTACTGCAGAAACTTCAGGGGAAAATTTTCAAGTTGTTATGTGGATATAGCAGCGATTGAGAGGATACAGAGGAGGGCAACCAAAACGATTGAGGGGATGGAGGGGCTGGACTACAAGGAGTGATTAGATAAACTGGGGAATGTTTACACTGGAGAAGAGAAGGTTGAAGAATATGATTATCGTTTTTAAAACGTTTTAAAATCCTGAAGGGAATAGATAATGTAGACCACGTTAAGCTGTTTTATCTTGTACTGAACAGTAGAACCAGAAGACACAGCCTGCGATTGAAGGGGGGAAAATTCAGAACAAATCTCCGGAGACACTATTTCAGTGTGTGAATTACAAACTTATGGAACAGGCTCTCTAGGGAAGCAGAAAATGTTGTTTGTTTCAAGAACAAATTAGATAGATTTTTGCTAAACTTTAACACCTTAGGACCAGTATATAGTTTGGGACACGACATGTCAAGCGACTGCCAGGACGGTGGCAGACGAACTAGCTGAACCTCTGGTCTTTCGCCTAGCAATTTCTTATGAAACCCCACTTGGTGTCAGAACTATTTTAGGCAGCCAGAAGAGGCCTGGCTATAATATACATAAAGCTTTCCTCTTGTTATTACTGGGCTTGGTACATGTCACCTGCCCTTTGGACCCCATCTTTGGTAGGCAAACATTTAGCCATTTGCTCTCACTCACTGTAACTCTCCCAAAATCAATTCTCCTTGCGTCTTGATTCTCTGCTTCCCTTCTAAAACCTGCTTTTTGACAGTAGTTTTCGCAGATCCTGTTCAGTTTGCAAAAAAAAAGCACAAAAATAATGTACACACTGCTTTATGTACTAGCTTCGCCCAGAACAACTGGGACTCACCTCAAGGCCGTTGCACTTTAAAAGGGTGACACATACCCTACTACCTGCTATTATCTAGATGGTATCTAACACCCATTGAGTTTAAACCTGTTTGTTTGTATTTCTTAGATATATTACTCCATTACTGTTTGTCTGCATGCACAGGTGATCTTATGGAAGATTGGGTTAAGGTAGAATCAATTGCCTCTCTCTGTCTGAACTTGAGATTAGGAGTAAAGATCATATGTACCTATAACATTGTAATCTGCCTCTCCGAATCATCATCTATAAATAGTACCATCTGTAAAATACCTTAAATAACAAAGGATTAATTTTGACTTTTATAAAGGACACAAAGTATACTTTAAAAAAATGTTTCTGCTCTTCGGGTACAATTTGCCTGAATGCTAGTTTACAATATGAAAGAAAGGAATTCTCACCTTGTAGATGCACTCAAGGGGTTAAAACATAACCAAAGAGTTAAACCTCTTATAAAGACATCACAATACAATGATTAGGAAAATATTTAATGAAACCCATGTGAATTAGAACTATTTTTTTACAGATCAGAAAGGAGACAATTCCATCAAGGTGGTGTTTACTCCTCCACTAGATCTGATAATCAAAGACCATTGTATTAACTAATCCATTATTCCACCCTATTGCACACATTGCTGAGGTTAGAATTGCAACGATACATATGCAGGTGTATCAATGTGCAACTAAATTGAAAATTTTAGGAACATTGGAACAGGAGAAGGTCATTCAGTGCATTGAACCTGTTCCCCAGGCTTATTAGATCATGGCAGATATTTCCATTTCCCAGTCTTTTAACACTGGAGTTTAATTTAATTTTTTCATATTTATTTCACTTGTTGCTCCCGTATCCTGACCAAACTTTCCTCGTACATTAAACATTTTTTTCCTCTGCGTTTTCTGTGAAATAGACAGTTCAAAGTCTAGACACAAAGAATCTGCTTTCCTGATCAGTTTGTTCTTGCTCATACAGGACATCTTTTGATTCATAATTTTGCTGTTCTATTTATAATGTTCTGATTCTCATTTCGCTAAACTTCGCAAGGTTTGATTCTCTTATTCATGGTTTTGTTTTTTCTCTACCTTATACCTCTTCTCCTTCCCATCAGCCTGGATCCCAAGCTTTGCCCACCATTGCTGATACTACAAAGATTAAGATTTCAGAATTGTTAGAACAGAATTGTTAGAACTTTATGAGAATAACAGGAAGGTTCACCAGTTGAGTTCAACTGAACTTATTATAAGTTCCCACTATTCCTTTATGATCCAGGATTGTCCCGTTAGAAGATGCCTTGGTTTACTTCAAGTCTATTGTGAACCCACAAGTGAGTTACACCTGACCTGTGAAAAAAATGTCTGTCTTCCAGACCATCTGGTCACCACTGATATCAGTTCCTGCATGTTGTGTGCATGAGCACAGGAAGCATCATTGAGGTCACTTCCCGTGCACTATGTATGCACAAGGAATGCCTCTAATGTCACATCTTGCTCAAGAAATGATCCTAGAGGTGTTTCTTGTGCACAACACGCGTAAGGGACATCAACGGCAAAGGCAACCTGGAAGTCGGACATTTATTCATGTTTCATTATGACGTGGCATCTGAGATATTGCACCTATTTTAAAATGGGGCTGTACTTTATTTCTCTTACTGCAGTAGTAAAGAAAAATTGTATTAGTTTGAAAGGATCGATAGCTTACTGAGAACCGAGATTGTAATGTAGATCTGTGAAATCACGGTTTAGTTTTTTTTAAATAAACAACACTCGGTTTGATTGAAGTATCACAGCTGTGCTGCACTGACCAACATAGCATCTAGTCCACATCATCATCTTGCAATGCTTCAAGTCGTGGATGGAATCCTTCTGAAATTGCTTCTGTCACTCATGTCATCTTCTGTGGAAAAGGTAAGAATCCTGACCAGGAGCATTCTATTGTAAAACAGATGTCTGATACATTGGTATAATGGTCAACATGGGTAATAATACCTTCAATTTTTTTAAAAAAGATAATAAATTGGTCACTCAATCCAGGACTGTTTGTGGGACACTGCTGTGTGTAATTGGCTGCCATGTTTCGCCCACAAAATATGCAGTCAATTCACTTTTCAGTATATTCTGTGAAGCACTTTGAGACGTTTCGAAGACTTGATAAGGCACTATATCAAATGCAAGGTTTTTTTTATTATTATAGTGCATTCTCCAAGTTCATCCATTGGAGGCCTCGGAATGGAAACTCTCTGTCACTCTCACTTTGACTTACTTAATTAATTGACTTATTTTTCTTTCTTTACTTAATTGTTTTACTTTTTTCTTAATTTCTTTCTTTCTCCCTCCCTTCCTTCGCCTCTGATCCTATACTGTACCAGTACAATTGCTAAATAAATATAGCTCTCTTGGCTGGTTCATAGTTGTGTTGCATAGGGGGAAATTGTGTAGAAACCTTTCACCCCTCCCTCACTCCCAGTCTGAGTTTATTCATGTCCTTTAGCCAAACAAAGTCTTGATAAATCTGGAAATCTAAAGCACCATTGTCACATTTTGATTTTGAAGCTACTTTTTTATAGAACACTTTAAATTTGAGTTAATACAATACACATCCTGTTGGAGCATAATTGCCCATTCATTCAACCCAGTAGACCATGAACAAAGAATTCAACGCCATAAACACAAGCTTGCCGCGTCCCCCAGAATGGGGAATATAGTTCCAAACTTTGTTTATTTTTGAGACTAGACAGTTGGATCGCAATGATCTTCTGAGATCTCATACAGTTCTTCAGTAGTTTAAATGGTACCTCTTTTGTGCTTTCCTGACCGATGCAACCAATCTACGACACTGGTGTTTTAAGTGACTTATTGAACAGTAAAGAGCAAGCCATCTGGACTTGCTGGGCTACATCAGAACATTGAAGTGCTGGTCCATTGGATATTGTCTTAACTTATTGTTGAATTAAGATTCTGGCACATCAATACTTAATCTGTGAACTGACACTTCAATACTCTGACCTGCGGGCCAATGCCTCCAATTGCAGCAACGGTTTGTTTCATGCCCAGTCACCATGACAGAGTTTGGGTAGGGGGGCAGCGGTGAGAAATCGCATTTGCGGCCAGTCTTTGGATTTCAGTTGTCTTCAATTATCTACTGACCTCAGTGATGGCATTCATCAATAACATGACAAGTAATTACCAGTGATAATTAACACATCAGTTTTCACCCCAATATAAAAAATGATCACTTATGTCTTGGTACTTTTCACATCCTCTTCGAATTCTAGCAAGCAAACCTTTATTTCCTATGATTTCTTAGAATATAGCTTCTATATCCACCTTTCAGAGAAAACAAACTCCTTCCAGCTGTTGACAGTATAGAACAGGGGAAATGTTTTGAATTGTTGAGTGGAGAAACTACACTTTGACAAACTTTAGGCAGCCAAGGTAGCCTTACTGTAAATTTACTATAGATTTACTGTAAACTTAGTTTTTTGGTAACATAGTGTACTGGGCTGGCGGTGGTTGAAGACATTCCAGATGTGCATGGCAGAATTTGGGTTCTGTAAGATTTCTAATCCTCATGATAATGTCATTCTTGTAGGTTTGCTGCCAAGCATGCTTATGCCTCGAGAACTTGACTCTGAATAGTAAGTGTGAGTTTTATTATTATCCAAATATTCTCGACCTACATTTGACATCAATCTGGTTCAGTAAATTTTTCTTATGTCCTAATTTCTGTACAATAAGGTGACACACAGGCAGTGTTAAGAAAACTTTGTTGAAAAATGGTTAAAACAGGGGATTTTCAGGTACATTTTAAGTTTCATTCATTAAGATTTTAGATCTAGTTGTTGTGACATAAAGAGGTTGCCTGGGCGCTAAAGACCATTCAAACGATTGACAAAGATGATCCCAAGTGTTAGAGGGATGAACTATGAGCAATGATTAGATTAGATAAGATAGGGCTCTTCTCCTTTAGGTGATACTTCAAATGGAACCTTATTGAGGTATATAAAGTGCTAAAGAGGATTGAGAAAATAAACAACAGACAACACTTTCAGATATGTCAAGACAATATGGCAAGACTCCTCTTGTCATCCTCACAGGTTCGGGGTTTGGAAGGGCAATTTTAGGAACTATTGCTTCACAGAAAGAGTAGGTAACTACTGGAACAAGTTACAAGGAAGGATGGTTGAGGCCAGAACATTGGATTTGTTAACAGAAACAGTTTGATGCTATAATGGGATGACAGTGGGTATTGAGTCAGAATGAGATCAATGTTGTCAAGGACCTTCTTTGTTCATTGTCAGATTGAGTAGTTGTCTTGCAGAGCTCATTGATGATGTTCCTACTCCCTACAGCAGACACTAAGGCAGATATTGTGGCCAGGAACTATCTGCCTCAGCTGCACGAATTGCTCAGGTCCTCGAGCCAAACTATGAATGAAGCAGCACTTTCTGCCCTTAGCACCTTGGCACAGAATAATTCCAACAGGGTAGGAACGAGCATGTCTTATACACACAATTTTCAGATAGATGTCTCCTAATGTAATTGTTCTGATTTTAGCACAAATGCTAATTATTTTCAGTTTTCTTTGCAAGTTTCTAGAAACATCTGTGTTATGCTGACATGCAGTAACTCAAGCATGAATTTAGTTACTTGGTCCTTTTTTCAGTCAAGATCAGTCAATTTAACAGAAACAACATTAAAGTGGCATTTAGGGCAGTTAGTGTCACAGTGGTTAGGTACTTTGTGTCCATTCTGAGACTTGGGTTTAATTTCAACAATGGTCCAAAAGGTTTCCTCTCTCTTTCTCTCAGCTAACTGAAACAACAACAAATTACATTTGTATTAGTACCTTTCATGTCAGGATGTCGTCCCAAGGAGCTGGACAGTCAGGGATCCACACCCGAGCTGGTGGTTGGGATCAGGAGGGTTGGAGAATTCAGTTTTTGTGCAATCTCAAACCATCACGGACCTGATCCCATCCTCACTCAGTACAGAGATCAGAATTGTACAGGATTTTCCCTCCCTTAATCGATATTTGCTAAGATCTACTGTAACATTCAAATTGCTGCCCCTACTGAGATTGACCAATTCAGCATTGGCCTCTCCACGACTTGGTATGTTTATTCTCTAAACCATTTTAACATCAGTTATACGTTAATCTAATAAATGAAATTTAGTTAAAGATAAACCTTCAGTAGAATTACTATCCAACTGTGAGATGTTCAATTTCGCGGCACGTTGGAGGTTTTACTGGAATATGAGTCTTGGTTCCCTTGCAGGAAGCCATTGTATCAGAGCATGTGTTGAAGACATTGGGAACTTTGCTATTAACCCACAAAACAAACCTGGTCATCATCAGCTATGCTGCAACCACAATCCATCACCTTGTTTCTATTGAGAGTCAGAAGGTAAGTCCCTCTGATTGCACTTGGGGGTGAAAGACCCGCAATGCAAAATGGTTCCCCTTATACATTCTAACATTGTAAAACTACTGTTAAAGTGTACTGGGTGGGGGTGGGTGGGGGCAATATTCTGCAATGTATGCATTTTCCCCATAAAATTTGTCCTCTCAGAGCCAGACCACATTGAACATTTAATTATAACCCTGTTTTGTAAACATAAGTTCCTTGACCTATTTCTTTGCAGTTTTTGGGGTTAAATGGATATTTATTTTGTTTTATTAAGACTTTAACTTATGCATATTGGCTGCTGCGTTTCACCCACAAAATATACAGTCAATTCATTTTACAGTATATTCTGTGAAGCACTTTGAGAAATCTCAAAGATGTGATAAGGCGCTATATCAAATGCAAGGATTATTATATTGTCATGGTCAGCCTGGCTGAGTTGGTACCACTCCCAAGTCAGAAAGTTGTACTGTGAGCGCTTTGAACTTGTTGTCTAGGCTGATATCAGAGGTGTTGTCCTTTGTTTGGGACATTAAAGTGAGATTCTGTCTGCCTGTTCAGATTCCATGGCACTGCCCAAAAAGATAGGGAATTGCTCCTGGTGTCCAGGCCAACAAGCCCTCAGATAACAATTGGTCATTCACTCTGTGGCTGTTTGTGGGATATTGCTGTGTGCAAATTGGATTCCACATTGCCTACAAAATACAGTGTACATTTGGCAGTAAATCCTGTGAAGCGTTTAGAGACAACCTCCTGACATAAAAGGGGCAGTGTCAAATGCAAGGATTTTTTTCAGTCATGATGCTTCTTTACGTTGAAACACATTGGCAATAATTTCCAATTTGGGGATGGGGCCTTAAGAGAAAGAAAAAATGTTGCATTTTGCATTGAACTCTGAACGAACATTGGAGAAAAGAAATAACAGGAAGGAAATCCAACCCAAAGATTAAATAAAACCGATCCGCAGGAATTTCACTCTGATGCCAAGTATTTACAGAGAAGAGTTCCTTCAGGCCAATGAGAATTCAAACAGGACTTCTTAATTAGGGATAATTAATAAATATCCCAGTCACATTAAGTTGTAAGTGTACAGTATATTAAAATGTTGTCAAAGAAAAAGTAATTTACTCACGGGGACCGACTCCCTGAATGTTGGTAATTGCTGATTTATATATGATATAATAATAATGCTTGCATCTGATGTAGTGCCTTATCACCTCTTTGAGATGTCTCAAAGCGCTTCACAGAATATACTGCAAAATGAATTGACTTTATATTTTGTGGACGAAACATGGCAGCCAATTGTGTCCCACAGGACTCCAATTCTCATTGCACTGGTTGGAGTATGAATGTTCTTTTGAAGTTCTGTGAAATATTGTGATTCTGTGACACTGACAGGGATTTATGATTTTCTTGCCTATTGTATTCCAGGCCATTGTTTACAGTCGGTGTGTTGCAGGACTGCTGCATGCCCTCACTCACCTTTCTGTGCAAGATGAATCCCTGCTGTATGTGACAGCTTGCATCTCTGAGCTCACCCACTATGGTAAAGGAACAATATTACACAATATTTCTACTGTTCAACAATGTGGAGATTTCCTCTTGCGATGATTTTCTTTTCCGTTTGATTTCTGAACATTTAACAAGATAGAAGCTGTCAAAAGTAGAAAAAAATTGAAATACCTCAGGTTTACACGGATCACTAGATCTGACAGCTGAGTACTTGTGGGAGAGCCGGGATATGTAGATCACTCACGGAGTGACTGAGTGGGGCTCAGTTAACCCCTTGTGCTTTCTGTATTTACTGAATAGTGCCTTTTTTTTCAGAAGCAGTAAAGGCACAGATAATACAAGAATCAGACTGGAATGTAACCACTCGTCTAGTGATGCTCTGCTGCCAGTCTGGAAGTGTCGAGCTCTGCTTCCACGCTGCTTGTATAATCAACCAACTGGCATTGGATGGTAAAATGCACATTAAAGGTTTTTTTGTTAAATTTTAAACACATTTAGGTTAGTCAATTTTACTAAGGTGATTCCGCCTCTCCCCCCCACCCCCTCAATCCAGGTTGCTAAGATGATTTTAAATCGCTCTTGATCAAATATCAAAGAATCATAGAACATTATAATAATAATCCTTGCATTTGATATAGCGCTTTTCACGTCGGGAGGACGTCCCAAAGTGCTTCACAGAATATACTGTAAAGTGAATTGACTATATATTTGTGGGCGAACGCGGCAGCCAATTGCGCACAGCAATGTCCCACAAACAGTCGTAGATTGAAAATGACCAATTTATTATTGTTTTGGTTTTGGAGGGATTATTATATTATATCCCATTCCCATCATCACCTGTTTCTCCTCCCGCCCCCTAGCCAACCATATCTTCAGTCAAATCACTCCTACCACCCCGTTTGACTTTCAACCCTGCTGGGATTTTCAACAACAACAACTTGGATTTATATAGTGCCCTCCACACTGGACGGCGTCTCAGAGCGCTTCACAGTAACGGATCCCGGGGCCGAGCCAGGGGGAGGGGGAGGAAAGTGACCAAAGGCATGGTCAAAAAGAAAGGTCTTCAGCAGAGACCTGAAAACAGGAAGAGAGGGATTGAGGTGAAGGGAGTGAGGAAGGGAGTTCCAGAGCCTCAGGGCATAATGACTGAGGCACGGCCTCCGAGGGTGGAGTGGAGGACTCGGGGGTCAAGGAAGAGGCCAGATCCGGAGGCAGAGGGAGTCCTGGTCACAGATAGAGAGGATGTCATTTGTGACTTTCACAAGCGCAGTCTCTGTACTGTGGGCGGAAACCGGACTGGAGGGGTTCGAAGAGGGAGTGGGAAGAGAGGTGTGGGCAGAGTTGATTGGCAACAACGCATTCTAGGACTTTTGTGAGGAAGGGCAGGTTAGAAATAGGGTGGTAGTGCCTGGGGTTTGAAGGATCTAGCGAAGGATTTTTGAGGAGGGGGGGTGATGACAACAGTTTTGAGGGGGTCGGGGACTGATCCGGAGAAGGGGGACTGGTTGATGACATCAGCCAGTAGTGGGCAGAGGCGGGGGAGCTGGTTGACCAGCAAGTTGGTGGGGAGGGGTCAAGGCAGCAGTTGGTGGGTGGGTTTCATGGAGGTGATGGTGGTTGAGAGGGAGGAGGGAGAGATGGGGAGAAAGGAATGTAAATGGGGGTGGTGGTAGGAACAGATGATGGGGAGGGTGAGGGGGACAGAGAGGGCGTGGTGGTGGGTGACAAGAAGCAGGTGGATGAGGCTGCCTGGCGGATGTTGTGAATTTTAGATGAAAAGAAGTCCATGAGCTCCTCGCACTTGGCATTTGATTTGAAGATTGAGGAGGCCTGAGGGGGGGCACGGAGGAGGTAGTGGGTGGTGCAAAAAGGATTTTAGGGTTGTGTTTAGCCTCCAAGATGATGCTGGAGTAGAAGGCTGTTTTTGCGCGTGTCAAAGAACGGCGGTAGCTGTGGAGATGCTCGAGCCACAGTTGGCGGTGAACTGTCAGGCCAGTTTTCCGCCATCTGTGCTCGAGCAGACGGGTTTGGGTTTTTAGGCGGCGGAGATAGTTGTTGTACCGGGGGGAAATGTCAAGGCCGTGGCTGATAACGAGGTCAAGAGCATGACCACGGTTGTGGGTGGGTGAATTTATGTGGAGGGTGAGGTTCAGGGAGGAGAGGAGTGCAGTGAAATCAGCAGGTGGTGCAAGGGGAGTTTAGGTGGAGGTTGAAATCGCCCATTATGAGCAGGCGTTCAGAGTAGAGGGACAAGGAAGAGAGGAGAGTGGACATGTCTGTGTGGAAGGAGCCGGTGGGCTTAGGGGGGGCGGTAGACAAGGAGGATTTTCAATGGGAGAGAGGGTTGGAAGAAGGTGAGGTGCTCATAGGAGGGGAAGCAGCCAGAGGAGTAGGGGGTGAGACCAAGGGAGGCTTTGGAAATGAAGGCCACCCTGCCGCCACGTTGGTTTGGACGGGGTGTGGTGGAAGGTGTAGCCTGGAGGGGGGGCTTCAATTAGGGGGATGGGGTCATTAGGGGAGAGCCAGGTTTCGGTGAGCCCAAGAATGTCAAGGTGCTCATCCAGGATGAGGTCGTGGATGGTGAGGGTTTTGTTTGAGAGGGAACGGACATTTTGGAGGGAAATGCGGGTGGGTTTGCTGGAGGGAGGAGAGGGAGGAGAGAGTGATGCGGAGAGGATTTTTGGGTGTACGGGGGAGAGATGGTTGTGGAGAGTGGTGTGAGTGGAGATTTGGGGAGGGTACTTATGAGGGAGGGGGAAGTTGGGTTTGCATTAAGGAGGCGGTTTGAGCGGAGGGAGTGAATGTGGTTGCTGTTGTGGGACAGCCAGTGCCGGGAGCCACGATGGGCCCCGTGGAGGATGCCCAGGCTGGAGCAATGGTGATGGGGTTGAGGAGAGAGAGAAGACAGGGAGGGCGGTGGGAGAGAAGGACAGAATGGGATTAGTGGGACAGAGGGGGCTGGGAGGAGAGACATTTAGAGTGGAGGGCGAGAGGATCAGGTCGGGGCGGCAGCCAAAACGCGCACGCAGATACCGGGAGCGAGCGACCAGTGGAATGGCCTCAGCCCGCAGGCTGGGTGGTCATGGCTGGGATGGCAGTGGCAGCGGCTGCCAGGCCATTGTTGTTGTTGTTGCTGGTGTTTTAACTGTGACGTTACGCCGACGTCACTTTGTGATTCGCGTCACCCCGTCACTCCCCCACCCCCGCCACCCCCCCGCGCTCTCCTGACTCCACTCCCGACTGAGTGGCTCCTCACCTGGCTGGGCTTTGTACCCACAGGTAGGCCTCGGATCCGCCCGGAGGTTTCCTGACTCAGTTCCCAACTGTCAGTCACTTTGATGCGCTTTGAGATATTATCCAACGTAAAAGGTGCCTTAAGTGTAAACTGTCAACTTTCACTCTCCAACTGCACCCTCTATCCATTGCTCAAAAAACTGAATTCTTTCTGAAATAATTTAGGGACTCTGCTTCAACAATGGATGTAGCAGAGGATTCCAAATTACCAACCCTCCCCCAAGTATACAGTGGAGTCCTGTAACTCAGTGCAAGCGAGAGACCTGAGTTCAATTCCAGGCAGAGGGCGAAACCTTGGGCAAGTTTCCTTACTCCACACAGAGCCTAATAATAATCCCTCCAAAACCAAAAACAATAATAAATTGGTCATTTTCAATCTACGACTGTTTGTGGGACATTGCTGTGCGCAATTGGCTGCCGCGTTCGCCCACAAATATACAGTCAATTCACTTTACAGTGTGCTCTGTGAAGCGCTTTGGGACGTCCTCCTGACGTGAAAAGCGCTATATCAAATGCAAGGATTATTATTATTATAAGTAAAGAAATTAATTCTCTTAAACTCTTAATTCCTGAATCATACAAAATGGCGAACACGTTCCATTTAAGAGTAAATGTAGTCAGTTTAGGTGGGAATGAGCAACACATCATTTTAGACCACCCAGGTGAAGGCACTGAACACACCTGGGCTCTCCTTGCCAATGATCTGTATGAACGAGTACCACATGGGTCAACTTACTAACATATTCATTGATGTATTGAAAACTCCAAACTATGCAGATTGTACACAAGAGCATTTGGTAGTTAATGATGTTTAGGGTTCATGCTTTTCACAGAAAAGATTTCATTGCTACTGAAGCCACACATCAGGGACATCCTCGGATACATCTCCATGTTTCTCAAACATCAAGAAATAAGATTTCAACAGTTGGGCCTGTTGACCATAAGCAACCTGAGAAAAGGTGAATATTAGCTTTGTCACATTCAAATTACTTTACATTCTTAACCTTGGTTAGTTTCATTTTTAAATTGTTCTTAACTTTCTGAAATGTGTACACGTTTGTTCATTTTGTTGATTAACTCAATTAAGATATTTGCTCCTTCCTTAAGATCCTCTATGGCTATGCACCATCCTTAGACAATAGGACTTATCTAATCCTTGAGTTAAAGGGAGTGTTAGTAAGAGTCAAGACTCGAGGAACCCAGAGTGTGGACTGGGGTAATGCTAGAGTTCAACCAGCTAAAACTACGTAGCATGTAGGAAAGGTAAAGCGATAATAGTGGGTGATTTCAATGTCCACATAGATTGGGAAAACCAAATCGGCAAAAGTAGGTCAGAATAAGGGTTCATTGAGTGTATGAGAGATAACTTTCTAGAGCAGCATGCCGAGGAACAAACTAGGGGACACGCCATCCTAGACCTTGTTTTGTGTAACGAAACAGGGCTAGTTGGCAGTGTAGGTATTAAAAATCTTCTAGGGCAGAGTGATAACAATATGATTGAATTCTGCATTAACTTAGAGAGGGATACAGTTAAATCCGAGGCAAGTATTCTGAACTTAAATAGGGCTAATTTTGTAGGTATGAGGAAAGATTTAGGTAAAATAGACTGGAGAATAAGATTACGAGGTAAAAATGTAGACCAACAGTGGCAAATATTTAAGGATTTAGTGCAAAATTCTCAGCGATCACATATTCCCTTGCGGAATAAGAGTACCACAGGGAAAGCAATTCATCCGTTGCTAACTAAAGCAGTTAGGGAAAGCATCAAATTAAAAGAAAAAGCTTATAAAACTGCCAAGTAAAGCAGCAAATCTGAAGATTGGGAGAGTTTTAGAAACCAGCAAAAAAAAACTAAAAAACTTATTAAGAGCGAGAAAAAGGAGTATGAGGGTAAGCTAGCTAGGAATATTAAGTCTGACTGTAAAAGTTTTTACTAATATATTAAGAGGAATAGGCTAGTGAGGGTAAATGTAGATCCACTTCAGTCAGAGACGGGAGAAGTTGTAATGGGGGATAAGGACATGGCAGAGTCCCGAAATGGGTACTTTGCATCTGTCTTCACCCTAGAAGACACAACAAGTCTGCCAACAATAGAGATGCACCAAGAGGATAAGGACAGGGAGCAACTTAGGGAAATTTTCATTAGTAGAGAATTGGTGCTAGGCAAACTGTTAGCACTAAAAAGTGACAAATCCCCTGGCTTGCATCCCAGGGTTTTAAAAGAGGTAGCTTATGAGATAGTGGAGGCCTTATGTCTGATCTTCCAAAATTCCTTGGATTCTGGAACAGTCCCCATGGATTGGAAGATCGCAAATGTCACACCACTATTTAAAAAAGGTGGAAAGGAAAAGATGGGGAACTATAGGCCTGTTAGTCTCACATCAGTAATAGGAAAAAATTTAGAATCATTGATTAAGGATGTGGTAGTGCGGTATTTAGGGAAGCACAATATAATTAGGCCAAGTCAACATGGCTTTACAAAAGGGAAGTCATGTTTGACAGATCTCATGGAGTTTTTTGAGGATATTTCGAGTAAACTAGATAAGGGTGAATCAGTGGATGTGGACTATTTGGACTTCCAGAAGGCATTTGATAAGATGCCGCATAAAAGGTTAGTCCAAAAGATAAGGGCCCATGGAATTGGGGGAGCATATTAACGTGGATTGGGGAATGGTTAAGGGGTAGGAAACAAAGAGTAGGGATAAACGGGTCCTTTTCAGATTGGCGGGATGTGACTAGTGGAGTGCCACAAGGATCAGTCCTTGGGCCTCAGCTATTTACCATCTACACCAATCACAGAAAGTTAGTTTGCAGGTGCAGCAGCAATTAGGAAGACGAACGGTATGTTAGCGTTCATTATGAAAGGATTAGAGTATAAGAGTAGGGAAGTCTTGCTGCGACTGTATAGGGCCCTGGTGAGACCACACCTGGAATACTGTGTGCAGTTTTGGTCTCCTTATTTAAGGAAGGATGTACTTGCCTTGGAGGGGGTGCAGCGTAGGTTTACTAGGTTAGTACCAGGGATGAAGGGGATAAGTTATGAGGATAGGCTGACCAATTTGGGCCTATATTCTCTAGAATATAGAAGAAATAGAGGGGATCTTATAGAAACCTATAAGATCATCAAAGGGCATGATAGAGTAGATAGTGGGAGATTGTTTCCCCTGGTTGGAGAAACTAAAACCAGGGGTCACAACCTTAAAATCAGAGGCCAGCCCTTTCGCATTGAGTTGAGGAAGAACTTATATGGGCAAAATATATGGGCAAAAAGCAGGGAGAGTGGGACTGATTGGTAGCTTTTCCAAAGAGTTGGTACAGGCATGATGGGCCGAATGGCCTGCTTCTGTGCCGTAATATTCTATGATCAGTTTGGATGAAGAAGGCCTTTTGGACCATCTGATCTCATCCTTCCAGATTACGCACCAGTCAAGCTGTTGTGCCCTGGCCTCATCCACCCTTCTTGATATCCTGTGCCAGTCGTTAATTTCCCTCCCGAGTAAAGAAAAACTACAGAAGAAATCTGCCAGTTGCACATTTGAGCCCCACTAGATGGCAGGTAACAACAGGAAATCCTTGCAAGCCGGATGGTGAGCAGCACAACTCAGTATGAAATGCATTATCACCATCACCACTCACTGAGTGATGGTTCCACCAATTGGAAGTGAAGGGCTTGAGCAGCAGCTGTTTACTTCTCTGCATGTCAATCAAGGCAGACAACCAGCTCTGGACATACGAGTGTGTGTTCATGCAGCCAGACATGACAGTAGCCATCCTGCCAAGCTCAAATTTTCTGATTGATTATTTGATAGGCATCAAAGTGGTATGCAGAGCAACTTGCGACATGCCCATTACTTTATCTTCTGAAGGTCCTAGTCCATTGATATACAAGGTTTAGTTAGCATCAATTGCTTAATCCAGGCCCTCATGTAAGTCTTTGGTAGGAAAGGTGCCTGCTGTAAACCCAACAGCCTCGAGAGCAGGGGTGGCCAACCTTTATAGAAAAATTCATGATTTATAGCATAAATTAAGAAATATTCAATCAAGAAAAAATGAAAACACATTACCGATTGAACACAGACTTATTTAGACTTGTGCCAATGTTCGGGGTTCTCGCAAGATACCACTGTTCTGGGGGCCAAGGGACAGGTAGGTAATAGATTTGCATTGTTCCTCCCTGCAGCCAATTTCCTTTTACACATATCCACCAGTGAATTCTCATTCTTCCCGTTAAATCTCCCTAACTTAACATACAAAAACAATTACACAAACTCAGGAGCTTTTTATGTCTGGTCCATGTGAAAAATATTTGGATCCTAAATAGATGCAATTTTGTAAAGAATCATAACCATTTAGGCTTATCAACTTTCAATTAACATTGTGCAGATTGGAACATGAACTGCAGTGTTATTTCTTGCTATTTATTATGAAGGATTTATTTAGATATCAATTGGATTTTTTTTATTGATTATATTTCTTGCCCAACTCTTCTCAGATTCAGACTTCTCCACAGCATTTGGTGAAGGTCTACTGCAGAAGCAGCTCAGCCTGGTCCAACAACAGACAGAGGAAACACAGGAGCTCCTCCGAGCTGTCCTTTTCCACGCTGTCAGGGAAGCCGAGAAATAAGATAACCAACATTCAACAGACCCTACTGAACCTCAGCGACAGCTGGAACATTATATAATATGAAAAAGCTCAAGCACATTGCATCAAAGGGATGGGTCTATGACATACAATAGGCTACTTTTCAAATCTTGTTACAATTTAACCGATGAACAAAATCATGATTACACATCACTAATTTAACTTTTTGTATTAATCTTCCCTCAACGTTATTCAGCAAAATGTATTCATGGACATAGTCTATTTCAACCATAATAACTACAAGGGTGAAAAATGCAACACACAATGTCAAATACCAGTGAATTTTCACATTGTGTCATATTTCAACCTATTATTTTCAATGTCATTGTAAGGGATGATCAAGTTAGTACTGCTTGTGTTCATTTTCAATCCACGACTGTTTGTGGGACACTGCTGTGCGCAAGTGGCTGCCGCTTTTCGCCCACAAATATAGTCAATTCACTTTGTAGCATACTCTGTGAAGCACTTTGAGACGTCTAGAAGACATGAAAAGCCCTATATCAAATGCAAGGATTATTATTATTATTCCAACTGATCTTGACCCACCGGACATGCAATGAGAAGTTTGCTTAACAGTGCTCTCAATATCAAGCTATGTGGTTTAACTGGTTGAACTCAAACACACATTGGGGGGCCCCAAACCTCGACTCTCGCTTAACTTGTGCCTAACACTCTCCGGAATTAGTTAAGCAGGGTGCATTTCTCCATCCAAAACCTAGATTAATATCTGATTCACAGGACAGAACCTCCAACAATGCAGTACTGCCTTTTCCACTGTACTGAACTGTCAGTTGGACCATGAACTCAAATCCCAGTGCAGGGCTTAAACTCAAACCCTTCAGATATAGACACAAGCACTTCTGACACCTTGCTCAGTTTAAGCCCCCTTTAGAGGGAGTTTTAACTCCTATTCAGCAGTATTGCAAATCAAACCACAGTATATAGTACAAAAAACTCCCTGGATCAAGTTGCAGATTTTGTTACTTGCCAAGAGATATAGTAAGTGTCAAACGAAGTATAACACTTCTAGCAGTGAACCAAATTGAAATAAAGTTGTTAAAATTATTTCAAAACCATTATAAGAACTACACTAAATTTTATAGTTTTTTATAGTTTTTAGTATTTGCTTTGATATGTATATGAAATTGCAGTTTCTGTTCATTATGTTGGATAAGGATTTCAATAAACTTCTTATAAGTAAATGCCTAGTTCGCAAATCTTTACATCCCAGACCATGCAATTATTCATTATACAATCCAGTTGAACAATGGTAAACTTCCTTCATTTTAACCCTTCATGACATGTTCAGCACTGGCCACCCTTCACTACCTCACCCTGAAAATCATTTTTCATCTGTGTATCTCTCAGGCGGCTGACTTGAAATGCATCAGATCACATCCTGCTCCCTTCTTAAATCAATATCCATCTGCACTCGTGTACTTTCCAACAGAAGTCTTTGCATAGCAATGTTTTTAAAAAGTAGAATCCAGGTTTCTCTTCTTTCCCCATGCCACTAGTATAATTACCTGCCTCCATTATATTTAATTCCATCCCCTCTCCCCCACCAGAGTCCTCAACCTTGAATCCAGCCTCAACCATTCTCTCTTGAAATCTGTTCTAGCTGTTGATTACTCTGAGGAGAAATACAGTACATCCTGATGCCAATCCTAACATTGCCCTTCACAACTCTGAACCTATACCCTCTTGCCTTTCTACATTAGTGCATCTGAAAGCATTATTCTTTCTACAAAGTCTTGAAATGTTGAGGCTGAGGAGAACAAGAAAATCCATTACCTGGGTTGCTTCATGTCATATTGGTCCAAACTGCAATATACTCCCAAGTGCTACCTGACCAGAGAAGAGCTTGCATTCAAGATATGTTTTGTAGAAGAGCAATCCACCATACACAAAATGAAACAATCCCAATGAATACAACACAATGAAGAGTTCTTTATTAAACAAATCTGTAATTCAATTTTATCTGTCAAAATGGTTCAAAAAATCAACAATTAAAAGTTGTGTGATGTGTTCAGATAGAAATAATGAAGAGACAATGCATACCAGTTCCAGAAATTTATTTTAATGCATATTTTTATGCAATTTATCAAAGTTGTCTGTGTCAAAATGAGTGCCACTTTTTAAAACTACAAAAGTGGAGGGGGGAAAAATGCTTTTCTTTAAACTCCAGAATTCATTAAATGTAAACTATATGCAGATTTTACTGTTTAAAGTATTTTCTCATACCGAAACCACTTTGCTCAGTAGAATTACACTCTTCAAAACAAGTAAATTGATAAGGTCTGTAGAGTTAAAAGTATGTAAGGAATAGCAAATTAAAACCTAAAATCTGCTAAATTAACTCCATAATTTTCTTTAGTAACTACGCATTTACTAGCAAAACAAAATTCAGAACAACAAATATTTTGAGTAGAATTAAATCAGCAATAAATCACTTGTCCATATCAGTTGGGTGTAACATGAACCATTTTATAACAGCATACCGATTTAGAATTAAAAAATTAAATCAATCCAATGAATTCTCTTATACACAATCTATACAGATTAAAACAAAACTACAGAAATTGACAGAATATTTCCCCCATATTTAAATAATTTCTATGCACATGGACATGAGCAGACATGAATCATACAGAATACAAGAATTTGAATACAAGTCTGCAGCTGTACAACAATTTATTACTGAACAAACCATCAAATGGCTTCTCTTATACCTGTGGATGGATGGCGGTTTTCAAAGCTTTGAAATAGGCTCTTACCATAAAATGTACATCACCCTGCAGAACAAATCTATTTAATACAACTCATTTAACTCAGTAATCAACTGCAAAAATGACTTCTGCATGAGAGTGTAATATCTAGAATAAAATAACTTGACATCTGAATGTCATCAATTAACTTGTCTACAATAATTTCAGTAGTATTTAAGAGAAAAAAAGTTTGACCAAAGTGCAAGGTTTTACAGTCATGCTCAGTAGCAGCAATACCTAAACATATGCGATGGGAATTATGAGCTTTCATTGGTGCAGAAAGTTGCAAAGGAGTTAGGTTTGAGATTCAAGATCTACAGCATGTGAAAGTCACATAGAAGGAATGCCATCTCTGAAACTCCAGGTACAAATCAAGTTTTCCTGCTCTGAAACGAGCAAAAGCACAGACTTCACAAATCCATTTTAAAATTAGTCTCATGATCTGATAAGGCAATTAAAATTCATTTAGTGTCATTTAAGTAGAATTTTATACACAACCAAGTTTAAATTTCTGTCTTTTTGATCAGATCATAAGATAACTGTTTGAACATATACAAATTGAATTAGTACCATATATATAGTCAATTTATCTGAGTTACTTCATTGACATAATTAATTTACCAAATGAAGTTTCCCTGCAATAAATACCAACCTGTGTAAACCAGGCATTTTATGTATTAATCATTCACAGAATTGCCATTAACCCAAATTAATATGCAATATTTTCAACACTTCTTCTATGGTACCCGCTGTTAAAAAAAACCTTCAGTATAGGAGGCAACAGTGAAGATTCTAGAAAAAGACATCTGCTTAGTGTTAGAACATTACATCGACCTTTGCAGTGTTCTCTGTGCTATGTTTAAACCACTAATAGGTTTATAATTCTATAAATGCCACCTTTTGCAACTACTTGCAACACAGCGAGGCTTATTTGAGTAAGATTTTTTAAAAAAAGCACTGCTAATTTTAAAGTACAGTATGAATAACACCATTGAAATCCTGCCCATTAGCCCCTCACCACCACAAATCTACCTTTCTCATTCCCTGTCCTACTATACATATCACACCATTTTCTTGAAGGAGGATGTTGAAAAAGCCGTTTATATACAAAGAACATGAAGCGTGATTAATCAAGAGGTCAGAATTAACTAGCTGTTCAGTTTGGGAAGGTGAGTTTGTGTCTACCCATGTCTTGTGAATATAGTATCATTTTCTCTGTCATGGTTTGATTTTAGTTCTTTTTTAAAAAAGATGCTTGATCCTAAAGATGCCTGCAAAGCAATCCCTTCAATATGTGAAAATAATCCACGTGCTACGAATGTGCTTCCTGAACTACTTCCACTCAACACGATCAAATCACTTCTGGAAGAGAAACACAAAAAAATGACAGCCATAAATTATTTAAGAAATACAAAAATACTTAAGATTCAAATCCTACATATTAAGCACAAGAAGGCCTAGATCTTAGATTGGGCTAAACATAATTTATTGAAATCTTAAATTTTTAAAAATATTTTGGGAAGCAATAAAACTCCTCAGAAATCCAGGCTCCACACCTTGCCCCTAAAATGAAGTAGCGGTTATCTTTACAATATCCAAATCTCCATGCCGACAAAGCATAGATGACATACTGCACATTTAACTCACAAAAACATTTTCAAAGCCATTTTATTTCTCTTTCTAGTTGTACCTGCTTATACACCCAGATCTTCGTGAGTTCCCTTTATAAATGGTAAGAACTCATTTACTCAGTTGATTATTTTAGGCCTGAAATTCCAGCCAATCCTAGTTTGCAAGACCAATGTGTTAAAATTTAAAGATTGTGCAGAATTGTGGAAAATTCCTAAATTCAGTCTTAATTTGAAAACCGTCTTACAAATTAAGGCTTAATTTAAGAATTTTCAGTTTGTGTCTAAAAAAAAATCTCAGTGTTTCACTACCTACCACGTTCGTATTATTCTCACAGGTGTTGGGAGGATTTTCAGGCATGACCTTTGATTCAAAGCTGGCTATTGTGTAAAATGAAAGCTAAAGTATATTGGGAGTAATGATTTGTTCAAATAATAGTTAGAATTTTCCTCGATTTTACAAAAACAATGGGGAAGGAGAAAAATGATGCAGTATGTGATAATTTTCACAAAGTTATTATCCTGTCCTGTACTTAATAGGCTTGGGGCTGATTTGGTTTGTTCAATTTTACTTTGAAAATGATTTTTAGACAGTGATCTGGTGAAGGACTAAAATCTGTACTCAAACTTAGCCAATTGAAGATTTGTGCAATTGTCACACTTGTGGGAAAAACCTATATGCTCAGTACGTCCCACAAATAGCACAGAGGATATTAAGATTTCATCATGTTGTGAATAACATGCTCAAAGCTACAATTGATAACCTGGGTCAATAGAAAAGTGCCTCCGCTACAAACCTGTACAAACAGTGTGCTCAGGGCCCTGGGCCTCTAAAAGCGGCTACTGGCTGTTTACTTGAGGCTGCCAGAGTGGCTCCAGACGTCCGCAGTGCAAGTGGGAAATAGGCTTTGCTCACCCCGAGGCCCCTCTGTTGAGATGGTGTCTCTTTGTGTGTCTGCGAGTGTGTCTCCCTCTGTGTGTGTCTGCGAGTGTGTCTCCCTCTGTGTGTGTCTGCGCGTGTGTCTCTCTCTGTGTGTGTCTGCGTGTCTCCCTCTGTGTGTGTCTGCGCGTGTGTCTCTCTCTGTGTGTGTCTGCGTGTCTCCCTCTGTGTGTGTCTGCCCGTGTGTCTCTCTGTGTGTGTGTCGGCGCGGTCTCTCTCTGTGTGTCTGCGCGTCTCTCTCTGTGTGTCTGCGCGTCTCTCTCTGTGTATCTGCGCGTCTCTCTCTGTGTGTCTGCGCGCGTCTCTCTCTGTGCGTCTGCGCGCGTCTCTCTTTGTGTGTCTGCGAGTGTCTCTCGCTGTGTGTCTGCATGTCTCTCACTGTGTAAATGGAATCTTGTTGTGTGCCTGCGCGCATCTCTCTCTGTGTGTCTGCACATGTCTCTCTCGCTGTGTGTCTGCGAGTGTGTCTCTAGCTGTGTGTCTGCGCATGTCTCTCTCGCTGTGTGTCTCATGGTATGTCTCTCGCTGTGTGTCTGCGAGTGTCTCTCTCGCTGTGTGTCTGAGTGCGTCTCTGTGTGTCTCTGAGTGTGTCTCTGTGTCTATGTTTGTCTCCCTGTGTATCTGTGTCTGTCTCCCTGTTTTCTGAGTGCGTGTTTCTCTCTCTGTATTACTGTGTCTCAGTGTATGTCTTCTCATGTCTGTGAATGTATGCGTCTGTCTTTCTGTGGTTGTGTGTGTGTCTCTATGACAGTGTGTGTGTCTGTGAGTGTGTTTGTGTCTATGAGCATTTTGTTAAGAGAGCATTAATAATTTTTCTTTGGAACCATCTAATACGTATTATTTCTTCATATTCAGTTTTTGTTAATGAAATGAAAAAATGTAGGTTGGCAATAAAATGCATCTCTCAATAACACCAAACTACCCCCTGCAAAGCCGGGCAAATTTCCCCGCAACTTCTGGCAAGTACTTCTGCAATTTTCTATTGGCCCCATTTCTAACTTTGCGGTACAGAACCAAAAAGCTCCACACACTGTACCCTTATATCACCCAAACAGCTGGGTTTAACATTCTAGTTAACTGTTCAGATTGATAAAAGTATCAGATAACCACATACCTGCCGTTTGTTGAGACGAAACACCATCTACTTTGGATAATAGCTCCAATGATCTATTTTCCTCAAATGCAATAATTGGATTCACAGAAATTGCACCATCACCTTGACCATCACTAACAGCTCCTGTGGCTTGTTTGGTAGATTTAGTTTCAACTGGGAGGTCAATGATCTCTTCAAAATTCTGATTTTGCTCAGAAACTCCATTCTCTTTAAGTACTTTTCCAATGGCAGCAGGACTAGAAAATTATTCAAAATACACATGGATCAGCAAAGTCATCTGAACAAACAGGAATGTCATATCAAGCAATGTGTAGAAAGAGGAACATTAAGTGGGCTACATTACGATCAATCTCATTGTGAACTAGGGAAGGCAATGCAACAGCTACAGTGTAATCAAGATTCTAGTCCATTCAAAGAAAATATTTCATTTCTATATCCATAATTGTGTAAGGCAAATGGGCTCTCGAAAGAAATCTCTGTTCTGTACTGTACTCTGCCCTAAACAACAACAAATTATATTTGCATGGCGCCTTTCACGTCAGGAGGACGTCCCAAAGTTGGAGGGGTTCATAGACAGAAATTGTCAACAGTTATGCGAATAAAGACACGGCCACTCCTGAGTGTGATAAAAGGGAGAACATTTGTGTGTGATAAAAGTGTGATAAAAGCAGGTGAACATTGGGAAACTGAGTCTAAGATGGAAATGAAGACATCTACTCCAAAACAGAATAGAGCTGAGCTCTCTGATGTTGAAGGCCACCTTAGATGCAAATGATTCAAGTCTATAGCTCTGGATCATACTGAATCCAGGAGCAGGAGATGGACTTTCTGCAAAGTTGACACTAGTTGACAAAGTTGTGCTACAATATTCCATCATTAGATAATTTCTCTAGAGTCATTCACTGTTACTGAAATAATATCCTATAATACACAATAAAGCATTTTGGCCTGAAATTCTAGAGGTATTACTAAATCTTAGCGAAAATGCATTTTGCTCCATTAAATCAGTCCTGTCCTTACCATTCAATATCTGTTTCAGCACGATATGTGAATTCCCCATTATTGCCAAGCTCTTGTGTTCCTGCCTCTTCTTTGGGCCGGTCTCCAGATGAAGATGTAATTTGCAGTTCATCCTTTTCATCAGATGTCCGACTAATGCCTGAACAAAAGGGGGAGCAGTGTGAAAAATTAAGCACTGCATCTTGCATTTGAGATAATGCATAATGTAAAATGTCTCTAAAGTGCTTTACAGAAAATTGCTACAATATTCTAGAATACAATATTCTGACTTTTATAATAGCACAAGTATTCACTTCACAGGATGTAGTGAAATAACCAAGCAATAACGTTTCCACTATATCATGTAGAACTTGAGTAAAATTGGTTGACTATTTTCTTGGGAAACTTAAAAAGATATGGGTAAGCAACTCCCCCTCCAATGGTAAGCCAAACATAAACTTAGCTTCTTATACACTCAATTAACATGCATTTGTAATTTTACACAAAGTATTTAAAAGTTTAAATCTTTTAAACTGCTTCCACTTTTGCCAATTTTGAAGTCTGCTTTTATTTTAAAAAAATTATTATATGAAATAATAATAATCCTCAAATTTGATAGAGCGCTTTTCACATCTCCTAGACGTCTCAAAGCGCTTCACGGAAAGTGAATTGACTGTATATTTGTGGGTAAAACGCGGCAGCTAATTGTGCACAGAGATGTCCTACAAACAGTCGTGGATTGAAATGACCAATTTTTTTTGAGGGATTATTAATTATCAGGCGTGTGGAGTAAGGAAACTTGCCGAAGCTTTCATTCTGCGGGAATCGCCCACACAATATCCAGTCAATTGAGTACACAGTAGACTTTGGCCTGCTCCACGTCCCTCACCTTGCCCACCCCACCATCAGCGATTGGGCCTTCAACTTCTGGAACTCCATCCCACAGTTCCTTACCCTCTCCCCCGCCTTATTCAAGGCCTATGTCAAGACCTTCCTCCTTGATCACACCTTCTGTCACACTTCTACCCCCTTCCCTCCCTGTCTCCATCCCCTCCTGGTCCCAACCATAAGGGTGCAAATCCTTGACTGTCCAACACCTTTGGACATCCTTCCGATATGTACAACAACAACATTACATTTGTATATTGCCTTTCCGTCGGGAGGACATCCCAGGGCTCTGGTCAATCAGTGTTTCGGACCCGAGCTGGGGAGGTGGCCGAAGGCACGGTTGAAGAGGGGGTTCTTGAGACGAGTCTTGAAGGATGTGACCATCACTTTACAGTATATCCTGTGAAGTGCTTTGAGATGTCTCGAAGACATGATAAGGACGTATATCAAATGCAAGGATTATTATTAGAAACCAATATATCCCACTCATCTGTCTGACTATTTGGCTCACTTAACACAGTCCCACTGCCACCTGCCCACTCCGTACCACCATCAGTGTCCGCGCCTTCAGCCATTATGCCTTTAATCTTTGGAACTCCTTTCCTCAATCCCTTCCTCCCACCATCTCTTTAAATTTCATGTGAAATCCTATCTTAGACCACGCCTAGGTTCATCTCCCCAGCATCCAACCTCACCACTGTACAGGACTCCAAGTCATTATTCTATGTGAAGGGTAGTATATAAATGCAAGTTGTTTTTAAATTGCATTTAAAGTTTCCTTTGGGAGCTAGTAACGAGTGGACTGTAAAACGCTTGTTCAGCTCAGAAAATTTATAATGAAATATTCTTCTTTTGTACCTATTAACTCACATACTATTAATATGAGTTGTTCAAAAATCTTTCAGATTTAAACCTATGTGAGCAATTTTGCAGTTACATCTATCTTTAATTTTAAACTAACAGTTTAATTTCACCAGTCATGTAGAACATTTTGTTTAGCTAAACTACCAGAGGTAATAGCACAGGTACCAAACTACAAGACCTCACTGAGCGTTGATTGTCGATCTACTTAATTTTCTTTCAGTGAATCATGGAAACTATGTCAAAACCCCAAATACTCTGCGTAACTAATGCATGACCCTAAAATCCACTGAACAAAACAGATCATTACAGCTACAACAACAACAAAATTACATTTATAGAGTGCCTTTCACGTCAGGAGGACGTCCCAAAGTGCTGAACAGTCAGGTGTCGGGGCCCGAGCATGGAGGAGGGGTGGTGTAGGGGTAAGGGAAGACAGAGGTGGGAGTGAGACCAAAGGCACGGTCGAAGAGAAAGGTCTTGAGACTGACCTTGAAGGAGGCAAGGGAGGAAGCGATGTGAAGGGACCGTGGAATGGAGTTTCAGAGTGTGGGGACAGAGAGGCTGAAAGCCCGGCCACCGATAGTAGGGTGGGTCGAGCGGGAAACATGGAGCAGGCCGGAGTCTGATGAATGGAGGGAGCGGGCAGGTTCGTAGGGAGTCAGCAGCTCAAGAGAGGTAGGAGGGGGCAAGGCCATGGATGGCTTAAAGGTAAGGACGAGGATCTTGAACTCGATCCTCTGGGGGATCGGGAGCCAGTGGAGTCGGGCGAGGGTGGGAGTGATAGGGTCACAGAGCCTGGTGTGTGAGAGTACATGAGCTGCAGAGTTTTGGATGATCTGCAGCTTGTGAAGGGAAGAGTTGGGAAGGCCGATGAGGAGGGAGTTCCCGTAATCAAGCCTTGTGGTGACGAATGCATGGTGAGGGTTTCGGCAGCCTGAGTTAATGCAGTGGCGGAGTCTGGCAATGTTGCGGAGATGGTGGTAGGCAGTGCCGGTCATGGCGCGGAGGTGGGGGAAAAAGGACAGTTCAGGGTCAAACAAGATACCCAGGTTTCTGACTTGCTTAGTGAGGTTGAGTGTGCAAACTCAATCTTGTATGTAGTAAACATACCTTTTTCTTCTAGGGTTGAGACTTTGGGTACTTCCCCATTTCTCTGTACAACGGGTTGTAATGTGTTATCCTTCTGAAAAACACGTTTGAGTGAGTACTAGGCAAGAATAGTTTTATTGAAGTAAAATAAAACTGCTCATAACATTGAATACTGCTCATGGTTTTCCTGTACCTTTTCAGAAGCATCTGATTTTCTTGTTCTTTTCATAATTTGCTCAAGTCGCTGTAAAATACAAATTCATGTCACATACAAACTACTTTTAATCTACAAAGTTTCCAATTCAAATATGAATTGCACAGTTAATAGTCATCTTGGAGGCAACTATGATTAACACACATGGGAATCAGATTTTTTAAAAAAATTGATAGCAATTTGTCACAGTTACCACACTTGAGTTTAGGCATCTCAGCGTGTCAGGTATATGGAGCACCCTTGACATACCTACCACGACACCTGGCCCAGGTAAGAGAACAGACAATGAAAGCATTCAAACTCCATCCCATGTATGGCAGAAAATAATGAATACATGGTACTCAGTTAAGACCTCAACACCTCTCTGGTTTCAGAAAGATTTGATAAAACCACTATTTCGCTCACACTGTTCTGATATTTAACACAACCAATAAAATCACTGCCTCTAACTGCAAAAAAATTGATAAACAGTCTGGCTTACAGCAAGGTCTATGGTATGTTCAGTGAACCATATTGCAAGTTATAAGGCTCAGTTTGGGAGAAAACATACTGCACATTATAATTATTGCGATGCAAGTTAAAGGCATTCATCACACGATGGGCACAAAACTTGTAGAGTTTTAATCATGCTGTTCGCAACCTTAATGTATATATACAGCAGGTAACTGCAGAGTGAGCCCCTTTACCCTTTTCCTCTCCATACGCTCCTGTTCTTCTTTCTGAAAGTGCCTTTCACGCTCTAATTTTAGCTTTTCAGCCTCTTCTCGAGCACGAGCTTCTTCCTCTTTCTGGAAATGAAGCAATGGATTGTGTGAACAAAGGGACGACACTAACTGCATTTTCAGCATCTGAATCTAAAACATTTCTGGAACTACTTTTAAATGCATCTGAAATGGCACATTCAAGGGACAACCTTAAGGCCCATCACCTTGATCTTTGTACATTCATTACACCAGTCCTCACCTGGCTCCAGTGGAAAGATTTCAAGGTGCTCACCCATAAATCTCTTCATGCCATATACCCCTATGTTCTCTCACCCCACTCCTCGGTAGTCCCTCTGCTCAGCTAGCTTAAGGTTGCTGCGTCCCCTGCCCTCTCTACCCTAATTTTCATTAGGAAACCTTGGCCCTGAACAAAAATCAAGTCCGCTGATTTTAGAAAAGGCAAATAATTGAATATCTTTTTGTCAATAGTCTATATTCAAATCACACCTTTTTTTAAAATCAAAACTTCAGAAGTGGAATGATAGTAAACTGCAAAACATCAATGTTTTTGATGCTCACAATGGGAAGAGGTTGAACACTCACTTGCTTTTGTAAGCGCTCAAGTTCTTCTTTTTCTTTCTGAGCTTTTTGCTCCAAATGTTTACGTTCATCCTCAACTTTTTGCTCTTCCTCTTTAAGCTTCCTGTCCTCTTCAAGTCTACGAGACTCTTCTTCACGACGGGCTCTTTCTTCAGCTTTTCGGCGAAGCATTTCTTCCTTCATTAGCCTACATTGAAACAAACATGAATACTTCTGGCCATAGCAACAACAACATTTGTACAGTGCCTTTCACATCGGGAGGACAGCCCAAGGCACTGGACAATCAGTGTTTCGGAATCGAGCTGGGGTCGGGATCAGGGAGGGTGGGGGAAGAGAGTGACCGAAGGCACGATCGAAGAGGAGTGTCTTGAAATGGGTCTTGAAGGAGGCAAGGAAGGGGTCGAGGCAGAGGGACTGTGAGGTGGAGTTTCAGAGGTGTGGGCAAAGTGGCTGAAGGCCCGTCCGCCAATTTCGGGGGATGTGGAGCAGGCCAGAGGACGTGGAGCAGGCCGGAGCGCGCTGAGCAGAGGGAGTGGGCAGATTGGTAGGGGGTTAGGAGGTTGCAGAAGTAGGGGAGGAGCAAGTCCATGGAGGGTTTTGAAAGTGAGAACCAGATCTTGAACTGTATGCTCTGTGTGATGGGAAGCCAGTGGAGTTGGGCAAAGATGGGGGTGATATTGAGTCGCGGAGCCTGGTGCGGGAGAGGACACTGGCTGCAGAGTTGTGGATGATCTGCAATCTATTAAGGGAGGATGTGGGGAAGCTGACAAGCAGGGAGTTTGCATAGCCGAGCTTGGATGTTATGAATGGGTGTGTGAGGGTCTCGGTGGCCTGAGGTGTGAGACAGTGGCAGATAACTGAAGAAAAATCATAGATCAGAAAACTACTGAGGTTTGTAAATGTCTGTTTGTTTGGTATGGAGTGAGTACTCTTTCCCCCTAGAAGGACTCACTTCCAGCTTACCTAATCCTGGAACATAATGTGCGGGTTCCCAAAAGCTAAGGCTGGACATCCCAGGGTCCACATTGCTGAAGATTAATTAAAACTGTACAATCAACAATTGCAAACACTGGCCAGCTTCCTGTTGCTTGTGGAACTAGGACCAGCTCATCAGTTTAGGTTTTGACTGGGGGGGGGGGGGGGGAGATAACAAGAGTCACATGGGAGAATCCCCACCCCAAATTAGGGACAGCCTTCTGTTCTGCTCCTCTAAGTCCCACAAACAAGTCAGGCTGACTGGTCCATCAGCAAAGGTGTCCTGCAATACTGGCTCAGAACTGGATTTCTAAGATCATCATTACACTGAGGATCACTCAATTCTGATATTCTATTACTAGACATGTCAACTTGGGAGCCAGTAAGCCCCAGAGACTGTGCTTACCTCTCTTCTCTCTTCCCTATACCACACCAGAAGAGAGTAACAAATTCACCCCTACAGGATCATTTGTAATTTTTTTTAATAAAAAATACTAATTGAAAGACCCAGCTCCTTACGTTACAAGCAGATCTCCAAAACCATACTTGCCAATAGCAATAAACCAAGTCAGCAAGGTTATAGGTGGGCCGGGCTTGGCGCATCTACTTCATATTAAACGCGTTTGACACTTGCTAACAATGTTGCTAAATAATATATTTCATATCCAAGCAGCAGGGTCCTGCTAAACCCAGCGATTCAGTTACCAATAAAATGTTTAGCCTGTGTGTTGACCTGCCTGTATAATGTGATGTGTAATATTGCGGTGACAAAGCAAAACTTTAAACAAATAAAAGCAGTGGCTAAAGAGCAATGCTGAAGCTCCAGTGGCTCTGCTCAAGTGTCGCTCTCTGTGCTGCAGGAGGTTAATCCAACATTAAGGTTTCAATTTACATTCATAACAGGAATTGCTCAGTATTGGTACAGTTAAGGAAACCAAGGTTTTGTGTGATCACAATAACGATGGCTTTAGATGCATAGTGCACGCAACTGATTTAGACACACCCTACACGCCGGTGATATAATCCAACCTAGGACTCATTGCATGAAGAGCAATGTTGTAGCCAGGATTTCGCCACAATACAGCATGGGTTTAGAATATCTATCCGTAGTTAAAAAACAATTATTGACGTGTACACAGGGAATTTTTCTTTTAAGATGCTAATCTAGGTTACCTTTCCCTTTCTTCTTGTTCTCGCTTTTCTTCTTCATCCCGATCCCTCTGTTCCCGAGCCTCACGCCGTTTCTCAGTCAGAAGTCTTGTAGCTTCCTCTCGGTCAGTTGTGCCTGCTATGAGCTTCCCAGGAGATGCTGATGGGAGAGTTGTAGGAGCTTCTATATGAACAGGTACAGATGGTCTCAATGTAATCATCATATATAAACAGCGAGCATATTAAAACACAAGTTGGAGAACAGACATATTATACTTGTGCAATTGGCTTAGCCTCTTTGTATCTGGAGAAACTAGGTCATTCATATTAAACAAACACCAGTAAGACAAGCTAGCATTTGAAAGTTCCTTGAAATAGATTGGTAACATAACAACAAATAGTAATATAATAAATAGTATACTTCTACTGTAGAAACCCAGTGCGAGTAAGTCAATGTCTTCATCATTGGGGGAGACCTGAGATACCTCAAGCCAGGTAAAGATGCTGCTTACTTAAATCCGAAGTTACCTTGGCCCCTGATGAGCAACACCAATTACACAGTACACTGGTTGGAGGCAGTTTCTCCAAACAAAATGTACAGCTCTGACGTAGTCCAAAGGGGCTAGCTGGCCAGGATGGGGTGAGCCTGTCAGTCAACCCATTGACACACAAATGCACAAGAAATTATGAAGAAGTGCAGCCCTGCTCCCTGGAGAAGACGGACTTCACCTTCTGCCAAGAGCTTGCCCCATCTTTTCCAGACAAGGCGAGCTTTTGGCAGAAGGCTGGGTTGGGTGGTGGTACTTGGCTCTTCCTGAGAAGGCTCATATCTGCAACCAGGTCCAGGATGACAGATCTGATCATGGACACCCTTGAGAAGCATCTGGACATCTGCGCAAAGGCTATCTTTTTGGTGCCATCACTTCGCATCAGGACCTCAAAAGATTAACTATGAGATTAGGGTTCAGAAGGGGGATGGAAGTTCAGTGTCCTTGATGCGCTTCAGGCTGCAGGACATGAGCGTGGGTGGTTGAGGGTGGTATGTGCGCCCAGGAAACACCCCTCCAGGGAAAGAGTGCGCAATCCATTCTATTAAATATTTCATGGAACTGTTTGGTTGGATACTTTTAAGCATGGTGATGGGTTTCTGCATGCATCAGACACCTGTCTGACCAAAAAATAGTAAGTAAATACCTCAGTTACGTTTATACTGTGAAGCATTTATAGTGCTGACTGAGCACTATTAGCAAGAGCACCGCTGTTGTTCCCTCCTTCAACTATGTGGTAATGGTCGCAACACAGATTTTTTTTTTAATAACTCATGTTGATGGACAATATAAGGTACAAATAAAAGCAACAGATGTCAAGTTAGGCAACGGCAGTCTCTAATCACAGAGAAGGTATGAAAAAGTGGACGTTTTAAAGCTGTGCATTTCTCAATTAAGACAACAGCACTTATTGTCTTGCAGCAATTGTTACCTTTAGACTCTTCCACTGGTGCCAACACCTTAGCTGCTGATGCAATGGGTGGCATTGGCGGCTTCTCTTCTAAATTCTCTTCAGGTTTCAGATTACCTTTCGCTTGATCCTTTTTCTCAGTCTCATATTTTGGACGAACATTTCCAGGAGAAGGTGGCCGCTGAATGGGCAAATTATTTGCTGAGCTTGGTGGTGAAATTGGCAGTTTCGGTGTGCTTGTATCAGACGCTGGAGCCTTGTTTGCTGATCTGTTGAAAACAAAAATAAATCCATGAACTTACATTTTTAATGTAATTATAAACAGAAGAATGATACTTCTGTAAGCTTTATGAAAATGAAAGGTAACGTTTCAATCAACGCACTTGAGTAATCACTGATCAACTAATGGACACGCTATTAAAATAACAGCAATCCATACGGCTGAGCTAAGGGAAATAAGGCCACAAGAAACTCACCGTTTCCTAAAGCTTTAAAATGTGATTTTCATACATTAATGTAATTTTACACAATCTACATTTTTTTTAAAAAGTAATACCAAATACAATTTGTTTTCTCTAAGACATGTTCAGCTCTGAGCAAAATGCAAGTTTGGTGCCTTAGGATGTCCTCCCAACGTGAAAGGCGCTACATAAATCTAATTTATTGTTTCACAAAAATAAGTTTCTGAATAGTGCAAGTTTAAAAATGTTTAAGATTACAAGCATTAAAAACTTCATATGCATTGCTGGCTTTAAGGTACTGGATAATTAAATCACAAATGTGGGAAAATCTTAGATCAATTTGTATATCAATTAAAATAGGCTTATAATACTAATAATCCTTGCATTTGATATTGCGCCTCATCATGTCATTCAGATGTCTAAAAGTGCTTCACACAATATATTTTAAAATGGAGTGACTGTATACTTTGTGGGTGAAACTCGGCAGCCAATTTCCCGCAACAGTGTCCCACAAACAGCTGTGAATTGAGTGACCAAATAATTATTATTTTTGGGGGGATTATTACCCCCAGAAAGCGATCTGCCAATCGACTTAACAATCAGGTTTCTACTTACTGTTAGGTAAACAGAGGCATGTGGAACAAGGAAACTTGACTAAGGTTTCACCCCAGCCGGGAATCGAACCCGGGTCCTCTTGCTTGCGAGGTGAGCATACGCTACGGGAATCTATGTTTTCCAAAAAATAATAATAAACAACAACAACAACAAGATTCCATTTATAGAGCGCATTTCACGTCGGGAGGATGTCCCATAAACCTTGCATTTGATATAGTACCCTATCACGTCGTTGAAACATTTCAAAGCACTTTACAGGATACACTGTAAAGTGGACTGACTATGTATTTTGTGGGAGAAATGTTAGGAGGTTGGATACTCTTGACCCTTGGGGAGGAGGGAGGAGAGGGGTTGGAGAGAGCGCCTGGCATCCTCCCTCTTTTATTGATAGGAATCAGTAGCCAATTTGATTTTCTATGTTTTAAATCACTGATTTTCAAGTTGAGCTAACCATCGATTGCTGGTAGTTTTTATTAAGCTCAGCAAAAGACCAACTTCTCAACAATTTAAATTTGTAAAAAAAAATGTGACAGGAACACGAGACTAAGCATTCAAAAGGGGAAATTACCTAGCACCATTAAAATAGGTTATAGAGTTCCATTGGTGGCGTTTATAGACAACTACTTTTACTCCTCTTTCAATAACAGTATGATAGCAAACATTAACCATCAGGACACGTGTCTATACATATCAATTTTTAATCAACATACCGAAGTGATCATGCAATATTAAGAAAAATCTCTCTACGGTATACTTGATAACACTGTGAGAAAAGCCAATATAATACATTAATCACATTTTCACCCTTAAGCTTCCTTTATACTCTCCGGGACACAAATTAAAAAATAACTAATTTCTGTCCATTGTCTTCTTAGCGAGCAATAGTGATCAAAAGTTAATTGTTGCAGAATGAATAAAGCTTAAATATGCAGTTCTCCTACCGGGCAGTGGAGGGCACTGGTGGTTTGCTTTTCACATTTGAAGGAGAATGCGACCTCTTTACAGTTGTATTTACAGGGAGAGTTGTGACAATATTCTTCTCCCTTTCACTTTTGTCAACCTATAATAAGGCCAGAAGAATTTTCAAAACACAAACGTATTTAGTAACAAGACTCATACTTGTAACCTGCTTGAGCACCAGACTTGGGCCCAGAATGTTCTGAGTTGAAGTCCTGGTTGGTCCACTCTGCTCTCATGTCTTTCAATGAAAGAGGTTTAGCAGAGTCTCTCAGGCTCTGAAGGGACAAAGCCAGCCTGCAGTAATCTAAGGCACTTTTGATGGTTGACAGCCTGTCTTAACTCATCAATAGAACTTAGTAATGCATTGATTCTATAATCCTTGCATTTAATAACGCACCTATCATGTCAGGAGGACGTCTCAAAGCGTTTTGCTGCATTTATTGTGAAGTGCAGATAGCATATTCTGTAGATGATTGGTATAGATCTGTTCTTCCTGTAAACCCAAACCATAACATTTCTGTGTCCTGGCTGGACAAGTACCATGGACCAATGCTTTTACTGGTAACATGCATAGTTCCCAGTATTATCATACACAGGCGCTTGCCAGACCTTCTGCATTTATATCATCAGCACAATGAGGTTCAAAAGGCAAGGTCATCAGCACCACAATAATAAGAGGAAAAAAGTTAACTGCAGACCATCTTGTACTGGCACACATTATTTCAGTAAACTGTCTACATTTTGCTACAGTTATTTTTCAAAATGATTACATCAGTGCCACCAACAGCTTTTGGCAATAACAGCACTTTTACAGCATTTCTATTTCACTCAACCAGAGTGTGATTTACTGAGCAATAATGGTTATGGCAACATCTACCCCCAACCCCCACTCACACAAGAGAAAAAAAAGCGCAATACTTCAGTGGAGAAACAATCAACAACAGAGACACAATCAGCTGAGAGGCCTTCTGTGCTGTAAGCTTCCCATTAACTTGTGTAATCATACATGGTTAACAACAACAAAGTGGGGTTCTGAGGTTGGGTTATATTAGGGCAGCGTCTTTTCTGTTGTGTCCTCCCCCATTCATACATTGATAGTTACACTCGCAGTAAAAGCAAAAAAGTGTTCTTTCATCTTCAGCATATTATAGGAAAATGATCGACTGAATCTGTTTTATGAGGAATTTTATGTCAAAAGCTACTTTCCTGCAAAATTCCACCTTAATCTCAAAAATAACATTACTCTTATTAAAGATTTGAACATGACTATTTTGTCCAATCCAAAATGTGTGAAGAACAAATAGCAGAGTGGAGCTTCATTTGACAGCTACTAAAATTGAAAGAACAGTCCATTCAAGTTGTAGCTTAGCAATATAAATGTAAATGAGTATGGTTGTCAAGACTGTGCAGCTAATATTTGCTCAGCTGTCAAACATTATATGCTAACATTTAATTTCTGCTCACATGGTGATGGTTCTAAGCAGGATCACAACCATCACCACTTTTCCTACAGGGAAATGTGAAATGTTAAGTTTTTTTTGACTTCTGAGATGTTTTTACTAGTTACTTAACAATTCCCTCATAAATAATGCACAAGTATATGACTAAAAAAAACTGAGAAGATTCAAACACAGTAATCGTATGTGCACAACATAAACTTAACTTTTAGAGTGCCAACAATCAGAGGAATCCAGAGCAAGAGGCATAACCTTAAAATTAGAGCTAGGCCATTTAAGAATGAAATCAGGAGGCAGTTTTTCACCCAAAGGGCAGTGGAAATCTGGAACTCTATCCCCAAAAGGCTGTGGATGCTGGATCCATTCACATTTTCAAGAATGATGTGAATAGAGATATTTGTTAGGTCAGGGTATCAAGGGACATGGGGCAACGGTGTGTAATTGGAGTTGAGGTACAAGATCAGCCATGATCTTATAGAATGGCGGAGCAGGCTCAAGGGGCTGAATGGCCTACTCCTGTTTCTATTATCTCTATAAAATAATAAAATGTCATTTTTTAGGAAGACTCATTGTAAACGTGAACAGGATTTCCCTTCAATGACACGAGAAATTAGGAAAAACTATTTCATTCAACACTTAAGTTTTCTGGGGGAAACCAAATGGAAGCCTTGGTATAATGGCAAGCTCCAATATATTTATATCTAAAATCATTTAATTCACTTACTGCTGAAGTTTAGCCAAAAAACTGCTCCTGAAAAAAAAACTTCCTACAAAACTATAAACTATATAGTTCTAGAGCAACTGATCATTTTTTAATTCACAATGATCTTCAGATTTAGTTGAATTTTATTTTGGTACAGAAATATGGCTTTACAGACAGATAAATATGCACACTACTGACACAGACATTACTTACATAACTACATTTGCACTACACTTCATTACAACTGCAATACAACTGCTTACCATTGGGGAATGAGTTGTTCTCCTACGCCCATTGACATCATGTGTTGTAATTATGACCTTTGGCCAGTCAGACATCCTATTGTGAAGATTCCTACAGGTTGGTTGAGTAATGAGGCTGGCAGATGCTGAACGAGGACAAATTGGGATAACTGCAGTGTTATCAATGGAGTGGAAAAGGAGTGGAGGAAGCACAAAGTAGAAAGAGAAAAAGAGAGCAAGTATTAGTTTTATGAGAAGGCAAAAAGAGGAGGTACCAAAACCACTTCTGCTGCAAAATTCAGTTTTACAGGATTAGAGCAGGATAGCCTAAATAATGTAAATGAATCAAAGTTTTACAATTAGTTTCCAACCAAATCAATAAGAGGAAAGCCTTAAAAAAAAACATTTTAATGTAATAATCACAATTCTGAATAAAAATGCTTTATAAAGCCCATCTATGAAAGTTACTTGAAAAAGTGTACTTTCTCCAAAGTGATTAAGGAATTTGGGCAATCATACATGGTACAGGATAGACCAAGCTTTGTATTTTTCGGTCAAGGAAAACCTACAATGCTATGATCTTGCTGCATTAATGACTTAAAGCCAACATGGAACAGAGTCACTACACTTTACAGGAAATCCTGGTGAAGACGTCTTCCCAGCGCAGAACAACAACAACAAGATTGCATTTATAGAGCGCCTTTCACGTCGGGAGGACGTCCCAAGGGGCTGGACAGTTGGGTCGGGACCCGAGCAGGAGGGAAACGGTCAGGGTGAGGAGAGGGAAGGGAGGGAGCGAGGAGAGGGTAGAGAGTCGAGAGGGGAGCTGAAGGCACGGTTGAAGAGAAAGGTCTTGAGACCGGCCTTGAAGGAGGAAAGGGAGGAAGCAAGGTGAAGGCACTGGGGGATAGAGTTCCAGAGCCTCGGGGCTGAGAGGCTGAAAGCCCGGCCACCGATGGTAGGGCGGTTAGGGCGGGGGATGTGGAGCAGACCGGAGCCAGAGGAACGGAGGGTACGGGCAGGTAAGTAGGGGGATAGTAGGTCGGAGAGGTAGGAGGGAGCAAGGCCGTGAATGGCCTTGTAGGTGAGGATGAGGATCTTGAATTCGATCCTCTGGGGGATGGGGAGCCAGTGGAGGCGAGCGAGGGTGGGAGTGATGTGGTCGCGAAGTCTGGTTCGGGACAGTACACGAGCTGCAGAGTTCTGAATGACCTGCAGCTTGTGGAGGGAGGTGCCGGGAAGGCCGGCGAGGAGAGAGTTCCCATAGTCCAGCCTTGAGGTGACAAAGGCGTGAACCAGGGTTTCAGCAGCGTGAGGGGTGAGGTAGTGCCGTAGTCTGGCGGTGTTCCGGAGGTGTTGGAAGGCGGTGCCAGTTGTGGCGCGGATATGAGGGAGAAAGGACAGCTCAGGGTCGAACAGAACCCCGAGGTTCCTGACTGGCTTTGAGAGGTGGAGAGTGCAGCCTTGGATGCTGATGCTGTCAGCGCCTGAGGTGCGGAGGCGCTGACGTGAGCCAATCAGGAGGGCCTCAGTTTTGCGCACGTTGAGCTGAAGAAAGTTGTCTCTCGTCCAGGACTCAATGTCAGACAGGCAGGCTGTCAGAAGATGTTAAATCAAATGTAAGGACTATCATTCAAATATAAATAATAATAATAATCCTTGCATTTGATATAGCGCTTTCACGTCTTCCCAAAGCGCTTCACAGAATATACTGTAAAGTGAATTGACTGTATATTTGTGGGCGAACACGGCAGCCAATTGCGCACAGCAATGTCCCACAAACAGTCGTGGATTGAAAATGATCAATTTATTATTGTTGTGTTTTGGAGGGATTATTATTAGGTGTGTGGGGTAAGGAAACTTGCCCAAGGTTTCGCCCTGCCTGGAATTGAACCCAGGTCTCTCACTTGCAAAGCGAGTGCTCTAACCACTGAGCTACAGGACTCCATATAATACCTCTATGGCCAAGTTTTCAGGTAAGAATCAATTCCATAAATTCCTACAACTAAAAATCACAACAGCCACTGGAAAACAGCAATGGTTTTGGTAACAAGGCGCAAGAAATGCTTTCAGAAATGGAGATCCATATTGATTGGTAGTAAATAAATCATTCATAGATTGTATAACAGTTGACTGTCTGCAATACTTTGCGGTTCTTAATTGCTCAAATTAATTCTATTTGAATAAATGTAGCCAGTCAGCCGTCAAATTTTGACAAAGACAAAAAGCAGACACTGCAAGCATAGTAGCAGCAAACATAGTGCAGTATATTGTGTGAGAAGCAGAAACAGAATTTATTAGAAAGTGTCAGCATGATAGGCCTCTCACTCCAAATAAAGAGTGATAAAGAGCAACAATAAAAACTTTAGTACAATACTTCATGCAATCAGTTGAGTTAAGACAAGCTTTAAAACATAAGTGCAACATTCCAGATAATATACTAAAATTACCTCACTTCATGAAAAATGCATGCTTTTGTCCAAAAAGTGGCTTGCAAGACACAGCTCAAGCAGTTTATAAGCATCACTCCAGTTTTCTTGTGAAATTTTAAAATCAGTGTGTTCCATAGAGATTAATTTATGCAAACAAAATAGCATCTTAATACTGAGGTTAATGTGACAGCTGGATAGTTTTGCTGTTGTATTCATTAGGTTTACTTTATATACAAGAGGCTTTAACACTACATCCATTGCTGTGCTAGGTTTGATTGCTGGTTTGGATGTTTATTCAACCAGTGGAGAGATATTCCTTTGATCTTACATCAATATTTTGCCAATATTCAGCACAATAAATGTCTTTTCAATATGTAATTTAGGAATGGAACCCTGTTGCTCAGTTGAGCAGTGTTCTGGAATAATTATTTTGTCTGTAGTTATGCAGCTTTTACCATAATGTATAATTGTGGATAAAATAGTAATAGTCACTCATTTTGTAAAAAATAGAAAGTTAAAAATTACTGCTTCAACATATTGATCCACTAAGATGAATTGATGCACTGAAATAAAACAATGAATTATTCTTCAAAAACTGTAATCAAATAGCAATACTGTAATGAACTTGGTTATACAGCAAGCCGGATTGAAGGATCTAACCTGCTGTCTTGTCCTTGAGCAGCAAGCTCATTATCAGTTACAACTTATGGTATTTTCTCAAATATCTTTTTTGCTCAATTAAGATGCAACTTGAACAGCAACACAGTCTGTGTTGACTTGTACCAACAAAGTATAGATTTAATCTTCACAAAACAAAACACATCCTTATTTAGTTCATTGACAAGGGCGACACATATGATGTTATATCAGTAATATTCCTCTTATGGTTTTATTTCATGCATCTACTTTATTAGTCTTTATACACATTGCCCACCTGGAAGCAAATTTTTTACTGATACAAAAATTCAAGAAATGTAGGGTATTCTTAACGTTACTCAAGGACATTAACTCAATATTTGTCTGCATTTGGAAATTGGATAATGTTGAGGTGTCCACAATCCTCTGGTCACCCATCATCTCATATCCAATAAAGACATCACTTCTCCCATATTAAACTGACCGAACTAAAAAGTTGAAAAGCTAATTGCAATTCATCTAATTCTCTTCATTGGTTGAAATACCTTTTATTGAGCACAATTACACTATTGTCTTTACAACAGGTTATATTGGTCAGATTTTCAAGTAAATTACTTTGTGCTTCTTAATTGCTTCTCCTAGTTATCACAATGTTATGGGGCCAATCATGAAAAACAGATCATTTCCATCATTTGACTGAGGATGTTATCAAGTAAGGATTTCACAATGTGTGACAATAGTAAATCGACTGATCCCATTTCAGGCCAAGATGGTGATGAAAAGTTCCAAACATCTGGGTTCAAGCTGGTTGGAATTGAAGTTTATGGAACTGACTTGATAAAAAATTGTAATTTCTTATTTGTATGGCAGGAGGGAGCAAGTGGAGGCTAGGAGGAGAGGAAGTCAATTGTGTTTGCGTTCCCTTCTCACCTTGAAGCATTCCATGCAATTTACCACTGTTACCTCCAGGATAACCAATTAAAGTAGTATATCAATTCTCTATCTGGAACTATTAAGGAATCTAATAAGCAGAGAATCTAATAAAGAAGCAAATCATTTCACTTGAGAAGTTAGATAGGCAAGTTCAGAAGCCTTGAATATTGATTAACCCTCCCTCTCCAAAAATAGATCCAGTTTGAGTTAATTCTATTTTTCAAACAGAGTACTTCTCCATTCTAGGATGATGGGGAGACAAACTAATCCCATAAATCATGGTGAAGTTAGTTAGAAAAGAATAAAACGTTTTTGCTGTAATTTGTTTAAAAAAGGGGGCAGAAAGTAGAAAGAATATTGTAGCACTAAAGCAGATGAAAAGTTCAGGTTAATTTTAATACTGCTTTATAAATATTTTGAGTTAGGCATAGCTGTTGAAATGAAACATGCATCAAATTGATTAGATCCATCCCCTCCCCCTTTGTTTGTGCAGACTGGAAATCTATCAGGGGATAAGAAGGGAATTTCAAACTCCTTTTAAGAGAATAGGAATATCACACTTCATTTATTTATAAATCCAAGGGATTAAAAAAGTAAGACAGAAGTGTGTGGAGCATAGTGTCTTCAAAGCTTGGACAATATAGGAATATATGGATGTATAAAACCTGGATGTTGTATACATCTGGGGAACTTGGAGATCTAGAAGGCGATTACTTTATCACTGTATATGATTGAGCTTGATGGTTGCTGTGAGTTTACAATAGGAAGTTCCATTATAAGCTTAGATCTGCGCTAATTTAACCAAAAACAGCTGGATGGATAAATTAACCAGCCTCTTCCATCAGACGTACTTCAGCTTTTTAAATACTACATACAAACTATATTCTTAACCTATTAAGCAGTGGTTGGTGCAAATTTGTGATGACTCAGTCAATTTTATGTGTATATAAATGAAGTGTAAATGATTTTCCTCCACAAATTACCCATTTCAGGAAAGTAGAGGTACAAGGAGAAATTAATGGGTGAAATATTATTCAGAGAGGAAGAGATATTTTTGAGCAAAACCTAATTTTAAAAAACAAAATCAAATACTAGAAATTTTAGTGAGGAAGCCATAGCTTGTTAAAGTGAAGAAAAGCTGTCTTGGTCAAGGACTAAATGTGAGGGAAGAGAGCTTTTCATGCGATTTGGTTGTAAGGCAGTTTCAAATGGAGTTGAAATGAGGACACAACTAGATAATGAAGAGGAACAGAAATCTTGATGATTTTAATTCAGCTTATCCCAGGACCAAAGACCAGTTGAATGCTCAACCTTTCTCATCACCACTGCACTCCCAAGATCAACTAGCTCAGTACAGAGCAGTAAAAAAAATGGATCATTCCTGATCTGGAAAACTAGTAGCATACCAACTGAGAGGAGCAGAATGGAGGATTCTCCGCTACCCCTCCAAAGCAAAACCAAACAAACATTTTGTTCAATACTAATATAACTAGCATTTGAAAAAAATGTCTTGAATTAAATGTCCTAAAGGAAAAATTCCATGCAAACATGGATAACATGAAATTCAAAACATTTCCAAATACTTTCTAATAGTGAACTTCAATCAATACAAGTACTCGAGGAAATGGATAACAAAATAATTACATTCTTTTCATAAAGTCACAACTGATAGAATTATGCATACAAGACAATTATTTGGCCATTAATACATTGATTAACAGCAAAATGCATCATTTTTACAAATTTCATTGCTGTCTGATGTGTGTGGAGTGAATGGGGTCCACAATGCAACTGTGTTATAACCAAATTGCTATAAAGAACATTATGCAAAGGCTAAACAAGGATTACATAGAAAGCTTTTTCGTTTACATGTATTGGCTCTGAGCAGCTTGGCAATGTATGAATGGAGAATTCTGACCTTCATAAGTTAGAAATGGTTGAAACAAATTATAAAAAGTAAGTTACCTGAATCCTGACCATTTCCAGACAAAGCAGCAGTACTTCTACTCCGAGCTAGGAACGAGTGAGTTGGGGTCAGAAGACGAGTAACAATGTTGCTCTCCCAGGGACTGAGCTGCAAACGTCGAACTACTTAAAATAGAACGGGAAAATGTTAAGACAACATGTAATACAATAAATTTCTTTGAAAGAAATATAAAGGCATGCACGTTAGAATTAAGCAGAGTGGTTGTGTTCAACGGCAGAATAAACCTGGTTACTTGCAGAGTTAAAAAGAACAAAAGCGCATTAGTGTTCAATGGATCCATTGTTTTAAGTGCTGCAAAAAAAAGTATTACAGTATGTTAATATTCAGCAATATGTCGACGAAGTAGTGGCAGTTCGATGGGTAGTTTGACGTATTGAAGAAAAGCAGTGAAAATAAAACTCTACAGCCATGCTTTTTAAGACCAACATAATGGCAATGCAATTTTGCTAACCAATTCAATATTAGAGATCAGCTACCATAGCAGATTAAAGAACTGTAGATCAATTTAGCAAATGTGTCACAGAGGACATTTTCATAATCAAATCATAAAAATGCAAGTCCTTTCAAACATCCAAATGTCTGAAAGGATACTATTTTAAACACATCCAAAATAAGCTTAGTTGTGTGCAGGGTAAAATAAAGAGATTATGCATGTCCTTAAAATTGCCAGGTACAAGCCTTCCAAAAATTGTGCTTAAACGTTTTTATTTACATTACAATGTGAAACTGGTTTGGAAACCAAATCCTTTTCCAATGCAATATGATGGATTAAGAAAAAATTCAAAACTAAAGCCAATCATACAACAAATCCAGAGTTATAAAAGGGTGCTCACATGTACCATAAAATGGGTCACAATCCAAAATGAATACCGAGTGCCTACCACACGAATATCACACGAACTGTATTTAGCAGATGCACTAACCATTTTTATTTTGAATGATCTGAGCATTAAGAGTGGATCAATATTTAGCTTGTATAAAAGAGTTACACGCTCAGTTGTTGCATAATTATGTGCAAAACAGAACATTTATTTTTCACAAACTATGATTTTCTGGAATTTAATATATAGAACATACTGAAGGGAATTTACTGTAGGGTGAGAAGGTGAAAACAATTCTGGAAACCTTAGAAGATTAATTGGAATCTGTAGCTCAGTGGTTAGAGCACTCGCCTCGCAAGCGAGAGACCTGGGTTTGATTTCCGGCAGGGTGAAACCTTGGGCAAGTTTCCTTACTCCAAACACCTGATAATAATCCCTCAAGAAAAAAAACACAATAATAAATTGGTCACTTCAATCCACGACTGTTTATGGGACACCGCTGTCTGCAATTGACTGCCACAGTGCGCCCACAAATATACAGTCAATTCACTTTACAGTATAGTTTGTGAAGCGCTTTGAGCCATCTAGAAGACGTGAAAAGTGCTATATCAAAATGCAAGGATTATTTTTTATTATATTCCACTTAGTTTTTGTGTTAGTGTAAAACGACCGTAAACTGTCAGAAACATAACTTGTCGCTAATAACCATGGTTGGTAAGCAATTAAGCTGCCGACTTCTATGAGTAGGAGCATAAATGCCAAGGTTTACATAACTTTAAATGATTACCTTAAGATTCCTGTATTTTGTTTTAATTCCAAATATGTTCACATCATTTACAACCAAATGAATATTAAAAAAAAGCTTTGTAGCATTTACAAGATACAAATTTCTTTTCAAGACTAGATGGAAGATGGAGCCAGATCTGGATGTGCAGAGTGACTTTGTGTATAATAAAGTCTGAAATGTTAGGAATACTACAGCTCTTCATCTAACACTACAAATGGTCTTATTTATCACCCACTAATGGTGCTCCAAATTGTGGTTTAAAAAAAGATTATTCACATTAAAAATGAAATGTATTTTATGTTTACTTCACCAAACAACTATAGGGTAAAACAGTTTAAATGCTTTATGCAGGACAAATATTTGAAATGTCATTTGAATTTTTTTTATTATCTCTTTAAAACACCAATTTAAGCTGCTTCAGTTCCCATGAAACCTTTCTTCAGTACATAGTTAAGTGCTCATCCTTCACCTACAAGCCCAGCAGCATCAGCAACAAACCTGACAATCTAGGCCAAACCCAAACCACTCAAACAGAAGAAACTGGATGGTTTATAACCTATCTAGTCCAGTGTACCAGGGCCAATTCTAGCCAGCCTTTCCGAGTACAGCTAAATTAACAAAGAATGGGAGCTTCAAGCTTGTACAACTCCATTTCACAGGCAGTAGTATGACTAATTGAATCGTTGGGCAGATTCTTTTGTGTCTTAAATAAAACTTTATTATTACATTTTTAAAAAATGACTATTATTTTGGGAGGACAAAAATGTTACTAGCTGATCACAGTGGAGAAAATGCATACTAAAAAGCAAATGCCTTCCAGACAGTTTCACAACTAAATGAATAATGCAAAGCGTTTTCTATAAATATGCAAGTCACAAGTCTTCCATAGAAACACCTGGTTTAGTTTCTGCACTGAACTTGTTTCGTGTAGATGTTGAGCGTGGCTTAGGAGAGCATTTGAGAAAATATGCAATCCTTTTCTTGAGTGCTGTACAAAAATCAAATATCCGATTAATCTAGCATTTTACCCCACTCTCCCTCTACCATATCTTCTGGATTTTCTTGGGAAATCATAATATCTGAAAAGATTCTAGAAGTCTAGAAAGAAAATGTTAATGAACAAATAAAATTCCCGTTGTTGGTTGTTTGGGGGAGGCACAAGAGACAAGCAGCTGTAAAAGGGATATGCTTCTGTGCTAAGCCAATACTCTACAAAACTGTTATGAAGGACTAAACACATTTTTGATTGAATAGATATACACATTCAACCTGCAGAAATAAATCAATTTAATGTATAAATAAGTAGCACTGAACTTATAAATCCATTTTATAACCATTTGTTCGAACGCTTTGAAAACATAAAGTGATTAAATGCTAAGTTACAAATTGAATAAAAACTTAAAACATGTTTATGTACAAACAAAAGTGATATAAAGATGAAAAATGCAGAAGGGGAAGATATCATTCCATTTCTTACATTGGATTTTTTTTTACATTATGGAACTAAATTAGTCGGGGCTCAGACTATTAGAATATATCTGCAGTACGATATTAAATCTGAATTTTTTCCGCAAAGCCAAAACCAGGATCTTTATTCCTACAATTGAAACAATAACTGTCTGCAGGAAAATAAAAACCCATAACCTGTTCTCTGTGCAACAGTAAGGATATTATGTTTAGCATGCAACTTCTAGGTCAGTGAAAATAAAATTTACAAGGATTTATCCCACTAAGGGATTTCTCCTACTTCCACTTCTGATATTTGAGTTTCTGTGCAAAGAAAAAATACATTACATTGTACCTTGTAATGTACTGACTTGGCTTGGGTTTGTATTTCTCTACAAAAAAGGAAAACAATTCAGAAACAGTACCTCTGTCTGGAGAATTTAATAATGTTGCTGATGAGGATGAGAGTCGCTTGTTAATGACAGGATCAACATGTTTCGAAAGGTTCATTGTGGATACTGACCGCCTGTCTGCATCTAAAACAAATGCAAATATCTGCAGTTGACTGCCTGTGGACAGTATTATAGCTTTCGTTGCTAATATTAAAGCTATGTGAGAAACCAACTGCAATATTTCAGTTGACAGCAAGACAGGAAAGTCGTGAAGCATGCATTTCCTATAGGTCAGCTTGTGGAATTAAGCAGCGGTACAAGACATTTTCAAATGATTTTATTGAGCTTCTATCTTAAAAAAAGTATTGTTAACTGGTAACAAAAACAATTTGGCCGAAGTATCATTTGACTACAAGCCATGTAGAAATAATGAATTTTGCATTCCAACTAAATTAGGAAGCTCTAAAATTCAGTTGATTTAATATCTGCATTAATTTCACTTTAGGGTTTATTAAATGCATTACATACAGAATACGTATTCTGGTAGTAATATGGATAATCCTCAAGTCCCATTATTTACAGAATATTCTATTCTTGTATGCATTTCTACTTGTATTTTACTCTAATCCAATTTAAATTAATTCAAGATTTCCTAGTTCATGTGGATATATTTGATTTTGACAGTGTATTAATGTAACGTCACACTCTCTGTTTTGGATCATTGTTAAACACTGCGACCAACTCTACAAACCAACCTACAGCATTAAATTATATTGAGACTTGAATAGTTACTTCTAGCTGTAAACTAGGGTATGTGCTGACATTTAAAACATGCAAATCAGATTAAGGGATTAATTAGGGAGAAATAAACCTATTTATGAAAAGATGAAAAATATGGATTATGCTGTTCATGTACCATCTTTACAAGCACCAGCTTCATTTCTTAAGTGGTGCTCAAGGCCTGCTAAATCGAGATAGGAGTAGGAAGATTCAACAAAATCACCTGGACAAGAAAGGAACAGATGCAAAACGATAATGGATTTGCAGCAAAGGAAAAGAAAACACCATGATTGGAACAGCCCAAAAGCAAAAGCGGGCAACACACAGAAATTAAAACGTTTGAGATTTAAAGTGCACAGAAAATAGGCAGTAGAAGTAACAAATTGTATGTAACCATTTTCATTAACTGCTTAATATACACACATATTAAACTAGATATAAAAAAAATTCTTCAAGCATCTTCATTGATCATTTAAGATAATACATTTAGTGCAAGATAATACTTTAGAGAAGTTTCCCTCATGAAGACTTATTCCGATGACTGGTTTCTATAGATTCTGTTTTATGGAAGAACAGCAAGATCCAATATAGGCTACTTTGCTTCTCATCATAATCCGCATGACAAGGGAATGCACCCAATTCAAAATGTTTTACTTCAAAAAGGCTGACTTACTCAAGATAAACCTCTAATACAAAAGTCAATTACATTCAGAAATATTTGGCAGAAACGATTACAAGTATATCAGTTTTAAATAAAAAGATTTTCCAAAATTATTAATTTTTATCGTGAATTTTGAACCTCCATCACGCAACACTCATCCAAAATGGTTTCAAGACAATAACAATGTTCACTCCATTTAGCTATTTAATTTTCATATAAATTCAACAGAAATGACCCTTTTTCTTGAGTCTTATAACATTTACCATCTCGGTTGATGGTTGTGTTTCTTTGTAGTGCTCCGCCCCAAGACCATCTGTTTTGCTTCTGTTTTGCCCTCTGACTCCTCTCGATTGTACGACGTACAACTGCTTCATGTCGTTCCTTTTTTGAAAAAATAAATCTTATGTTAACTAATGTAGCGCATTAACTAATGCAACACTTATTCAAGGACCAGTATTTGAACTTGCTTCATGGATGATGAACTTCAGCACCTGAAGATATGAAAAAAAAGTTGTAAAAGCTCTGCATTGGCGTATATTAATTTAGTCCTATATTTTTTGTTTAATCTGTCAGTATACAAACATCACCTTTGAGTTGTACAGTAAAGGGGTTTACTGAGGGATAGTTTAATGCACTAATTCAAGAATCCAAACAGATGTTCATTAGAAGGAATTAATTCCCATTTCCATAGCAACTCATACCAAAACTTCTCTAAACACTTCTGGTAATCATAGGCAGGTGTCGTGACAGTTCTGGTTGGCAAACATGACAGCCATTTGTACAAAAAACACAAGGAGAATAACCAAATTCATTGAAGGGATTGTAGGCCTGGACACCATGATAAACTTTATTTGGTTTTTGAATTTTATCATAGAATCTTAAACATTCAACTGAACAGGCAGACAGAATCTTGGTTTTAACATCTCAAATAATAGATGTTTTAGTGATATGTTTGGTCCTGAGATACATGTAAATTGTCCAGTTAATTTCAAGATGTACCAGTCTCCAGGTTTTGGAATCAGAAAGGGATTGTACATTGAACTGAACTGACAGAAGCCCTACAACCTCTAGAAAATTAGGAATTCACGAGTTTTGATACACACTGTAGTTGGCCTATAATACCCAAGTACATCATATAAGTACTGCAATCTAAGTGGCCATACAACCATTGATAAATAGGCCTAAGCCATTCCCAGGTCCTTCAACTTGTTCCTTCCTTCCCCTTGAAAAGGAAGAGGGAAGGAACAAGTTGAAGGACCTGGGAATAGAGTTCCAGAAAGCGGACGCCAAATGGCTGAAAGTCTGTCTGCTGGTGTCAGAGAGGATAGCATTGGGGACATGGAGAGGCTGATGTCGGCAGAGTGAATGCCCGGGTTGGTAAACGTGAAGGTAGGCTAGGGCAAGACCACAGAGGGATTTAAATTAGAGAGCAAGAATCATGCAATCGATCCGCTGGCAGATCAAATTACCTTGTGCAGATCTGGCTGGAAATAGGGCAACTAAAAGTTTGAATTCAAATTTAGCAACTCCATGTAACACTTTTTGGGTAAACATATGCCATTTTGCATGGTATTTAAGCAGGAGAATTTTAGTACAATGGTTCATGTTAGATATGACTTGATTTGTTTAAAAACAGAAATGTATATGAAATAGTTAGTTTTGTTACCTAGTTATACCTTTTAAAACATCTTTCAAACAGATGTTAAACCCATTTATCCTATTTTTTCCCAAAAATATACCTTTTCTTCTTCAAGTCTTTGCCTCCGTTTTTCTTCTACAGCAGCACGCCGTTTCTCTTCTTTTAATCGCTGTTCTTGAATTTTCTTCTTCCGTTCTACAAGCTGTCTTTCATAGTGCTGCCTTGCCTTTTCCTCTTTTTCCAGCAACAATATGTCCCTTGCAACTAAATAATAATAAAACAGAATCACGATTACAACCAGTGGTACTGAACAAAAGAAAAAAATCATGTACAATTTTAAAAAGTTGTATTTCCTCTAGTTTAAAAATTCTGCATTACATATGATTAGCTTCATGTTGCAAGGATTTTTCACATCAGATTTCAACAAATTGAGATCAAATGCTAGATCCTAGAGTCCTGTAGCTCGGTGGTCAGAGCACTCGCCTCGCAAGCAAGAGACCTGGGTTTGATTCCCAGCAGGGCGAAATGTTGGGTAAGCTTCCTTACTCCACACGTCTCTGTTTACCTAGCAGTAAGTAAGAACCCGGTTGTTAGTCGAATGGCGGATCACTTTTTCGGGGGTAATAATTCCTTAAAAAAAAATTGGTCACTAAATCCACAACTATTTGTGGGCAATTGGCTGCCGCATTTCACACACAAAATATACAGTCATTTCATTTTACGTTTTGTGAAGAGCTTTGAGATGTCTCGAAGACGTGATGGGTCGCTATATCAAATGCAAGGATTATTATTATTTTTAGTTGTGCCTTGATCTTTCAATAAACATGCATTAAGTGAAAGCAATCTAAGGTACTTAGGCAAATTATTACAGATATGCACACAACGATTATCATCCTCAACTAAAATAGCCAAAGCTGTGTTTTTCCAGGGTCAGGAAACTTTTATCAGTTCCATTTCAAAACAACGGCCTCTTTCACATAAAAAAAGCTGCTGCAGCGATGTACATAACAGCTACTTCATTGGAGCAGTCCAGGAATCTGATAATATTACAAATTATATGTGTAAATGTTTATAACATTGTAATTGTTTTAATATATTCTTCCGATTATATACTTGCTTTTATTCCATTTTTAAGGCCAGCAAAATATAACCCGAGTACTAATGTTATTTCCTTACCCAGCTGCTTTTGTCGTTCTTCTCTCCTTTCCTTGGCTAGTCTTTGTTTGTCATCAACTTTAAGAGCATGCAATTCTGTAGATCAAACACAAATACAGTGTTTCTAGATGTAAGCAAAAGTATAAAATATTCCACTTCTGCAAAATTTTGAAAAATCTATAGAAACTTTATATTTTGACAATCAGAGTAGTACTACGTATCACATTTCTACAATAGACCTCAGCAAATCAGATGAAATCTGTACAGAACATATTAACATTGGCATAGCAGGTGAACTTTTTCCACCTACGAATCCGAAAGACCTAATGTGTTAATCTTGGGCTCCACCAAAATCTGCTGAGAACATGGAGCTTCCAATTACATTCATCACTCACTATAAGTCATACTTCTGTACTATTTCATAATTAATAGGATCAACCTTCATATACCTTGTTTAGCATCAGAGTTTACACTTTGTCCAGAATTGGCAGAAGTTGGGCGACTGCTTGACTGGCCTTTTTTGTCCTCCACTTTCACCTGTGCTTCAGAAGCTGAAAGAATTTTAAAAAAACGTAAGGGGGTGGTAACTCTTATTCGGTGACCAACATTTCATAGTGATAATGAGAATAGACATGCAGATTCAATCCCTTCCCCTCCATCAAATCCCTAGTCTCAATTCATTACTGTGAAGTGCTTTTTCACTGCAGAGAAAAATGTCATTTATAATAATTCTGGGATTTGATATAGCAGCTTTCACATCAGAAGGACTTCTCAACAGCACTTACAGGATTTATTGTAAAGTGGAGTGTGAGTATATTGTATGCAAACACAGGAACTAATCTGCACACAGTAATGTCCCACAAATTACCATAAAGTAAGTGAATGATCAATCTTACCTGGGTGTCTAGTGTCCAGTACCCTGGTAGGAAAACTCTTTTTTGAATATTGCCAATGTACTCAAAGACCCCCCTGAACAGGCAAACATTACCGTGGCAAGAGTACTACCAACTAAGGCAAGTTGGCACCTGGAATTCTGTTCTTTACTTCCAAACAAGTGGCTGAAAGCTGCATTACTAAAGGTGCCATGTGGCCCAAAACGGTCACCAAGAGAATTTAACACTGAAACATAATCAGATAATAGTATACACCACTGGTAAATTTCCTGTTGCTTATCTAGTTGGGCTATCATACCCACTATGGTGCTGGTTTGAAACATTTTGTCAGGGAGGGTCTTAATGGGAAGACTCTTCAACCCAAAAGCAGCAATTTCAGCAAAGGGTATTCGCTCCTCCAATCTCTAAATATAGCTGAAATCCAAATAAAACTATTTTACAGTTCTTTTCTTGGATCTAAATGTTTATTTATTTTTCTTCAAAATATCAGCACAACTTACAATTATGTTGTCAAGCGCTCAAAGCGCTCAGTGAGTGATGCTATGCTCTATTTTTGGGAGTGCACGCACTTGTGGGTGGGGTGTGGGGGGGTTGTCAGCCAGGTTCAACGTGTGAAAGCCCCTTGCCATGCTTTAGAATCTCCAATTCCTACTGCGAGCTTAGAGTTTTCATTTGCTAGTTCTAGGGATCACAAAATCTTTTTGGAGAACATAGGAAACAAAGTTAAGGCACCAGAGACCCTAAAATGTACAATGAATTCTATAGTACTTGAATACTATGAGGTAAAATCAGTTTGAACCACTGTTAATTTCCCTCATGCTTGTTTAGTTGAGACATACACACACACGTGGTCCCAAAGCCTCGGATGTCACTGCTTAATACTTTCCTTAGTTAGATAAGCAGGGTACATGCCTCCAAAGAGTGTGCATTCCATTCTAGACAGAAGCTAATTTCCTTGCATAGGTGGCATATGTGGAACATATGTGGAACTCTAGAATAGATATTCTTGCATAATGATGTTTCCACATGTATCAGAGACCCATCTGAACAAAATAAATCTTTAGTATTATGGTGATGTGACCATAACTCAAACAAAATCCAAAATCGCAGAATACAACAACATTTTAATGTCTTTTAAGTACCCTGAAATTGACTGGAGATTACATACAACTCTGAATCATTTAAGAAATAATCGTAAAATTAATTTGATATTCAGTATATCTTGAAATAATTGACTTAATGCTAAGCACATTCCTGTCAATTAAAATCTTTGAACCAGGTATTTAATCAAGATATTGCAGACTCCATTTTGGCAGCAATTTTATATTCAGCAATATTTCTTCTTTAACCAAGTACAACATTTATTAGTGGTAAATAAATACTGTACAATGTTGACCTCTAGACAGTTTGAGGCTGTAGGCCACATATATTCATGAGCATATAACTTATATGCCAACACTAATTATACTGCATTCATTCTGCAGTGTTAACATCTCTTTAAAATTACAATGCAGCTCTCTGTAGATTGAAAGCTAGAGTAATTAAGCCATCTTAATAAATTCTCAGTAGAAAAACATTTGAATGAAACATTACTGTAGTATTTTGTAACCAACTTAATTTACACGGTTTCCCTACCCAAACTGCTCTGCATAAGCTTGAGAACTGTGTGCAGAAGATACTCAAATTGTGTCTAAAGATACTGAGGAATAAAGTTAAAGCAAGTAGTGTGACTGAAGCTATTGATTTTCAGTTCAACTTCTTGCAGAAATATTGCAAAGCTTCAAAAAGTGAAAAGCCTGAATGTACTGGAACTTGGGAAAGCCTAAATCTGTAGAATATACAAAATGGTGCGCTTGCATCAGGGAAAGCCTGGTACCATTCTGTATAGTGCGTGACAGTAAACAGCCAATATCATTTTTGTGTATATATCAAATACACAAAACCCAACTGAGATCCACAAAGGCACTGCACTGCTGAGCATACCCTACAATATACTGAGAGGGTAGATTTTAACAGCTATTTGCTGCAACTTCCCTTTAGCAATTGGTTTAACCATTAGTAGCCCAAAGTCTACTCAGAAATACCATCAGATAAACTGGGAAAGAAATGAAGATGCAGTTTCCATTTTCCCCAATACAGAGTAACAGTATAGTATGGTCCTGCTTAGTCTGAGGTCTTGTGCGACCCTTAATTAGAATTGCAGCGGATCATTTGGCCACTGGAATTGATCAGCTCACATTCTACACTGATAAAAGCGCAGCTTCTGGGTCGTTGCTGAGGTGACTTCCTGCATGCTGCAATTACTGCTCATCACTTCAGAGAAAAAAATCATAGTCAGTGTCGTAGAGATTGGACAGTCAATGGGAACTGGCTCCAGAAGGCGATTGGCAAATATCAGCCCACCTGCTTAACAGTACAACACAAAAAACACAGCCTTTAAAAATAAAAGTCTCCTCTTCCTAACCCTCTCATGGTCACAATTTTAATCTCTGATCCAATCCTCTCAGTGACACAGAATTACACCTCGTTCTCCTATCTTCAAATCTGGAATTCCGCTTTCCCTGGTGAATGCCTGGATAATCCTATTTCTGACTACTAATGCAAGGTCGAGATACAATAGAACGTCTTTCACGCTGCTCTTCAGATATAACCATGAACAACGTAATTAGATTACATACTAACAAGGGAGTCAACCACTTTTATATTCCATCCAATATATTATAATGGATCAAGACAAGTTTCTAGTGAAGTCACAATTGCAATAGTTTCACAGTAACTTCAGTCTTCCTTATGTCATGGTTCACACAATGAATCTGCATTTACTTACAGAAAACATGCAAAATGTGCATACTGGCTCTATCATCGCTTCAAAAAATGCAGGCCAGCGAAAACAAAAAAAACATTACATTGAGTAGGGGTAAATGGGATTCCAGGTCTTAAGTTTCATCTGTTAATCAATTGTGTTTGGTGCTTTGTAGTCAAAATAGAGATGGTGCAATGTAGCAAAAAGCTTTGAAGTAGAAATATGTTTAATGTGTAACATGCTTTGACGTTATATTTATTTTTAATGTCTTGTGGAAAAATGAACAACTGCTTCAAAGAAAACTAGTTTAAAGAGACTCATCAAAAACAGAGGGAGAGAGAGGGTAACAGCTTGAAAGAATGTCTCTGCAATTCAGAAAACAGTAAATTCAATCCAGAATTGGTTACGATTCAACTGGGTAATCTTATACAAAAATACAATTTACCGAACAAATTCTTGTTTTATACTATTTCAGTTCCATGAGATGACTTCATTTTAAATGTGTTAAAAATGTCAATTATTCTATTAATAAACTATAATTGATCCTAATTTTAATGGACATGTGCAGTTAGTTGTTTTTCCACCTCGGTGAAGATGAATTGCAGTGGAGTGAAATTTGTAACAACTAAATGAAAATCTAGTTTAGCTTATTTGTCCAATTTGAGGCTGGTCAGACAGTCAGAGAAAATACAGATTGCTGGTGTGTTCAGGAGGAGCTAAGAATACCCAGGTGTTATCTGGCACACAGTATAACCAAAATTGTGACAAAGCCTGACATATGCGGAAATCCATCACCATGCTTAAGATTACCCAAAGCAAACAGTTCGGAGACTGCTGGATTCTAACCAACTAAAAGAGCACATTTTGCCATTGAAAGCATTACCTGGCAAACCTTTTTACTACATTCCAGCTAGGACCACCCTACCTGTTAGGGCTACCTGTGGAGTCCTGTAGCTCAGTGGTTAGAGCACTCGCTTTGCAAGTGAGAGACCTGAGTTCAATTCCCGGCAGGTCAGGGCGAAACCTTGGGCAAGTTTCCTTACTCCTCACGCCTAATAATAATCCCTCCAAAACAAAAAAACAATAAATTGGTCATTTTCAATCTACGACTGTGGGACATTGCTGTGCGCAATTGGCTGCCGCGTTCGCCCACAAATATACAGTCAATTCACTTTACAGTGTCTTCTGTGAAGCGCTTTGGGACGTCCTCCCGACGTGAAAAGCGCTATACCAAATGCAAGGATTATTATTATTATTATTATTATTATTTGGCTTGCAGGGTTAACAGGAGCTCAGTGGGAAGAATGCTGGACAGTCAGGGAATTGTACCTGATCAGAGGGTTGGGATCAGGGGGCATGGAGGGCAGGGAAGATAGGGGTAGGAGGGTGGCTGAACGCGCAGTCAAAGAGGAGGGTCTTGAGACGTGCCTTGAAGGAGGCAAGGGAAGGAGCAAGGCAAAGGGACTGTGGGAAGGAGTTCCAAATGGTGGGGTCAGAGAGGTTGTAGATCCGACCGTCAATTTGGTAGGGTGAGCCGGGCGGAGGACGTGGAGCAGGCAGGAGCTGCTGAGCAGAGGGAGCCGACAGGTTGATATGGGGTCATCGGGTCACAGAAGTAGGAAGGAGCCAAGCCATGGAGGGCGTGGAGGCGAGGATGAGGATTTTGAACTCTACCCTCTGGGCGATGAGGAGCCAATGGAGCCGCATGAGGATGATAAGGTCGCGGAGCCTGATGTGGGAGAGGAAATGAGCTGCAAAGTTCTTGTGGAAGGAAGAGTTGAGAAGGCCGACAAGCAGGAAGTCTAGATGTGATAAATGTGTGGATGAGGCTTTCGGTGGCCTGAGGGGAGAGACAGTAGCAGAGCCGGGCGATGCTGCGGAAGTGGGGAAGGCAGAGCGGGACATGGCACGGATGTGGGGTAGGAAGGGTTCTGGACTGGCTCAGTGAGGTATAGTATGCATCCCTGTATGGTGATGCTGCCAGTGCCTGAGGTGCAGAGGCGCTGACGGGAGCCAATCAGAAGCACCTTGGTTGACTTTTAACTGTAGAAAGTTGGCTCTTATCCAGGACTTGATGTCTGACAGACATTCTGTCAACACAGCAGTGGTCCTGGAGTTGAGGATGGAGGTAGAGAGATCAAGTTGGGTGTCATCCGCATACATGTGGAAGTTGACCCCATATTTGCGGATGATGTCACCAAGGGAGCATGTACATGTTGAAGAGAAGGGGACCGAGGACAGAGCCCTGAGGAACACCGGAAAAGACGGTGCGGGGGCTGGAGGAGAAGCCATTTGTGGAGACGTTGTGAAAGGTAGGATCTGAACCAGTCAAGGACAGAACCATGAAGGTTTAGGTGAGAGGAGAGGCGGTGGATGAGGATAGAGGATGTCATTTGTCATTTTGACCATGACTGTTTCTGTGCTGCGGGAAGCACGGAAACCTGTTTGGAGGGCTTGTAGAGTGAGTGACGGGAGAGGAACAGGTGAAGCAACAACACATTCCAAGACCTTGGAAAGGAAAGGGAGGATGGAGATGGGGAGGTAATTGGGGAGCAGTGATGGGTCTAGGACAGGTTTTTTTTGATAGTGGTGATAACAGCTGTTTTAGCACCTTTCACGGCTGGAGGTGGTCCAAAAGCACTGCACACTTCCTAAAGCACTGGGCAAAACAGTAAAGAGTTTTCACCCCAAGTTGGCTCATCACAAGTACATAAGATTCTGATAGCCTGTAGTTTAAAATAGTAGAACTTAGTGGTTCTTTCACTAATATTTGCATCCAGTCTTTCCCAGATGTTGCTTTTGCAGTTGTAGTCAATGGGCATAGAACTGAGCACAGTGGAGGCACTGGTGCAAATGAAGAGCATTTTTAAATCTCAATAACCAAACACAAAGCAACAGAGATTCTAAGCGAACACAAGTACAATGTAAGTCACCCATTGGTGGTTTGCCAGACCAGATCAGACAGCTACCCTGGTTTAGGAGATTTGTCCAAGTGTAGGAAGCAGAGAAAACAAAGATACAAACATAGAAAATCAGGAGCATTTAAATAAGAAAATTCAGAAATAAAAACTGCATTTTAATAAATATTACACATTAGAGTATTGGTACCAAAGCATTTGGCATTGCCAAGTTTCAATGAAAAGTCCATTGTTGAGAGTGGAAGGAAAACAAGGATCAGTAGGAGAGAATTCAGTCTTTATACAGTGTCGCTCCGTTATACTGTGCTTTGTTACAGTGCTGGTGGGTGTTCTATGCCTTCTGACGATGCACATAATGTCAATTCACAACCTATCATACTCGCTATAGTAGGTTAGACTGTGTATTGGAAGCCAACATCTTCTGATAATAATAATGCTGTAAAGTGAATCGATCGTATATTTATGGGCGAAACGCGGCAGCCAATCGCGCACAGCAGCCTCCCACAGTCGTGGATTGAAAATGACCAATTTATTATTGTTTTGTTTTGGAAGGATTATCCATCTCTACTGATTATCATCAGTAGAGATGCAACAACCTGGAGGTTGGCCATTTTTAGCACAAGAAACCATCTGGCTTTCTGTGCATACACAGTGATATCATCACTCGCGTGATCAGCGACGTGCAGTAATGCTGACCAGAGATGACATTATTAGTGGGTGCGATTTTATTACCGATTATAATGGGGTTACACAGTATAACGTAGGTTCTCTAGAACAATACAGCATTAGCTTTAGTCAGGTTCCATTAATTCCTTCAGCCTAAATCAAATCTTTACCTTCAACAATTCTCTCCTCATCATCTTTGTTTGTCCAACTCTCAACAATGGACTCCCCATCAAAGGATGAAGCTTGAAAATGCTCGATACCTATGTCCAAGTAAATGAAAATACATTTAGATACTTCTCATATGCCTGAAATCCATGCCCACCACTGAGACTTTCATGTGTCGATTACTGTGTTTGGGTGCCATCCATTGATGAGACGTGACACATCAAGGTCACCTCTGCTTTGTTTTTATTGCAAGTGGATGTTAAAGATTAAGATTTAAAGGAATTCTCTTTCTTTTGTTTGTTTTCTGCTCTCCTGGCCAACATTCCTCCAAACAAATTAGTTATTCACATCATGGTGTTTGTGGAACGTCCTCGTGCAAAACGGTTGTTTCCTCGATTACAAAAGCAGTCACAATGACGGACGGTAATTACTATGCAGTGTTTGAAGTAGTTTTGAAGTTATAAGGCAACCTGATCTATTAGCAACCTGATCTTTTCACATAAACCTAATTAAGCAGAGATGTTTCAAAAACAACTTGGCAATTAATCCACTTTATAAATCAGCTTTCGAATCAGTTTAACTACCAAAATGATTTAGTTAATTCTAGTTGAGTGAACAGTACAGGTTTCTGAAACAGTAGGAGTCTTTGAAATACATCTTTCAAGACACAGCAGACATCATTAAAAAAAAGTTCAAAGTACAGTCATGTCACTTTACAGTACATCCCATTAAGCAGTTTGCGACGTCCTCTCAACATAAAGTGTACCACGTCAAATGCAAGAATTATTATTAAAGGAAACAGTGTGCTTTGTGACTACTTATCGCCTTGTTTATCAGTGAGGACGGTAAGTATTCTGCATTTTCTATACAGTGGCTCACAGCAGACTCAATAAATAACCCAGGAAAAGTAACAATGAAAACCACATAGTCCATTTGTGAATCATTACTTAGACTTAGGTGGAGTCCTGTAGCTCAGTGGTTAGAGCACTCGCTTTGCAAGTGAGAGACCTGAGTTCAATTCCAGGCAGAGGGCGAAACCTTGGGCAAGTTTCCTTACTCCACACACCTAATAATAATCCCTCCAAAACACAACAATAATAAATTGGTCATTTTCAATCCACGACTGTTTGTGGGACATTGCTGTGCGCAATTGGCTGCCGCGTCCGCCCACAAATATACAGTCAATTCACTTTACAGTGTGTTCTGTGAAGCGCTTTGGGACGTCCTCCCGACGTGAAAAGCGCTATATCAAATGCAAGGATTATTATTATTATTATTTCACTATTTTATTTCAATGAAATACTGCTAAACACAAAATAAACTTATGTGCCTAGAAAGTCTGCTGTTGGAACAATTTGTTAATGCTTAATTACTTTATGTAAACATTTGCAGAATACGTGTCTGGACATTTTATAGTCTGTTGACTATACCGTTTTGGTACAATAAATGGAATCAAGTTATATTTTATTATCTAATTACCATTCAAACTTAAGTGTTTTAATGAATAAGACCAAAAAAATCTTTAAAAAACTGAGCTAGGTGTTTTGGCCTGGCTCATCTGGTAGCACTCTCACATCAGTCAAAGGATTGTGGATTCAAGCTCCACTTTGGGATTTGGAACTCACATAGTCTAACCTGACTCAAATGCAGTGCTGGGTTTGTGCTGTGCAAGGTGGCGTCCTTTGGATGAAACATAAAACCGAGGTTCCATCTACCTGTTCAGGTGAATGTTAACGATCCCATGGCACTATTGGAAAAGTGAAGGGAGTTTCTCTCGGTGTCCTGCCAACAATACCCTAAATAAAATGAATATTTCACTTCATGGCTGTTGAGGAGATATTCCTGAGAGAAAATTGAATGCCACATTCACCTTCAAAATAGTTACTTCACTTTATAGCGTACTCTGTGAACAAACACTAAAAGACATCTTAACGTGAAAAGTGCTACATCAAATGCAAGGTTTATTATTCATGAGTATCAACCAATATACGACATTATCAAAATATTGATTTACCTCTGGCTATCTCTCCACCTAACATACCTTCAACCACACAGACCCAGCCACTCCCTTCGTTCAGCCAATTATATCTTCCATCCTATACACCCTACTATCGGCAAACGAGCTTTCACACATTCTGTACCTGTTCTCTAGAACTCGAGTCCGAAGTCCCTCTCTTTTATTGTGCTTTCGGTCATCTTTCCCCTCCTTCCCCCTCAGCTCTCACCAAAGCTCAGGTGCCACTCAGGATTGTTAAGCTCTTTCAGACATTCTAGCAATGTATAAATCACTACATAAATGTAAATTGTATTGTATAGTAAACCTATATTAGAAGTTACAATCAAATCATGATCCAAGAACACAACATGGCATAGGATGAGAAAAGGCCATTAAAGCCTCTGTAGTATTTATCCAAAAGGTAATCAAAGGCAATTGTGACTGCAGAATATTGATCCTTCCCCATTATCAATCCTGACTTCTCACCCTCGCATAAAGCACTCTCCCACTTGAAGTTTTTAACTTTGAACTCAAACAGTTTGGTTCTGAGTTGACAGTTCAAGTGATGAACCTTTTAACATCCATATGTTCGTCTTCACAATTCAGTCGCTACATTTTACAGTAAATCCTGTAAAGTGCATTGAGACATCCTCCTGACATGAAGAAGCTACATCAATCCAATGATGAATTATTGTAAATCATTGTATGTTCCGTGCCTTAATATTTCAGAGATAATAATACTTGCATTTGATATAGCTCCTTATCATGTCATCGAGACGTCTCAAAGTGCTTCACAGAATACATTGTAAAGTAAATTTACTGTACATTTTGTGAACAAAGATCGGGATCATATTCTGCATCTTAAGCAACAAGTTCTGCTCCCCAAATCTAAGAGCCTTTTCCAAACCCTAGAACCATCTTTGTGGCTCTGAACTTTTAATACAAGTCATTAAAAAAAGGTATGTCAGCTTGGCTCAATTGATTACATTCTCACCAGAGGGATAGAGGTTCAAATTCTACATTAGGATGAACTCAGTCTAGGCTGACACTCCACTGCAATGATGTTTGAAGCGCTGCTTCCTTGGATGAGACTTTGAACATCCCATGCACTATTCAAGAAGAGGATTTTGTCCAGTGTCCTGGTCCATAATCCTCCAGATTAATTGGTCATTCACCTATTTTTGTGGGACCTTAAAATATTCAAAACAAGTGTGTTGTTCACTACACTGAACCACTAAGCATTCTGACATTGTCCAATGTATAAAAGCCTATAACATTGCTCTGTAGCTTCTCCAATACAGTATAAGGTACTTGCACAGTAAAGTTGTGATGATAGCTAAAATTTGTCATTTTAATTTCATGAGTTACAAGAGGAAATTGCATTTGTGTTCAGTGTAGCTTGGAAGATCCCTACAAGGACCAAGTCCTATTGTACTTTCTGTAGTATAGCACCAATATTGGTGAGCATTCTTGATCTTACAAGAGGAATTTTTATAAGGTTAGAGTGTCACAAGCATTTTAAGAAATCAATATTGCTTGATGAGCTATTTCCATGATAACTACCCGACTACAGGGCATTACACACAACACTAGTGCAGCAATTAATAGGAATCATTTGCCTCCACAGTGAGTCTGATAGAAAACCTGCAGCTGCATGCTGAAACGCAACAAACATCTCAGCCGATTTGCTAATCCAATAAGATCACATCATTTCCCAGGGGAACGGTTTTGTGGAACTTACATGCAACTAGCGGCAGGTCCAATTCCATCCTAACAACTATGGCTACAGCTCTTCCTATTGTTATATTAGCTCATCGCCTTTTCACTTAAATCTCCCACTGATGAGACCAGAATGCCCCACAGCAAGGCACAAGAAAAGGCAGATTAATCAACAGAAGTAGGGCCTCTTGAACAGCTTGAAGGTAATTCCAAGCATAAACCAGTGGATAATCGACACACGATTCTTACAACCTGCAAATTTAAAACTATCTGACTGATGTTCAAGTTATGAAATAGACGCAAGCTTCAAATAAAGACCCAGTTTAAATGCACAGAAATTTATTTTCTCAATAAGAAAGTTAAGAACTGTCAATTCAGTATTTTATACATACAGTTGAACAGACCTCAGCTGGGCCCTAAGGCAACAATGTACCATTGTAACAAAACTGCAGGGAAGCAGCAGCTCGACCCATATTACAACAATTCAAAACCAGAACAAATTAAACTGCATTGTATTGTCAAGGTTAATAGTCAAAATGAGCAATATTGTATCAGGGAAGGTTGATTTCTAGCTGCTTCAAGGGAGGTAGGTACACAATTTTGTTTGAAGCATTTGTCCGTTCAATGAAAATGGTTCAGGCCGACTGTGATGGATTCTTGATCCTATCCAACCGAGACTGCAGACACACAACACATGTGGCAACAAAGTGCTTATTTTGTTATATAATCCATAGCTACAGTATGATTTAGTCCAAGGTTATACAGTACAAACACTGCAGAATTGAGCAAATTTACTTGATAAAACTAGTTTCATACCAAATGTAAATATTGTATATATGTTAAGAGTAATAATAATCCTTGCATTTGATATAGCGCTTTTCACGTCGGGAGGACGTCCCAAAGCGCTTCAAAAGACTCGTGCTGTGCAACTCTTATGTGGTGGATTCCTTATGTCTGGGGATAGATATACAACAAGCAAAGGTCATTTCAGAGAAGGGTAATCAATAGTTACATTGAACAGAGACTTCAGAATACATCCCACTGGAGACTTGAATACATTCCACTCTTTTTTTGCAGTTGTAGGAAAATAGTCTTTTTGTATTATATTTTTTGTGTTGTATTTACATAAACAACAAAAAAATCAGTATTACTGAGTTGTCCAGAATCAAATTAATGATTCGGGACAATGCGGTCAATTTGCAGCTATGGAAGCATATTTCAGAAATATTTTACTTTTAGAAGTTTGCAAATGTAATTCAGTTAAGGACATTTTGGTGATTTTGATATGAGCGCACTGTTCTGATGACTAATATCCAAATAATTAATTACACCATACTTCCCGTATTTGCAAATACACATTTCCATTCTACTTAAGCATTA